CTGGGGAGAGGTGAGAGGGAGGAGAAAGGCAATGTCAACAGCAATGTGGGCCTGCACTGTTCAGTTGTAGCCACTGGCCACATGTGGTTACTGAACCCTTAAAACATGGCCTATGCAACTGAGGAACTGAATTTTTAATTTTATTGTATTAATTTAATTTTAGTTAGCCTAAATGCAAATTGCAACAAGTGGCTACCATGATGGAAAGCAGAGATATAGGACATCTCAATCATCACAAAAAGTTCTATTGGATGGCACTGGCCTAAATCTTAAGGGTTGTTCTGAAGAGTAAAATAATTCATTGATAGGCCCTCCTCAGTGCCCCCCACACAGTTGGTGCTCAGTCAGTGCCCAGCAACAGGTCCCCTGTAATCACTGAGAAGTGACTCAGCACCCCTGCTCTTCTCATCTCAGATGTGCTTTGAAGGAGCTGAGCTTCCAGGCCAAGCTGAGTCAGTGTCGGCTAAGGAACCCAGCGGAGCCTCCCACCACCTTCATCGACCTGAGACCCACCGAGCCATCAAACCAGGGCTCATTGGAAAGGTACAGAGAGCAATGACAGCCCTGCAGCAAACCCACTGCTCTGTGGATGGCACATTGGCCTAGAGGGGAACAGGGACTTCGAGGGATGGAAAGACTTGAGCACGGGCAAGTCCTGGGAGCACCGCTCAGTTGAGAAGTGCTCTTAGCCTGGAGCCAACAGTCCCACTTGGTCCTCAGGAGGTTCTCCCAGAAGAGAGGGAGGAAGCAGAGGCAGACACAATCTTTCTAGATCTAAGCAAACAGTACATCGCCCTGGGTGCTTCCCTCTACCACCTGGCGGGAAGCCCAGTGGCCCTTTGGTTTTGTTAGCTGGGCTTTGGCTGGCCTGCCCCCTCCTGCCTTGGGTTACCAGGGAGGCCTGGGCACTCCAAGTGCTTGTAGGAGCCTGGCTGTCCAGAGTGGATTGGGACACATCTAGTGAACCCTTGTTTCCTCTGTCCCAGCCCCAGCTCCAGCTCCAGCTCCTCTGACAGTGAGGATGCAGAGGAAGAAGAGACAGCTGCTCAAAGAGATTGGCAAGGCCCAGCAAGGCTACGGTAACCACTATGGGCTCCTGCTGCCTGGGGCTGCTCCCTATTGCTTTCCACACAAGCCCTTGGCCTGGCACATTTAATGTTTGTGCTTTCAGCTCTATGTATTGCATCCAAGCCAGCACATAAGGGTCTGGGGAGGTGGGGAAAGTAGTCTTGGGAGCCCACTGGGACCCAGTATCATCTCAACCTGATCGTTGCTCCCAGTCAATACCAAGGATGCCTTAGCCTGCTCTGAAAAACAGCTCCCCAAATGGATTTCACCCCCAATTGGTGAGGACAGTGGCAATAAAGAGAAAGTACAGAGATGGAGTAAAGTGATGAAAGGCTTGGGTGAATTAAGATGTAAAATGTCAAAATTTAGAGAAGGTGCAAGTCTCCTTCAGGCAGGGGAGGGGGTTGGGGGTGAGTCTCCTTGTTGGGGGGTGGGGGTGGGGAGGTGCGGTGACACTGGTCATTGTCAAGTTACAATCATGCTATAGCAGTGTCCATTTTTGGAATTGAAAAGCTTGTTTATCTTATCCTTTAGAATGTCAGTCTAATGCAACTCTTCCCATACTCTGGTCCATGATCAAGCATTATAGGAAAAAAAAGAAAGAAAAATTTGGGTAAAGGACACATGGGCTTCATCCTAGATATGTTTAACATGATGACATGAGTTGTGACTCAGTAAGGGCGGGAAGCTGCAATCGTTTATGTACATCTTGAGAACTGGGGAAAATGCTTCTGTAAGCTTTTGTGTGAGCCCTGTTTCAGTGGCAAAGCATTGGGAGGTTTGGCCTCCACTTGGCATTGACTGAGATGGTTCTCTTGTGTTACAGGGACTGTACCGGGAAAAGTCAGCTTCTCCAGCAGCTCAGGGCTTTTCGGAAGGCTCAGCCCCAGTGGCCTGCCAACAAGGTTCCTAGCAACCAGAAGGCCCCTGAAAATACAGCTGGATCTGAGACTGGGAGGAAGCAACATGTAACACTCTGAGTAAGGTATAATGCCCTGGCCAGACACTCAGGAGGAAGTCCTGGGGCCGTGGGGGACCCTTTGGGCCAGGGATAGCCAGAGAGGTCCTGGTATCTCCTCTGGGCCAACAGTAAATGCCTCTGGGACTGGATCTTAGGAGCTTATTGGAATGGGTTGACTCCGTCAGCACACCCAGGCCTGATGGTCCTTCTCTCTCCTGTTTCCATTAGCAGGTGTTTTTGCAGTGCAGGGCCTCTCAGACTGGATCTAGCCCTCTGTCAGAATTTGGACAGAACATTTTTATGCATTTACAGCAGAGATCCCAGCACAAACATACATTGTACAGCTGAAGACAACACAGGTGATCCTAATCCTCTGAGAGGGCATGGAAGAAAGCCCATGAAGACAATGGTTTTGTTCTGATCGTGGAACTGTGAGCCTTTACATCTTTGTCCATTTCTGCATTTTTTCCATTAATGTACATCTGTTATTTTCATCATACAAGGTCTTTTTAAAAACTGTAAAACATATTTAGAGACTTTCAGGGTGGAAAGTCTTGAAAGAGAATTTAGCGTGATTTTCTGGGTCCCTGGATACTCGCTAGTTTGTGCACTTGCCATACCATACACACATTAATCAAGCTCTTAAGATTTCTCTTTTTTCCTTAACTAAGACACAAAGGCACATACAGGTTCTAAGGTTATTCCAAACTAAAAGTGAAGTTGGCCTTTAAATACAGAGAATATTGGATGCTCTAACACCCGAAACTGTCCTCATTTCACAAGGTATCCTTGTGAATAGCCAGCCAGCAAGAGCTGAGGGAAGCACTCACATCTCTCTCAGTTTCTTTGCAAGCATTATCCACCCACCTCATTTCCATAGTCCCTTCATAACAGGCTGAGGCCCTGTTATGTGGCACCTGTGTTCCCTCCCCAAATTTTTTTCAAGATTTTGCTTGTCAGTCTCTCACTCTCCCACCCCCCACTACCTGCCCCATGGGTAGAGCAGAAAAATCATCTGGGGGTCTTCCCATGCTGCGGACAGGGTCCTTGGCATTTGGGTGCATGCACTCAGCTAGGGTCACAGTTGGCTGCCATCTGCTGAGGGAGGACAAGGGTCTCTTCCCATTCTGCTGTGCACCAGACAAGACAGGCCCTGCAGGGCCTCAGCCAACCACAGGAAGTCAAGATCAGGGCCACAGAAATCACTGATCTGGCCACAGGGTTCTCACAACCAGCCCCATTCACAACAATGAAGGGCATTTTCATTAGAAGCCAGATGCAACAGGGGTTTCCGCAGGGCCATAGGGAGCCCCAGGAAGAAATTTCTGCAGAGAACGGGCACGCTGCTGTTGCTTGAGGTCCCCAGGCCCTGTCCCACCTGTGGAGGCTCCGCACCCTCAGTTCTGGGGCACACACAGGACAGGCAGCCTCAGTGTTGCACACCTCCACCTGTGCTGCCAGCTAGCTGTCAAGAGCAAAGGCCATTTCTTCCCTTTAACCCCATTTCCCCCATCTCTACCCCTTTTAATGCCAGTAAGTTCATTCAGGATGTTTTGCAGCAATAGAAAAGAAACTCTGTTCCAAGTTCAACTTTGAAGAATTCTCTGTCAAAGTAAACTGGGAGGATGAGGCAGTGGGAGTTTAGACCTGGATTGAAAGCCTGTTCTGCCAATTGGCTCAAGTTCTTAGAGCTCTTGTGGCTTCAGTTTCCACATCTATAAAAGGAGACTAATGAAAAGTCCTACATCATAGCACTGCATGAGAGCATAATTTGGAAAGGCACTTGATGGGCCCAGATATCGGACCAGGAAGAGGACAGCCTCCTCCAGCACCAGGCAGGACCTGAGAAGTGAGCTGGGGCTCTTGGCTGTGTGTATGTGGAGTGCGGGTTGTCAACAGTGTTGGCCCAGCCAGATCTGACTGGGTATACTTGTCCTACGAGAGCTCTGGAAGCTGGCTTAGAAGGTGAAAACCATCTTTAAACTAGTCTGCCCCATTCTCCAGTGAATACGCAGGGCAGAGCACAATGGGGCTGGGAGGAGGACCCACATAATGTATTAAGGGAGAACCGGTCACATGCCCTGGAACCTGAGTTGTGTAGAAAGGTGAAAATATATACATCAATTGAGTGCCAAAACAGTGGAGCGTCAAGAACTGGCATGAAGGCCAACGCCACCCAGCAATAAGGAACAGTCACATTTCTGGATAAAATATTCTAGAAACCAATTTCAGCACCTGCCCCATGACTCCAGATGACTAAACTGGACAAGGACTTTATATTCTTTATATCCACTCAGGAAACTGTAGATATAAAGAAGCATGTCTACCTCAAAGTAGGGCAACCAAGTCTGGCCTGATCCTGGAACATGGCCACTTGGGGCTGGCGCAGAGGCAGCCCTGGATCCTTACCTGGGAGGATGGAAAGGGCAGTCAAATCCCAGGCTACCTCATGGGTTGGGGAGGTCTGGAGATGGAGTCAGGTATCCATCCTACAAAACTGGATCTTCAAAGGTAACACCCAGCTCACCCCATTGCCTTTTTTAAAATTTATTTTTATTGATTTCAGAAAGGGAGAGGGAGAAACATAAATGATGAAAATCTTAGGTTGGCTGCCTTTTGCATGTCCCCTACTTGGGGATCGAACCCACACGTGCCCTGACTGGGAATTGAATCGAGGCCTTCAAGTTCATAGGTCAACGCTCAACCACTTAGCCACACCAGTCAGGTACCCCATTTCCTTGTTGACACCACTGGAATGCAGGAAAAGCCCCCATCACCTACATTTAGAAATTGTAGCAAGGTTGGAGGGGAAGGCTGGGGTAGGTAATGCCATAAGCCACTGCAGCCATTGCAGCTTCCCCTGCGGTGGTTAAAAAGTGTCCCTCAAATTCTAGTCCAACCAGACCTCAGAATGTGACCTTATTTGGAAATAGGGACATTGCACTAGTAGATGTAATTAGTTAAGATGAGATCATTCTTGCCACAACCGGTGGATAGAGCATTGGTCTGTGGACTGAAAGGTCCCAGGTTCGATTCCTGTCAAGGGCATGTACCTTGGTTGTGGGCACATCTCCAGTGGGGGGTGTGCAGGAGGCAGCTGATCGATGTTTCTCATAAATGTTTCTAGCTCTCTATTCCTCTCCCTTCCTCTCTGTAAAAAATCAATAAAATATATTTTTTTAAAAAGGATGAGGTCATTCAGGAGGACCAGTAATATAATCACTATATCCTTAGGAGAAGAGGGGACAGACACAGAGAAGGCCACAGGGTCTGTGGGCCACATCGGAAGTGGAAGAGGCACAGGAGTTCTCTACCAGAGCCTCCAGAAGACACTAGTGCTGTAGACACCTGAACTGACAGGATTAATTCCTGTTGAAAATGGCCAATGTGTGGTCATTTATACAGCAGCCTTAGAACTGAAGACACCTGGCCCTGTGCCCAGCATTCTCCTGAAATGTCCCCTGCTGTGTCCTCACACCAGGCCCGGAGAGCAGAGTCCATGTGAAGATGCCTTAAGGTCAGCGTTTCTGGCTCTAGCAGCTTCATGAACTGTGCATGGTAGTCAGGCTTTGGCCCCTGGGAATCCTGGAGCCTCGAGGGTAGTGCTATACCCCATTGATGTAACTATGTGGTTATTTCTCCCCATTGTGGGTCCTCTGGTGTTTGTGGAGGTCGGTGCCCCGGCGGAAGCCCTGGCCACAGGCTGGGCATGTGTAGGGCTTCTCGCCTGTGTGAGTCCTGCGGTGGGCGCTGAAGTGTGAGCTGTTGCTGAAGCGTTTCCCACACTCGGCACACACATAAGGCCGCTCCCCAGTGTGTATCCGGCGGTGGATGACCAGGCTGGAGCTCTGGCTGAAGCACTTCCCACACTCAGCACACTGGTAGGGCTTCTCGCCCGTGTGGACCCGCTGATGGGTGCTGAAGTTGGAGCGGTCGCTGAAGCCCTTCCCACACACGGGACACTGGTACGGTCGCTCCCCGGTGTGCGTGCGCTGGTGCTTGGTCAAGTGGGACGTCTTGCTAAAGCCTTTGCCGCATTCGGGGCACATGTATGGCTTTGCCACCTTGCAGGGCCCCCCTCTTTCCAGAAGTTGGTCAGATTTGGTCAATCCCCTGACAGGAGCCGGCTTGTGACCTGGGAATGAGGAGCTGGGACCCCTGCACCGAGCCGACAGCACTCGGTCCCATTCTGTTCTCATCTGTGTGTCCTCTCCATCCTTCAACTGCATTCTAAGGCCTGAGACAGAGAAAGCAGAGTTCCTGAGGAGGAGGGAAGCTTCTGATAAGGCAAAGGCTGAGTGGGCAGCCCTTCTGAGGAAAATGGAAAGCAATGCTCTTCAAATCCCCCTCAAAACACAAGCATGTCAGCCAGACCCTGACGTGAGGTGCTAACGCCACGGCCAGAGGCTGTTATAAACACACAGCAACTTGTTTAATCCTTGTAATGCCCATGAGGTAGGTGCTGTTACTGTCCCATTTTATGGACAAGGAAACTGAGGCACAGGGAAGGTAGGGAACTTACCAGAGTCACTTAGCTGGTAAGTTAAGAGGCCCAGTAGTCTGTCTCTGGAGCTTGGTCTCATAACCTCTAGGCCAGGGGCAATGGTGACCTCAGACAACACTTGATAATGTCTGGAGACATCGTGGTGGTTATGTCTAGGGCCTAGAGTGTTGCACCTGGCATCTAGTGGGTGGAGGCCAAGGATGCTGATGTATAGTCTCTGGTACACAGATGGCCCCACAACAGAAAACGACCTGGCCCTCATGTCAATAGTGTGCAGGGAGAGAGACCCTGCTCTAGGTTGTTCTGTTTAAAGCAGGACCAGAAGGCCTGGTGATCCAGACCCTCAGCCTTCCGCTCATGTACTTGGGGGCAGCCCCTGAACCCTCTGCAGAACCAAGTACAAGAGTGACCACAAGAGTGACACAAGCACAGAGTAAAAGGATCCTAGAACGGATCTTGGCTCTATCCCTCCAGGTTGTGTGACTTTGGTCAAGTGCTCTATTCTGCTTCCTTGTCTAAGACATAAGGCAAACTCCACCTGGGGACCTTGAGCATGAGGCATGCTGGAGCACTGGGTTGGGGGTTGGAGAGCTGGAGAGCAGATGGCTTCAAGCAGAAACCCCTGAAAAGCTCACAGTGGGAGCACACTGACCTGACAAGGAGGAACAGAACCTTCTGTCATCCTGAGATATGTCCGCTCTAAGACCCAGAAGCCAAACATGGGCTTCAGTTCACATTTACTGAGCCTCAATCCTCACACGTGTACAATTAAGATGTAACCACCTCACTGGTCTGTTGTGAGATTGTTTTTGTTTGTTTTGTTAATCCTCACCTGAGGATATTTTTCCCACTGATTTTTAGGGAGCATGGAAGAGAGAGGAAAAGACAGAACACATCGATTGGTTGCCTCCTACACGAGCCCTGACCAGGGACCAGGCCAGGGAGGAGCCTGCAACTGAGATATGTGTCCTTGACCAGAATCGAACCCAGGACTCTGTGGTCCGCAGGCCAACACTTTATCCACTGAGCCAAACTGGTTAGAGCTGTTGTGAGAATTTTGACAAAGAAACTGAAACTGGCAGTTCTTCAAAAGGTTACAGTCACATGACCCAGCAATCCATCCCCAGGTGTAGGTTCAAGAGAGTAAGTGCTGACAGGTGACGCTCGGAGACTCTAATCCAGCTCACGCTTGGCTTGGCTCCTGGCCCTCCTTTCTCCCTTGGGAACTAGTTTCATTTTTGCTCCTGTGGGCAGTATATGGTCCCAGACTGATCTGGTATGACTCTCCATCTCCACTGAGGATTTCTGCTGGAGCCCCAAACCTTTCTCACGGTCACTATCTTCTCTTGCTTTTCCCTTGGGCAGGGGTCAGCACACCGGGACCCACAGGCTGCGCCTATCTCTATAAATAGTTTTCTGTACTTTTGTGGCTGCTTTCATGCCAAGATGGCAGAGACTGTATGGCCCACAAACCTGAACAATTTATTATTTGTCCCTTTAGAGAAAAGGTCTGCTGACTCCTCTAAGTCCTTGGCTTGAACTACACAAATCACCATGGTTTAAACCCCAGGAGAGGACAGAAGCTAACCTGGGACTTCTGATTCCTTCTTGCTGACCCCACCCCATTGCCACCTGAGCTGGCACCACCAGAGACATCCTGAGGTTGCAAGGCAGCAAAAGCTGGGTCCCGAAGGCCTTCTCCTCACCCCTGCCGGGCAGTCAGACGGGGCCTGGGAATGGGGAGTCCTGCTTACAGGAAGAGAGTGTGGGCTGTATTATTATAGAACCATGGGACTGCAAATCCTTTCCTTTTGAGGGCAAAGGGGCATCAGAAAAATCTACAGAAAAGTGAGATGCTCTGAAAGATGGGTTTTGCTTCTGAGGGGGAGGAAGTGAGGAAACAGGGCTCAAGGCTTTCACTGGCTTTGGGAGGGGAAACCCTGACACCCTGGAGGAGTCTGGAGCTTCATCACAACAGAGACTAAGTGGCCAAGGATTACAACTAAGTGGGAGACAGATATGGAATAGAGAGCATGGAGCAATGGTCCAGCAACAGTGTGCACAGAAAACTGGTGTTGTTCTTCTATGAGGCAGTAGAAAGGTTCATTTTCATTCATTTCACAGATTCTTAGTTTGAAAAAAATGAGGATATAAAGGAAAGTATGTAATGATTATGGCTATGTTTTTGGTTTAAATGCCTATGTAGATGTCGCTGAAAGAGGTGTTATAGATGTGATTAACATTTACAAATCAACTGACTTAAGTAAAGCAGACCACCCTCCGCACTGGAGGTGGGCCTCATCTAACCAGGTGAAGGCCTAAAGAGCAAATCCTGAGGTTTTCCAGAGAAGGAATTCTGCCTTTTAAGACTGCGGCATGGAAATCTTGCCTGAATTTCCAGCCGGCTGCCTTGCCATACAGATTTTGGACTTGCCAGCCTCCACAATCATGTGAGCCAATTCCTTAAAATAAATCTCTTTAAATATACACATCCTGTTAGCTCTGTTTCTCTGCAGAACTCCAACTGATACAAAGCAGCATCTCAACTCCTTTAGAAAACATTTTAGGGAATAAGTGGCAAGACAAGACAAGCAGAAAGAGAAGAAACAGTGTTGAGTGGGGAGCCGGGGCGCCGGTAAGGAGAGGCCATTGATGGCCAAGCCCTTGCCAGGAACAGCTCTGCCCGTGGGGGCTGAGGGCAGCACAGAGGCTGAAGGGAAACTGACCAATTGTATGGGTGCAAGAGTGAAAGAAGAAGGAACTCAGGTTCCATCTGCCAGGGATGTGGGTGAGCCACCACTGTCCCCACTGCAGCTGGGCCACTGACAAGACACCAGCAAACGTGGCTTTGCAGGCTGTATGCAGCTAGATACCAAGCAAAACTGCTTACTAAACCAACCCCTGGGCATAGGGCCGGTGAATTCCTATTTCTAACATGCTTCTCATGATTCCTCAGGCCACTACAGCTTGAGAACTGCTAGACTGGCTCCTGTAGGCAGTAGGGAGCCAGAGAAGGTGCGAGCGGAGAGGTGGCCTGGGTTTTGGGTCCTGAAGGCAATACACCTGAGGGATGCCAGGCCAGCTACATCCAGCATGAGATGAGGCAAAGAGCCTCCACCCCATAGGACTGGCCCACATCATGGTTTCTAATGGGCAGCAGCCAGGGTCTCCCCATGTTACCTTCACTCTCTGGCAGCATGTCCCAACTTTGGTCCTGCTGAGCTGGGTCCAGGCACCCCCACTCTTCCTGAGACAGGTACACGGCCATGTCCTCCAAGGTCACTGGTACCTGCAAGGACACAGCTCACTCAGTCCTACAGGCTGGGCCAGCCTGGTGAGCTGACCCTCCCCTTCCACTCACGGCACAATGGTGGGTCCTGCTTACCTCCCACCACTTTTTCCCTCCCCACGCTTTCCCTCTCCACATGCTGTCATACACCTTTCCTCCCAACCTCAGCTCAGACATGGCAGGATCCTGCTCTTTGGGACAACACTACTGCCATCATGCTCTGTCCTGTTGCTGCAGGGCAGTACAGAGTGGACAGATTCACTGTGTGGAGCAGCAGGATCCACTGTGTGTTCAGGCCACTGAGGCCCATACTCCTTGGCGACACGGATTAGCATGCCCTCCCTCAACTCAAGCCAACCCTGGCACCCAAACGGGGAGACTTGAGGATTTCAGGATGGCTCTAAGCCAGTGGTTCCCAAATCTAGCATCTGACTGACCTGGGGAACATGATTAAAACTCAAGCAAAAGTAAATAAATAACATAAATAAAACCCAAGCTTACAAGGTCCAGAAGAGACAAATCCAGAAACAGAAAGAGGCTCAATGGTTGCTGGGGGCTGAGGGAGGGGCGATGGGAAGTGACCACTAAAAGGTGTGGGGAATTTGAGGCAGGTGGTGAAAATGTTCTAAAATTGATTTTGGTGATTGCATAGCCCTGTAAATATATTAAACATTGTATATTTTAAACAGATGAAATGTATGTATATGAATATTTGAATAAACTTTTATTAAACAAGCATAAGACTATTCCAGGCCATGGCTGGGAGAGGAATCTTTATTTTTACCTAGAGTCCCAAGAGATTCTAACACCCAGTTGAGTTTGAGTGATCGCCCAAGCTCACCATTGGATCCCAGACTCCTACAAACACACCGAATACTCAGGTGGCATCTGAGAAAGAGCAAGATACCTCCTAGTAGGCACAGGTCATTTCAGGGAGGGGTGCCTCAGAAACCCACAGTCCTGGCCATGGAGAGAAGTGTCTCTATTGGAATGCTGCAGACCAGGAATGCCCACTCACCTGGGACCAGGCTGCAAGGAAAGATGTGGCTGGTGCTGCCATCTCCTGGTGCTGGGAGGTGCCTGGGCCTGGGGAAAGAGCAGTCACCAGTGAAGCCCACATAGCCCACCTGTGGGCACAGCAATGAAGGCCAGGACAGGTCCAGCAGCTCCCCACCTGTGCTCAGCTCCTCACGAGGAGCCACATGCACACAGCCTCCTGCAACATTCTTTGCCCTTTGCCTCCCTCTCCTGTAGGGCTGCTTCCTTGAGGGCAGCTACTCACCCCTCTTTGGCCAGAGTTCAGGGTTTCTTATTTGTCTGCGGCTTAGCTGGGCTGGGGGCTGCTGGCTGGAGTCCCGAACTCCTTCCTCCAGGGACAACTCCTTTGGCTGGACCTCTGCCTGACATTTTGAAGACTGTTCCCCCATCTGGTGGGGCGCTGCATGGTCAGAGAGTACCTCTGGGCCCTGCGAACAGATGGAGAGCGCCAACCAGCTCCCAGATCAGGGGAGACCACAAGGTCTCCAACCCTTTGTTGGGCACCCCTGGCCACCCTCACCACCAAGGTGGCCTCATTATTGCGCTCTTGGCCCTCCACATGCCACACACAGCCCTCCCTCCAGCAACACCCAGGGAGAATGTGAGCTGGGAAGGGGTCAGGTTCCTGGCTAGGACACAAGGAGGCGTGGTCTGCTTCTGAATGAGACTCCAGTCTCTCCCTGTCACACTGCATCGGTGTCACTGTCACACTCTCACCCTTATTTCTTGGTGCTCTCAACAAACCGTGGGCCAGAAGGGCCCTGTTTCAAATCTCATTTTGACAGTTGGCATTACTGCTTTTGCTACCTTTTTTGAAATCATTTATAGGTGCTCCGGGGTAATCTAATTCCTTATTCCAGAGAAGGTGAATTGAACAAACTTGAGTAGCAGTTTACTGAGCTCTGTAATAGCACTTGAGATAAGAAACATTCCCCAGGAAACTGCTAAGACAGCTGGGGAACCCATCTCGGGCTCCCGTTCATCCAACACCTCTGACGGGAGATAGTCCTAGAGATTCCAGGATACACAGTCACAGAGGGAAGCCATGCAAGAACCCCCAGAACCAGGCTGGAGGGGTTGGAAGGGCACCCTGAGTTCTTATTAGTTACCATGACTGCAGGATTTGCTTATTGCACTCAACTCACATTGTGGTCAGGTTTGGGGGGAATGTGTCTGTCCTACTGGATGCCAGGGAACAGCAGTGTGTGGGCAATGGCACTGCCACAGGAAGAAAGGGACCTGTCTGCATTTGCCAAACATCTAATCTGGGCATGGCACTGAAAAAAGAATTTTAAAAGACTAAGTGGCTTTTTAACTTTTTTTCATTTAAGGAGTTTAGTGACTAAAAGCAGGAGAAATTTGTGAGAGACTTCCCATTCCCCAAATCTGGTTAGGAGGAGGAGGAATATGCTCTAGAGTTACACTGTCTACAGAACTTCCCACGATGATGGAAGAGCCCTATAGCCACACTGTCCCGAACGGCAGTCACTAGCCACGTGTGACGACTGGGCACGTGAAATGTGGCTGGTGTGACTTAGGAATTACATTTTTAATTTCACTTAATTTTAAAAGTCACATGGGGCTGTTGGACAATGCAGCTCTAGAGAGATGTTTATCAGGGCACCCATCAGCCATGAGTACCTCCCTCTATCGGGATCCCTTCAACTCCCAAGGCCACACTAGCTTAGGAAGGGCTAGCGGCGCTAGATGTGGTTAAATCAACCCCTGGGCCAAGGATGAGGAACTTTATAGCTGTCTTCTTCCATTCAAAATGTTTGGTTCTGCCGAAACCAGTTTGGCTCAGTGGATAGAGTATCCGCCTGTGGACCAAAAGGTCCAGGGTTCGATTCCTGTCAGGGGCATGTACCTTGGTTGAGGGCACATCCCCAGTAGGGGATGTGCAGGAGGCAGCTGATCAATGTTTCTCTCTCATCGATGTTTCTAATTATCCCTCTCCCTTCCTTTCTGTAAAAAATCAATAAAATATATTAAAAACAAACAAACAAACAAAAAAAAACGGCCAAAACCGGTTTGGCTCAATGGATAGAGCGTCGGCTTGGGGACTGAAAGGTCCCGGGTTCGAATCCGGTCAGGGGCATGTACCTTGGTTGCGGGCATATCCCCAGTAGGGGGTGTGCAAGAGGCAGCTGATCGATGATTCTCTCTCATCGATGTTTCTGACTATCTCTCTCCCTTCCTCTCTGTACAAAATCAATAAAATATATTTAAGAAAAAAAACAACCGGTTTGGTTCTCCCAATGACCCCAGCTGGCCACAGCTCCAGTACCCAAGGAATCTCCAAATGCAGACCCCAGCAGCAGGGCCCTGAGGACACAGCCCCTTTCCTCACCTCAGAGCCAGAATGCCCCCCACCTCACCCTCTGTTTCCTGGGCTCCCGCTGAAGCCCTTCCACGAGGACCACGGCCTCCTCACCGCTCTCCGGCTGCTGCTCCCGCACCAGGGCCTGGATCTCCCCGGGCAGCACCGTCAGGAACTGCTCCAGCACCAGCAGCTCCAGGATCTGCTCCTTGGTGCGCAGCTCGGGCCGCAGCCAGCGGCAGCAGAGCTCCCAGAGGCGGCTCAGGGCCTCCCGGGGGCCGGCCACCTCCTGGTAGCAGAAGAGCCGGAAGAGCTGGCGGAAGGTCTCGGGGCTGGGGTCTTCCATCTTCGGGGAGGGCTCCTCTTCCCAGTGGAAGTCCTCCTCCACCTTCACAATCAGGATCTCATCCTCGTCCAGGGGTGGTGTGGGCTGGAGGCCCCGGGCAGTCGCCATGTTCCCAGGGGGCCTTGCTCCTTCTCAGGCCTCACGGATCAAATCTGTCTCTCCCTATAGGCCTGGCCAGCCACTGGGTAGATGTGACTTTTTGTTTTTGTTTTTTCAGGAATCTGTGGACAGAAGATAACATCATTGGGGGTGCACTGGGGCTGGATAAGCGTCTGCACCCATAAGCCCCTGCCTTGGGTCCAGACCTAACTCACCCTCTTTGGCAAAAAAGCAAGGATTGAAATAGATCAACTTATCTCTGCTACTAACTCCCTGCTAGTTCCAAGGCAAACTGCTTAACCTCTCTGGGCCTGAATCTCCTCGTTTGAAAAGGAAAGAAGGTGAAATCACCCGCACACAGGTTGCGGAGGGAACTGCACGGGATGTTTGGGAAGTTTAGCGCAGCGCCTGGAACCGCTCAGAGGGCCAGAGACGCTGAGTTTTCATCACATCACAGGTGGCCCTTGTTGGATGGGGTCCCTTTGGAAATATGGTGGGAACCAGAGCCCCCTCTGCCCAGGAGGACGCAGACTCTGTCCCAACCTGACTCGGGATGCGGGCGCGGTGAGAAAGTCCCTCCACCGCGGGGGACCCCCAGCGTGGAAGTCACTGCGGGGGGTCCCTCCGGCTGCAGGGCCCTGGGAGGGCGGGTGGGACTCCGGGCGGAGTGCCCCAATCTCGGAAAGGGTGGCCGAGGCCGGAGCACAGACCGGGGTGCTGGAGCGGGCCGCGGGCCGGCGGTTAGAGTCGGGACCCCGCGCCCTCGAACTCACCCGCTGCGCTGTGGCCCCTGGAAGGTTTGGGGCGCGGGACGGGAGCGGGGACGCGGTCACGGGGGGGGGGGGCGGGGGGGGACTCGACAGACGGGCCGGCTGGCTTGGGTCGCGGGTGGGGAGGCAGAGGACCCCCAACGGCAGAACGCAGCAGGCCGGCGCAGGCCATTGGTTGAACGAGCTGTCCATCTTGGGAATGAAGCAGTGTGGGCAGGCCCACGGGAAGCTTTGGGCGGGGCGTAACGTAGACCTCGAGCGATTGGCCGAGCTGGCTGTCTTGGGAGGTGTTGTAGGTTACGTTTGTCGAGAGACTGTCAGGCGTTGGCTGGAGGCCACGTAGGCGGGCCCGCAAGATGCATTTTGGGTAATGTAGTTCTGGAACTCGCGCGAACCGTTAAGAATGTAGGGAGGAGGCCTAAGTGAGCCCGCGGTAAGCATTGTGGGTAATTAGTCCCCCAACCCCGCACCTTCAGTGTGTACACGCTGGTGCTCCGAGGCCATTTCCCCGTTTCCCTTCCACACCTACCCTCCCACTGTGGAGAGGACCTTGAAAAGTAACTTTCTTACTTGGTATATAGTACTTTGTATGTACCAGGCTCTATTCTAAGGACTTTCCTATTATTAACCCGACTAGATGCCTGGTGCACGAAATTCATGCACCAGGTAGGGTCCCTAGGTTTGACCGGTGATCAGGACTGGCCTTCCTACTGCCTACTGGAGCTTTCCTTTGTTTCACACCACCCCCTGGTGATCAGTGCACATTATAGCAAGTGATCGAACTCCCGAGGGGACACTTTGCATATTAGCCTTTTATAAAGAGAGATTCCTCTTTGAAACAACCCTAGGAGTTAGGTAGTGTTACCCCTGTTTCATAAATGAGAAATCAGAGGCACAGAGAAGTTCAGATGTCTGGAAGCCAGATATTTATCCTAATTCAACCCCTTAATTTTTTAAAATCCTTGAGAGAGGGAGAAAAAAACTGAAGCATGGTAGCAATTGCTGTATTATTTTTACCCCTGCTGCTCTGGCTTCTGTAATTGTTTGCTTGCCAAAATAATAGAGAAATGGCCCTAACCAGTTTGGCTCAGTGGATGGACTAAAGGGTCCCAGGTTCGATTCAGGTCAGAGGCATGAACCTTGGTTGCGGGCACATCCCCATTAGGTGTGCAAGAGGCAGCTGACTAATGTTTCTTTCTCATCAGTGTTTCTAGCTCTCTATCCCTCTCCTTTCCTCTCTGTAAAAAAAAAAAAAAAAAAAAAAAAAAAAAAAAAAAAAAAAATTAAATATATAAAATAATAGAGAAGTTATTTTGATTTTCTGAACTTCTATAAATCACCCTATTCAATTGTATACCCCATTGATTGTGGTTTTGCTGGTCTTTCAAAATCCATTCCCCTGCACCTGGAGACCAGGACAGCACAATTGCTTTAATTGCTACAGTGGCCTCAGGAAATGTGTTGACTCAGTGACTCCAAGACCTAAAACTATAATTAATCTTTGTAGATAACTAACTTGCTCAATTTAGCGTCTGTAACTGCTTTTTGCAAACCAGTTTCCTCATTCCAAATCTAAAGATGTAATTGATATCTTTGTGATATTTGCCTATATAACCCTGATGTTACCACCATTCGTGGCTGTGAGATTTGGAGTGTGATTGCCCCCTCGTAGCCACCAGTTTACGAAATAAATGTGTCTCCTTAATTCGACTTCTTGAGGCATCCTTGTGTGATTCATGGGGTACAACAAAACATCAATTGGTTGCCTCCCATAGGCGCCCTAATCAGGGATGGAACCCACAACTTGGGTATGTTTGATGCGTGGGAGGACACTCTAACCACATCGGCCAGGGCGTCAATCCCCTTAATTTTAGAGACTCTCCATTCTCATGTTTTATTCCCTGTCCCCCTACATCCGATACCCAGTTTTTATTGTGAGGGCACCATGCAGAACAAGACACTGGGTTGCCCGTGACTGATTTCTGTAGACCACCACCTCCCTGAGTGGGAGGCATCTATAAGGGCAGATGTATGCCCTAAGCCCTGACAGCCTTGTGGGATCTGGAGAAAGCAGGCCCGTATGTGCCTCAGTTTCTCCTTACAACACCAGGCCGCTTGTCAGGAAAGTTGGGATCTTAGAATGAACTACCTCTGGTTATGGGTGTGTTGCTGGAACTACCAAGGCATGCAGCTGTGTCAGGAACTGGTGCCCAGGTCCAACCAGAAGGCCTGCCATTCTGTCTGCTTCAGGAGGGTGTGGAAACTAATAATTTGAGCCCTAATCTATTTGGCTCAGTGGATAGAGTATCGGTCTGTGAACTGAAGGATCCCAGGTTCGATTCCGGTCAAGGAAATGTATCTTGGTTGCATCCCCAATAAGGAGTGTGCAGGAGGAAACTGTTTGATGTTTCTCTCTCATCGATGTTTCTAACTCTCTATCCCTCTCTCTCTCCTTCTCCTTTCAATTATATATAGGAAAGGGATAATTTGAATAAGTCACATCAATGTTTCTCTCCCTCTCTTTAATCAATAAGAATATATTTAAAAAATAAAACAAACAGCCGAAACCAGTTTGGCACAGTGGATAGAGCGTTGGCCTGGGGACTGAAAGGTCCCAGGTTCAATTCCGGTCAAGGGCATGTACCTTGGTTGCAGGCACATCCCCAGTGGGGGGTGTGCAAGAGGCAGCTGATTGATGTCTCTCTCTCATCGATGTTTCTAATTCTCTATCCCTCTCTCTTCCTCTCTGTAAAAAATCAATAAAATATAAAAAATAAATAAAACAAGCAAGCAAGCAAACAAACAAACAAACAAAAAACACCCCACAGCAGTGCCAGCATGATACAGATGGCTGCTGACATAGGCCTCTGTGTCAGGGACACAGGAAGCAGTGGGGGGGTGTAGACTCCATGCTGCCAGCCAATCAGATTGTTCCCCAGAAGCCAGATATCTCCATGTTTAGTTGAAAACTCCTAATTCTGAATGTAGACTTAAAATGGGTTTAAATCCTGTTTCAAATAAACAAAACACAACAACACATTTCTGGCTATGTCTGGCACACACAAACATATAAAATGATGCAGGTAGGATGCAGTGGATAGACCGTGAAGAAAATGCTCTGAAGAAAAACAGTGCACCGTGAGAGGAGAGAGTGGTCCAGTTGCTCTTTTAGGTAGAGAATATTTCAACAAAAGGACTATTCACTCACCTGGGTTCTACTCAAGGAGGGAAGCCAGCATCTCCTTGGCTTCAATAGTTCCTTCAAAGGCTTGTTTAGACATGACAGGAGGTCAGAGCTAAGGGAAGATAAATAGTCAGAGGTAAAATGTCCAGAGTGTTGGCCTGTGGACTCAAGGGTCGCAGGTTCGATTCCAGTCAAGGGCATGAACCTTGGTTGCGGGCCCATCCCCAGTAGGGGTTGTGCAGGAGGCAGCTGGCCGATGTTTCTCTCATCATCGATGTTTCTGGCTCTCTATTCCTCTCCCTTCCTCTCTGTAAAAAAAAAAAAAAAAAAAAAAAAAAAAAAAAAAAAAAAAATCAATAAAATATATATATTTTTAAAAATGTTGTCGACATTGCCATGTTGCCTCAGACTAATATTAACTTTGGGAATGTGCACAGTCTCTATGTAGCAACACACCGACTCTCAGATGATGGCGTGGGTCCCCTCAAACCTTGAGTCAACTGCTTTGTGAATCTGACAGATAAATAGTTATGGGGCAGTGTGCTGCACCAGCATAGCCAAGAGTTCAGGGAGCCTGAAGGTGGGCCGGCAAAGGAGGAAGAAAGACAAAGAGAATAAGCTGGGTCTAGATGGATCTTCTGTGCCTGGCTGAGGCCACAGAACAAATCCAGACTGCACTGATGCTTTATTTTATTGTCAGAGGTAAACAAGGTAGTGGTCACCATAGTTACAATGTTTTTATGAGTTTCACTTGTTTTGGCAGCACTTGCGGCACCTCCCAGTGCCCATTAGCTACCCAGGAAAGGATCTAGGGAGTATCATAAAGTCAAGCTTAATTATGCTAAGAGGGCTGTGCCCTCTAGGCTGGGACTTATTTTCGGCTTTGCCAGCAGGTCAGTCCGAGGCTTAACCTTCTAACCGCTCCCTACAGGGCAAGTACTGAAGGGTTCATTTATTTAATAGCTGGATCTTGAGCACCTGTCAGGTACAGAATGAAGCTGATGTATCCCTGCCCTCACAGAGCTCCCAGTCTAACGGGGGAGGCTGACCAGAAAACAAACCCTGTGCTATATGCAGGGAGTGGGCAGCGAGTATGTTGACCTGGGAAGTCAAGGAAGGGTTCATGGAGAAGGTAACTTTTAGCTGGTGTCACTTGAAACCTATATAATTTTATTAACCAATGTCACCCCAGTAAATTCAATAAAAACAAAAACAAAACTTTTAGGTGGTGTGATGGTTAATAAAACAAACAGCCGAAACCGGTTTGGCTCAGTGGATAGAGCGTTGGCCTGGGGACTGAAAGGTCCCAGGTTCGATTCCAGTGTTAACTTGCCTGGGCTAAAGGATGCCCAGATGGCTGGTAAACATTATTTCTGGGTCCGTGAGGGTATTTCTGGAAGAGATTAGCATTTGATTCAGTTGACTGAGTCTAGATGATCGCTCTCCCAATGCAGGTGGGCATCATCCAGTCAGTCCATTGAGGGCTTGAACAGAACAAAAAGGTGAAGGGAGAGGGAATTTGCTCTCTCTGCTAGAGCTGAAACATCCATCCTCTGCCCTTGGACATCAGTAAGCCTGGGTCTCGGGTATTTGGGTTCCAGCCGGCACTTACGCCATTGGTTCCTAATTCGTAGGCTGCCATCTGAAGCAGGAGACGGAAAAAACCAGTGGTGCAATTGGAATTGCACCACTGGTTTTTTCGGTCTCCTGCTTCAGATGGCAGATCGTTAAGACTCCTTTCCTCCCTTGTAAACCAACTCCCATCATGTATGTCTCCATATATATATCCTTTTGGATCTGTTTTCTGAAGGACCCAATATACCCATGGTCTCTTACTAGATGCTCACCACATGCTCTCTCCCTCCAGAACCTTGGGTTTTGGATTATAAGATTCACTTACTCTTTTGTTAACCAAACTAACTGAGCTTCAGGCCCCAACCAGGTAGGCTTCTATGCAGTCCTTTTATTTTCATATATATATATATATATATATATATATATATATATATATATATATATATTATTGATTTTGTACAGAGAGGAAGGGAGAGAGCTAGAGAGCTAGAAACATCGATGAGAGAGAGTCATCGATCAGCTGCCTCTTGCATACCCCCTACTGGAGATATGCCCGCAACTGAAGTACATGCCCTTGACCGGAATCGAACCCAGGTCCCTTCAGTCCCCACGCCGACGCTCTATCCATTGAGCCAAACCGGTTTTGGCAGTCCTTTTATTTTCTCTTTATTTTATTTTTAATATATTTTATTGATTTTTTACAGAGAGGAAGGGAGAGGGATAGAGAGTAAGAAACATCGATGGGAGAGAAACATTGATCAGCTGCCTCCTGCACACCTCCTACTGGGGAAGTGCCCGCAACCAAGGTACATGCCTTGACTGGGGTTGAACCTGGGACCCTTTAGTCTGCAGGGCAATGCTCCGTCCATTGAGCCAAACTGGTTATGCCTTATTTTCTTTTCTTTTAAATATATTTTATTGATTTTTCACAGAGAGGAAGGGAGAGGGATAGAGAGTTAGAAACATCAATGAGAGAGAATCATTGATCAGCTGCCTCTTGCACACCCCCTACTGGGGATGTGCCCACAACCAAGGTACATGCCCTTGACCAGAATCAAACCTGGGACCTTTCAGTCTACAGGCCAACGCTCTATCCACTGAGCCAAACTGGTTTCAGCTTATTTTCTTTTTAAAAAAATATTTTTTATTGATTTCAGAGAGGAAGGGAGAGGGAGAGGGAGAGAGATAGAAACATCAATGATGAGAGAGAATCATTGATCAGCTGCCTCCTGCATGCTCCACAATGGGGACTGAGCTGGAAATCCAGGTATGTGCTCTGACAAGGAATCAAGCTGTGACCTCCTGGTTCATAGGTTAATGCTCAACCACTGAGCCAAGCCCAGCTGGCTAAAGTCCCTTTATTTTCCAGGTTTCTGGAAAGTCCTGGGAAGTGCTCACACATTCTGCAGGCACATCCTCCACCCCAACCAAGCTCTCTCCTGTTCCCCTCACCTCTGTCTGAGAGCCTTCTGTAGGCCTTGGCAGGCACATTGCACAAATTACTCAATTTAGTTCGCACAACAGCACTATGAGAGCGATGCTACCGTCCGTCTTATATGTGAAGAAACTGAGGCCCAGGAAGAGCAAGTGACTTGCTGAAGATCACGTGGCACAGGGATTTCCATCAGCTTTGCCAGACTCCAAAGTTGGAGCTGTTTCTCACTGTGCTGGTCGGCCAGGGTCGGGTAGGAAGGCAGGGTCATGGCCACAGTGATGGGGGAAGATGGTCAAAGATGGGAGTGTTATGACACCATGGGCCTGGCCCTGGGCTGGAGGGAGGGTCAGGGTGAAGGGCAGAGTCTGATTTGGAACTTGACTCTAGTCCTCGGGCAGGAGGAGGTCCATCATCAAGGCACACCCCACCAGAGCTTCATGACGCCCCGGGGCCTGGGACTCCTGCTGTTACTTAAAAAAGAGCCAATCTATTTTCCAGGACAGCTCAAAAGAAGTTGTTTACAAAACTCCTTTTGTTTTCAAAGCACAGCTTGTCTTAAAAAGCAATGTCGACCTTTAATACAAGTCCTAGTACACAGGTGTGTGTTGGGGGCTGCTGGGCCCGTGGGGAACCCAAGTGGCCCAGGGGGTGCCTGCGTTCAGTACTCCTCTGAGGGAGTGTCCTGGGCCCATCGGCACACCTTTGAGGGCCCAGGGATGGCCGGGGAATTGGCCGGGGAATTGGCCGGGGAATTGGCAGGAGCCGGGTCCAGGTTCACCCAGCCGGGCCCCCGGGGCAGCATGTGGCTTTCGTTGAGTCTGCAGACACGGTAGTTCTCATAGTGGACATTGTGTGTGATGTCCTTCAGGTCTTGGAGGTGGGAGCTGGGAGAGAGATGGCAGGTCAGCCTGAGCTGGCCACTGCAACCCCCTGCCCGCCCCCACCCAGGGCTCCCTGCACCCTCACCGGATGAGCAGGTCTCTCAGGAGGGGAAACTCACAGTGCTTCATGTTCTCCACTGTAAGATAGGATACTTAGCACCGAGTAAGCGCCTACTGTATGCTGCACAGCACCGGTACCCACCACCATCTTTTCCCCACAATTCTTACTGTCTTAACCCACCTCCCATCCTTTTTTTGTTGTTAATCCTCACCGGAGGATATTTTTTCCCACTGATTTTCAGAGAGTGGAAGGAAGGGAGGGAGGGAGACAGAGGAAGAGAGAGAAAAGAGGAAACATCGATGTGTGAGACATACATCGATGGGTTGCCTCCTGTGTTCACTCTGACCAGGGCAGGGATCAAACCAGCAATCCAGGTACATGCTCTTGACCGGTAATCGAACCCAAGAACCTTTAGTTCATGGGCCGACGCACTAACCACTGAGATACACTGGCCCACCTCCCATTCTTGATTGATTTATTCATTGGTTCCTTCCTTCATTTATTTATTCATTGTTGTAACCCCAATGGTTGGTATAGGTGGATCTTACAAATAGTTGTTAAATCAGTCAATTTACTGGTCACTTATTATCTTGTGTGTTATATTGTATATATAATATAATATAATATATACATATAGTATATATTATTTAACATATTTTATGTAATATATATGAATATACATTTAATACAATGTGTGTAAATTATATTGCATATAGTATAATATACATAAGATAATATAGTATATACATAAGAATAATAGATACTATATTCTTTATATATATATATATATATTTTATTGATTTTTTACAGAGAGGAAGAGCGAGGGATAGAGGGTTAGAAACATCGATGAGAGAGAAACATCAATCAGCTGGCTCCTGCACACCCCCTACTGGGGATGTGCTTGCAACCAAGGTACATGCCCTTGACTAGAATCAAACTCGGAACTTTCAGTCCATAGACTGATGCTCTATCCACTGAGCCAAACTGGTTTCGGCTAAATACTATATTCTACTTTTAATAATTATATTGCTAAATCAGGGCTCAGGCTCCGTCTGCTGCTCCTTTACCTGATAGTCTTATCATTATCCTTCTCTGCTCCCCGAGGTAGCCCTCCTCTCCCACCCCACGTATTGCCTTCATCATGCTTCTCCCACCTGTAGTCATTTTGTCAGCTCTATGGGGACAGGAACCCTGTTGGTCCTATTTTCCCTGTCTTCCCCTTAGGAATAGCACATAGTATGCCTGGTACATAGTAGGCCTGCAGTAAATTCTGGATGCCAGGCACTGTCCAAAGTGGTGGCTCTGCCTCCTTCCAACTACCCTATGAGATTGATGTTACTACCCTGTTTCCCCGAAAATAAGACAGTGTCTTATATTAATTTTTGCTCCCAAAGATGCGCTAGATCTTATTTTCAGGGGATGTCTTATTTTTCCATGCGCTAGGTCTTATTTTCGGAGGATGTTTTATTTTCGGGGAAAGACGGTATCATGCTCATTTTGCTGTGAAGAAACTGAGATCCAGCCCTAGTCTGTTTGGCTCAGTGGATAGAGGGTTGTTCTCTGGACTGAAGGCTTACAGCTTTGATTCTGGTCAAGGGCATGTACCCTGGTTGCAGGCTCGATCCCTGGCCTTGCTCAGGCCTGTGTGGGAGGCAACCAATCCATGTATCACTCTCACATAGATGTTTCTCTCTCTCTGTCTCTTCCCTTCCTTCCACTTTCTCTAAAAATCAATGGAAAAATAAATAAGGATTAAAAAAAGAAAAAGAAACTGAAGTCCAGAGTGTCAGTAATTTGCCTGAGGCTTCCCAGCTATAAAGGGGCTTGATCCCAGGTCTGTCTCTTCCCTGGTTGTGGGCTTAATTACTGGGGCCCTGTGATAGGTGCTAAGGGTCCCAAAGGCAAGAGGGTGTGTCCTGGCTTCCAACCCATTCTCACCATGTCCTCCCCACACGCCTGCACTGACCTTCAACAATGCCCCACTTTGTCTTCCGGCCCAGCACATACTTCCCATTCACCAGGTGCTCTCGGTCAGCCCCGACCACAGCAAAGGGGATCCGGTCCTTTGGGGAGGGGACAAGAGCAGAAGGTTGGCCTTGCCAGGCATGTGGAGAGTAAAGGTCTCGAGGTGGGGGGTGGGGCTGTCTTTTGTGGGGAGAGAGGTAGAAGGAGCACGAGATATCTAATGAGGGGATGTAAAGTCGAATCAGTGCCTCGGTTTCCATATCTGCAGAGTGAGAGTCTTAATAGTACTGACATAGAGCTTTGTGAATGTTTGGGAAGTGCTTAGCATTCTTAAGGGTTAGCAGAGCCCTAGCCAATTTGGCTCAGTGGATAGAGCATTGGCCTGTGAACTGAAAGGTCCCAGGTTCCATTCCGGTCAAGGGCACATGCCCGGATTGTGGGCTTGATCTCCAGTGAGGGACTTACAGGAGGCGGCCGATCCACCATGATTCTCTTTTATCATGGATGTTTCTATCTCTCTCTGCCTCTTCCTTCCTCTCTGAAATCAATTTATATATATATATATATATATATATATATATATATATATATATATATATATATATATATTTTTTTTTTTTTTTTTTTTTTTTAAAGGGTTAGCAAAACCTGTTTGGCTCAGTGGTAGAGCGTCAGTCTGCGGACTGAAAGGTCCCAGGTTTGATCCCGGTCAAGGGCATGTACCTTGGTTGCGGGCACATCCCCAGTAGGGGGTGTATAAGAGGCAGCTGGTCAATTTTTCTCTCTCATCGATGTTTCTAGCTCTTTGTCTCTCTCCCTTCCTCTCTGTAAAAATCAATAAAATATATTAAAAAAAAAAAAAAAAAAGGTTAGCAGAGTAACCCTTGGAAACTGTGTGGTTACTAATAGCCGCGTGACTAAGATCTTGCTGATGTCAGTCTCTTACTTTACCTATGAAACAGAACAGTAATCACATTCCACATGATAACTTTGTAAACCAGGGTTGGCCCCTTCTGGCTCACAGCAACCCGGCCCACCTCCTTTTCCCTCTGTGAAGTTTAACACGGCCTTGTCCGTTCAGTTACTAGTTTATGTGGCTTTCACGCTGCCACAGCGGAGCTGAGTCATGGCGAGTGCCGGCGTGGCCCACACAGCATAAAATCCGTATTTACCATCATCTGGCCTGTCACAAAAATGTTTGCTGAATTCTGTGCTCAATTCTAGCTGTTTACTTGCTCCTGACTGGAAGTGGAGATTCAAACTTGTGGACTCCAAAGTACTGTAATATGGGTTTGTCTCTATTGCTAGAATTTGTCATTTGATGCTAATAATAGTAGCCATTTGTTGTACACTTCTTACAGCCGGTAGCAACTAAACCCTAGATCAATGTTCTGCTGGCTGGTGCACTGAGCCATTACTTTGAGAAGGTGCTCCCTGTGCTCCGTCTCGCTCTGTTTGGGCTGTGGCCAGGCTGTCGCCTTAGCCTGCCTCAGGACTGAATGCAGTCCTGAGGGTTGGGTGAAGGTCGGGTGCTTTGAATCTTTTTTTTTTTTTTTAAACAATAAGTGTTTAATAAATAGCTTCTTTGTCTGTACACCTGTGTATGGTGTGGTGAAGGTGTTGAAAGAGTCCAAGACATGGCCCCAGCTTCAAAAATTACAATAAAAGAAAAACCTAGCCATGATGCAATGTAAGAGTTACCAGTATGACTCTGATGGAAAGCTCTGATGGAGCTCCCAGTAGGGAAGGGAAGCACTAATCAGAAGGCCATAGGTTGAGAATCAAAGTTATATGGGGAAGGCTTTGTGGGGCAGTTGGCCCTTGATCTGGACTTTATTTTTATTTACTTATTTATATATATATATATATATATATATATATATATATATATATATATATATATATATATTTATTTTATCTTTCAAGCTTTTATTTAAGGGCACGGATTTGGGATGGATTTTAGATAAGTTGAAAGCAGCCACGTCCATGGACTGCACATAGTCCTCAAAAGCAGTGATCTGCTCCTCCAGCATGTCTGTTCCAATTTTATCATTTCCCACTACACACTGTATTTGAAGCTTTTTAATTCCGTACCCCACCGGAACCAGTTTAGAAGAGCCCAGACCAAGCCATCTGCTTGAATGCTCCTGACACATCCTCTAATTTTGCCATATCTGTCTCCTCATCCCAAGGCTTCACATCTAAATAAGATGGAAGACTTCGCAACAAGTGCAGGTTTTTTGGCTTTCTTTGATTCATACTGTGCAAGGCGTTCTTCTCTTCTTCGCTTTCCTCCTCGTCGTCAGACCCGAAGAGGTCAATGTCATCATCGTCGTCTTTACTGTTGGCAGCCCCGCTTCCGGTGGGGGCCATACGTGCCCAAAGCTTTCTTCACTCCGGGCAGGCTGGCCTTCTCCTTCTCGTAGGACTTGATGTGGTTGTACCAGCGAAGGGCATGGCACAGGTCGGCGGGCGGTGGGCCGGAGACTGCCTCGAACACTGCCACATCTGCTTGGGATGGCACGTACCTACAGGCTTCCATCTACTGAGCAAAGACGCGGGAAAGGCTGGAGGACAGCCAGTAAGTGCTTTTAAAAAGCAGCTTTGGGACCCTTCTTCCCGCGGAGCACCTCCCTCCCCGAGGAGTCCCCCGCGGCTGGGAGGCCGCGCCACGTGGCCCCGATGTCCAGGCCGCCCGGACCCGCACACACCCCTCAATGTCCCTTGATCTGGACTTTAAAGGAAAGGCTGGACTTGGATCAAGGGAGACAGAACTGTGAGCAGAGGCCTGGGAAGGGGAATGAGCACGGTGTGTTCAAGGGCATGGGTGGACCAACTGGGCGGGAACTGAAGAATCAAAGCACATGAGCAGAGAAAACACCGAGTTAGTGCCCGGACACGTGGAACAAGCTAGGAAAGCTGTGGATTGGGTGCCAAGCTCTGACTCCTTTTGCTGCTGATGTGGAGGGACTATGGGGCCTACGTGGAAAGCATGTTTGGAGCCACTGAAGTCATAGAGGCGGAGCCCAGACTCAAGGTCTTAAGAGCAGGAGATAATGTCAGGTTTGCAGAGGAAAAGGTACATCCTTTGGTCACTTAGGGCTGGCTCTAGACAAATCAGTGAAATGTGGTCATTTTTTGCACCTCTCCTTTACCATTTCCTGTGGGGGGGCCTGATGCGGCCGGGATCTCCCTTCTCTGCGTCCCGCACGGAAAGAGAGATGAACGAACCGGTTCTAAGTGGAGGCGGCCAGAGATTGAGAAATAAATAGAGATAAAGAGAGAAGGCACAGAGATGCTTTGAATCTTTGATGGGGCATCCTGTTCCTTGCTCCAGTGGGGAGGGAGAGAGGGGATGTGTAGAGAAATTGGGTGCCCGGTGGGAAGCAGGGCCTCCATATATGGATGTGCAGGGCTGAAATCAGGATAGGCCTACAACTGGGAAGGCAGCTGTTGCCTTTTTCTAGTCTAAGCGGAAACACTGTGTAGGCTGGAAGGGCCCCTGGGGAGGGAGTTGAGGTCTGCTGTCTACGGATGATGCAGGTTCCAGGGGCCTGACACTGAGTTCACCCTACGGATAGCAGGATGGGGCTTGGAGTGTTGGAATTCAGTTATTATAATTCAGAGAAAATGAAGATGCGAGCTATTTCCCTCTTACTTTGTTGTAACAGCTTTACTGAGATATAAGTCACACACCACACAGCTCACCCTTTTGAAGGTGCAGCCCAGTTGTTTGTAGTATGTTCACTAGATTGTGCAACTATGAGCACAATCGAATTTCAGAGAACTCCCATCATCCCTGAAAGAAACCTGTTAGCCCCTGGCAAACATTAATCTACTTTCTGTCTCTCTAGATCTGCCTGTTCTGGACATTTCCTACAATGCAATCATGCAGCACATGGCCTTTTGTGTCTGGCTTCTTTCACTGATTGAGCATCATATTTTCAGGGTCTATCCAGGTAGTAGCACCTTTCAGAACTTCATTCTTTTCTATGGCCGTAAGATTCCATTGTGTGGATGGACCACATTCGTTTACCCATTCGCAAGTTAACGGACATTGGGTTGTTTCCACTTTTTGGCTATTATGAACAATTCTACTATAAACACGTGTGCATAAGTTTCTTACATGGACATAGGTTTTAATTTCTTTTGGGAGAGAAATTACTGGGTTACAGGGTACTTAGTACTTAACCTTTTTATTTATTTTTTTAAGATTCTATTTTTAAAATATTTTTTTTATAAAAGTTTTTTTTAAGATATATATATATATTTTATACATGTTCATCGATTTATTGTCATTTTCCCAGAATTACTGATGTTTTCTTGCAGTTCTCATCTATTTACCGTCTTTTTCCATGATTAAGATATATTTTATTAATTTTTTTTACAGAGAGGAAGAGAGAGGGATAGAGAGTTAGATACATCAATGAGAGAGAAACATTGATCAGCTGCCTCTTTCACACCCCCTACCGGGGATGTGCCCGCAACCAAGGTACATGCCCTTGACCGGAATTGAACGTGGGACCTTTGAGTCCACAGGCCAACACTCTATCTGAGGCAAACCGGTTTCGGCTATTTATTTATTTATTTATTTATTTATTTATTTTTTACAAAATAAAAAATATTTTTATTGATTTCAGAAAGGAAGGGAGAGGGAAAGAGAGAGAAACATCAATGATGAGAGAGAATCATTGATCGGCTGCTTCCTGCACAACTCACACTGGGGATTGAGCCCACAATGTGGGCATGTGCTCTGACCAAGAATTGAACAGTGACCTCTGGCTCGTAGGTAGATGCTCAAACCACTTAGCTAAGCTGGCTGGGCAGTGTTTAACCTTTTTATTTAAGTCTTTTTATTGATTTTAAAGAGAGGTTTTAGAGAGAGGGAGATAGAGAGAAACATCAATCAGCTACTTCCTGCATGCCCCCTACTGGGAATCAAGCCCACAACCTATGCATATGCCCTGACCAGGTATGGAACCCGACCTCTCTGTGCACGGTGCAGTGCTCAACCAATCGAGCCACACCATACAGGGCAGTGTTTAACCTTTGAAGAATTGTCCAACTGTTTTCCAAAGCTACAGTACCTATTTGATATTCCTACCGGCAGTGAGTGAAAGTTTCAATTTTCCACATCCTCACTAACACTTGTTATATCTGCCACTTTGATAATACCCATCCTAGTGGGTGTGAAGTGATTTGCATTTCCCTAATGACTGACCATGTTGACCCTCTTTTTATATGCTCGTTGGCCATTCCTATAAAGTATTTAGGGGAATGTCTAACTCAAGATCCTTTGCCCATTCTTAAATTGGGCTGTCCTTTATTGATGATGTGTAATAAATCTTTTTAGAGTCAGGATACAAGTCCCTTATCAGATATAGCATTTGTAAGCATTTTCTCTTATTCTGTGGGTTGTTGATATGACTTATTTCTTGCTCACCTTAGAGATTCGCATCTGCTAGAACTATGTGAAATTTCTCCCAGTATAATCTTCAGACGGGAAGAACAAGTGGGAAGAAAATAACTCTGCCTTTGTCCCCCTAACCTCCCTGCCCCCACGGCCTCCTACCCGGATCTTGCAGTTGAGGATCTTATCATTGATGTCCTCATCGAAGCATTCCTGTGGGTACACATCGATGCTGTGAGTCCTCAGGTTGTGCTGGATCTGGGGACCAGGGAACCTCAGGTCAAGCTATGCACTTTGCTCCTCCCCATCCCCACCAGCCCCATCCTCGCCTCAAGCGCCCAGATCACCCTGCGCCTGAAGTCCTCTCGCTCCTCCACGGTCAGGCTGTCCGCCCGAGCGATCACGGGCACCACGTTCACAGTCCGGCAGAGCCGCTGCAGGAACTCAATGTCCAGGGGCCGCAGGCTGCTCAGGCAGGACGGTGATGGTGGTGGCAGTGGCAGCAGCAAGTGTGTGAGTGAGGGGATGCCAGCCCATAGCCCATGCCGGGAATCCCTCCTTCTCCTCCCTCCCTCCTTCTCCTCTCTGCCCTGGTCTGCCCAGCCACCTCACCTGTGCCCTGTGGGCGCCACAAAGTACACACAGCAGTGCACCCGGGTGTCGGGGATGTGGCGCTGGCGGGTGATGAGGATCTCCTCCTGCAGGTACTGCTCGTACTGTCCATTGATGTAGCCCAGGATGGGGTCCCAGCTGGGGTGGGGGATGGAGCCGACCTCAGGGCTGTGCCCGGGAGCCCCACCTGTCTCCCTGGGTCCTTTGGGGAGTGGCCCCTGCAGCTGACCAATTAACCCATTTGCCCAGGACACAGGGACCTTTGGTCTCGCACAACTTGAGGTGCTTGGGCACCTGAGTGTACTCCTCATCTTTACTCCCTGCATCATCAGAGAGGCCCTCTGCCATTCTCGAGCTGAGGCCTCATCTTTCCTGTCTATACAATGGGGACAATAAGAATACTTTGGGGTGGGGAGGGTGAGCATTAAACAAGAGAAATTGCTGCTGGTCTGGTTCAAACCATGGTGGACTTCTGCCTGACTCCTCTCCCTGGGCCCCTTCTCTCTGTGGGCAGTTGTCAATGGCAGCCAAGAAGATCCTTCCAAAAGCAGGAGTTAGTTCATGTCCCTTTCCTGCTCAGCCTCTAGGGATTGAACAAAAGCCAGTCCTAACATTGCCCTACAGGGCCTATACTACCCTAGCACTGCTTCCTGCCTGCCCTCTCCTCCTCTCCCTATTCCTCCTGCCCTGCCAGCCACACCAGCTCGCCTACCTCAGGGCCTTTGCACATGCCACCCTCAGCCTCGGACACACCTTCCCCCATGCCCACGTGGCTCATTCTCTCATCTCCTGGAAGTCTGTGCACAAATGTCACCGTTCTGGGAGGTCTTTCTTGAGCACTCTGCTTAAAAGTGCAACCCCTCTACCGCTCTGTACCCCTGCCGCTCTCAGAAATGTCCTGTTTGGATGATAGAGTTCAGGCTCTCCCTCGGATTAACTGATTATGTTGTTCATTGTCTGTCCCTCACCCCTGTGACAATGTAAATTCCATGTAAGCAAGGATGTTCGCCTGTTTTGTTTATTGCTCTAGAACAGAGCTTGCATGTGGCAAATGCTCAACAAAGCCTCTGGTGCAGGGCCGGCTGCAGTGGAGAGAATGGAGCCCAGGGATCTGTACTGAGAAGGGCCCCGGCTTGGTTGGCTGTTCTGTGTTTCTGTTCTTACAATTCTTGATCATTTTTGAACAAGGGACCCTACATTTTCATCACACTGGGTTCCACAGGTGATGCAGCCAGTCCTGATTTTGCGTGTCTGTCTCCTTTAGAGCCTTAAACAGCTCTGCACAGTGGGTGTCATCATTCCCAAGTCACAGAGAAAACCGGGGCTCAGAGAGCTTCTTCCGTGATAGTCCCTGGTTGGGCTGCTAGAAAGTGGTCTAATCTGGGGTCCCGAGTGTGGGCTTCTACCTCCTGCTTATGCCTTTGCTGAGTGTTTACTGTGTGCCAGGCAGCGGCTACAACCTTACACGCTAACTCCCTTCAGTCTTGGCGGGAGAGTTGTGTACACTCATCATGTAGACCAGTGTTTCCCAAAGTGGGTACGTGTACCCCCAGGGGTTCGGGAAGGGTTTGGTGGGGATACGCGTTGCACCGGAGTTTGGTGGGGATTTGCACTGCACCATGCTTAGCTGCGCCTAATTCTACGTTCTCATGAGTACGAGGGGTACTCAGCATTACGAAAATTATAGAAGGGGTACACAGATGTCAAAAGTTTGGGAAATACTGATTGTAGACGAATAAATTGAGGCTCAAAGATACCACAGTCAGGTCGTTCCAGGGCTGGGAAATGTTCCCGGGGGGCACATTCCCAGCCCTGGAGGCGGGCAACCCGGCTCTGCCTCACTCCAGAGGACCCACCACTTGTCATTGTTGATTTGGTCCCCAAAGCCAGGCGTGTCGGTCACGGTCAGCTTGAGCTTCACGCCTTTCTCCTCGATGACTGTGGAGGAGAGCAGGGGGAGGAAGGAATTGGACTGGGTAGACAGGGTGGGGGGAAGGGTGAGGGGAACGGTGAGGGCAGGGTCTCACTCACCATGGGTCACTGAGTGCAGCTGCAGCGTCTGGGGAATGGGCCCCAGCGCCAGACCCGGGGGGGTGGTCTTCCACATTTTGGACTTGAACAGTGTGTTCACCATCGTGGACTTGCCCAGCCCACTCTGCCCTGGAAGTAACCAGATGACAGCAATAATGGAGGACATTTTAGGCGTTTCTCAAACTCGTCAATCTTTTTTAGAAAGTAAACAGTTTTCTAAGTATAACATAAATTTTTTAAAAAAATGCATACTATCCTAAGTGTTCACCTCAGTGCTCACCCCATTTCTTATTGAGGCAAAATTCATATAATAAAAGAATTAACCAGTAACCCTTTATTTTTTATTTTATTGTTTTTTTAAAAAAAATGTTTTTATGGATTTCAGAGAGGAAGGGGGAGAGAGAAACATCAATGATGAGAGAGAATCATTGATTGGCTGCCTCCCGCGAGCCCCACGTTGGGGATCAAGCCTACAACCTGGGCATGTGCCCTGATCAGGAATCAAACCATGACCTTTTGGGTACAGGTTGATGGGCAACCACAGATTCACTTCGGCTGGGTAACCAATAACCATTTAAAGTGAACAATTCAGAAGCATTCGGTACATTAGTAATGTTGTGCAACCACCCCCTCTATCTAGCACCAAACTGTTTTCATCACCTCCCCAAAAGAAACTGTTCATGAAAGCAGCCACTTCTTGTTCTTTCTGCCCACCTCCAGTAACACCAATCTACATCCTGTCTCCATGGATTTACTACTCTGGATATTTCATTATAAATGGATTCATGCAATATTTGTCTTTTTGTATTTGGCTTCTTTCACTCAGATTAATGTTTTCAAAGTCCATCCATATTGCAGTATATATCACCACTTCATTCTTTTAAAAGAAAATCCTTACCCAAGGATATATTTTTATTGATTTTATTATTTATTTAAATATATTTTATTGATTTTTTACAGAGAGGAAGAGAGAGGAATAGAGAGTTAGAAACATCGATGAAAGAGAATCATCGATCAGCTGCCTCCTGCACTCCCCCTACTGGGGATGTGCCCGCAACCAAGGTACATGCCCCTGACCAGAATCAAACCTGGGACCTTTTACTCTGCAGGCCGACACTCTATCCAAACCGGTTTCACTATTTTTTTTTTTTTTATTTTAGAGAGAGAGAGGAAAAAAGAGAAATATCTATGTGAGAGAGAAACATTAATTGGTTGCCTCCCTATGTGCCCCAAACCAGATTGAACCAGAAACCTAGGTATGTGCCCTGACCAGAAATCGAATCCACTACCTTTTTGTGTATGGGACGACACTCCAACCAAATGAGGCACCTGGCCAGGGCACTATTTCATTCTTTTTCACAGCTGAGTAATATTCCATGGGATGGACAGACCACATTGTGTTTATCCATTTATGTGTTGTTGGGCAGTTCAAGTTTTTACAAATGAAGCACCTGTGTACGCAGCACCAGATCACAAAACACACAACTCCCCACAGCCCACTCATGCCCCATCTCAGCGACTATTAACCCGGTCCCCCTGGGACTGCCACTCTCTTAACTTATATTAGCAGAGGCAGTTCTTTCCTCCTTTGACCCAGGGCAGTGGTCAGTTTGCCGCTCAGTTGACTAATGAGTTTGCCGGCCACTGGTTTCTTTTGCTACCTGGAGAGAGCCTTGCATCCTGCCTGTGGGTTGTGAGGTACTTCTCCAACAATGTGGACCACATCTCCCAGTAGGAAACACCTATTGTACAACCTGGGACACACCTTTGTGTATCTAACCAAATGGTCCTTAGGGCTGTTCTGTCCAACACTGGAGCCAGACCTGGTTATTGTACCTGGCAATATGGCAGATCCGAATTGAGATGTGCCCTCAATTCTATCTAATAAAAGGGTAATATGCAAATTAACCATCACTCCATCACAAAGATGGCAGCACCCATAGGCATAAGAGGGCGGCGTCCAGTCCTCTCAGTCCTGCTGGAGTCCCCCAGGCTGGCGGGGGTGGGGTGGGGTGGTGGAGATGGGTGGCCACTGAGAGTGGGCAGGGTGAGCAACCTGGCGGAATGCCTGCTTCGTCGTTTCGCCTGGGTCAGACTACCCCTCCCCACGAGCACGGACAGGGATGGGGGGCCAGCCCGCAGCCTCTGTGGCCGAGCGCAAGCCCCAGAGAGGAGACGGTGGGCCTGCCTCTGGAAGAATCCACATGGGTCCCTCCGGCTCCCGTGGAAGCGGCAAGTGGCCGCTGCGCATGATATTGCTCAATGGGCTACTAGTGGAAAATGCAAATCAGGTTTTATAGACGTGGTAAGACAAGAAGAACGTAAAAGATATCACGAATTTTTATATGGATTACATGTTGAGATAATAGCATTTTGGCACGTATTGGGTTAAATAAAATAGATGATTAAAATTCATTTCTTCTGCCTTAGCCAATTTGGCTCATTGGACCTATAGGGCATTGGCCCTCAGACTGAAGGGTCCTGGATTTGATTCTGGTCAAGGACAGGTACTTCGGTTATAAGCTCAATCCCCTCTGCCTGGTCAGGACACATGAGGGAGGCAATCAATCAATGTGTCTCTCTCACATCAGTGTTTCTCTCTCTGCTCCTTCCTCTCCCTTCCACTTTCTATAAGAATCAGTGGAAAAATATCCTCAGGTGAAAATTAACAACAACAAAATTTTATCTTGTTTTACTTTTTTAAAGTGGCTACTAAGAAATTTAAAAATTACATATGTGGCTCATGTTACATTTCTATTACACAGTGCTGCCTTAGAATAATGTCCTTGATTGGAGATACACACTCCAATATTTTGTGTCCTGTTATATCTAGTTTGTTTTGTTAAAAGTGTAGTAGTGTCTTGGCTGGGTAGCCAGTTGGTTAGAGTGTCATCCCAATGCACCAAGGTTTTGGGTTCCATTCCCGGTCTGGGTATATACAAGAATCAACTCATAGCCAAAACCAGTTTGGCTCAGTGGATAGAGTGTCGGTCAGCGGACTAAAAGGTCCCAGGTTTGATTTCGGTCAAGGGCATGTACATTGGTTGCGGGCACATCCCCGGTGAGGGGTGTGCGGAGGCAGCTGGTCGATGTTTCTCTCTCATCAATGTTTCTAGTTCTCTATCCCTCTCCCTTCCTCTCTAAAAAATCAATAAAATATACTTTTAAAAAAGAGAATCAACTCATGAATAGATATATTAGTAGAACAACAAATTAATGTTCTGTCTTTCCCTACCTTCCTTCCTCTCTAAAATCAATCAATAAATTTAAAAAAATTGAATGTATAGTATTGACCTACAAAATCCATAGTGAATATATAAGAAAGCAATTCCAGGGCAGGTGTGGGGTAGAGGGAGTCAGGGGGGTAGGGGTGGGAAGAAAGGGGCCATCTCTAATACTTCCAACAATAAAGATAAATTAATAATAATAAAACAATTCCAGATAAACTGACCCGGGAGAACTTACTAAACGCCAGGCACTGTGTTAGGCCAGATGAGGGAACTGAGGCGAAGAGAGGTCAGAGGCTATGCCCAAGATCCCTTCCTGCTGGGGTGGTGGGCTTAGGGCTAGGACGGGATCTGAGTGGGAGGTTCACCACTTCCTGCCTCGGCCTATAGTTTATGTTCTGTTTGGGTTTGGTTGGGACTTTATGAGAGGTGTTATGTCTTTTAATTCAGTGTTTCCCAGATTTTCAACTACAAGGCTTCCAGAGGTGAAGCGACATGCCCTGGCCCATTAGTGCTCCGGTGAGCCCCGCCTCTCACTCACCCACCACCATGATGTTGAACTCAAAACCCATCTTCATGGCCTTGATCTTCATTTGGTCCAGCACGGCCTCGATGCCCACATAACCAAGCATCTCGCAGGACGGGGTCCTGGGGCTGATGGGCCTTGATGAGCTGGGGGAGGGGCATTGCCTTGGGGGGTCCATGGGGCCAAGGGCGCGGCGATCCCTGTTATCTGGGTGAGGAGGGGAGAAGAGGGTTGCTGGGGCTCCAGAGGAGGGACATCTGAGTTCTCATGTCGAACCCTGACCCCTTGGTTCTGCTGCCAGACACTCCCACACATTGTGCCCCTGACCCGTCTGTCCTCCAGGTGCCCAAGGGGTTTGGTGAGCGGTGCCCAGGGGAGCTGCCTCTGGCGGGGGAGGGGGGGAGAGACTGAACTCCATCCGGACATGCACCTTCCCAGGGATCTGTTTCTCCTGCACCCCAGCTCCCACCCCAGACCCAGCCGTGCTCAGGCAGACCCTCTGCTCAGACACTACCCAGCAAAGCCCAGCGGCCGACCTGTCGAAGACAGAGAGAGAAGCAGCCTCGTGTGGCCCTGGAGGCTTTCGGGGCTGCCCTGTCATGGAAGATCCTGGCGTTTGTGGTGAGGGGGAGGGGAAGGGTGACAGTTAACTGAAGAATTGAAGCCCCACTGCTCCCTGTGACACCCCCTGGGGGCTCCTCTGCAGCAGGGAGCCAAGGGCAGGGGCAGGTAAGCTGCTCCTCCAGGCCTGTTGGAGACACTACCCTGCAATCCTCACACCGACCTTGGCCCAGGACTATAGACAGGAACCCGGGTGCCCAGGGCAGCTTCCTTGCCCAAGGTCACCTGGATGGTATGAGTGGCAGATCTGGGCTTCATTCAGCCAGTCTCTCTGGCTTTCAAGTTCATGTCCCTTAACCACTCTGCCAGTGGATGCAAACTTATGATCTACGGGCTGGAAGGCACAACGTCCATGTACTTTCTTTGGTCTATCCATTGCTGGTACCATAGTGTTTTAAATTGGCAGCATTGAAAATCAAAGCATCAATTTAGCAAATATTAATTACATGGCATTGTTCTAGGGGCCATAGAAAGAGTACTTGTTTAATAATCATCACAGCCTATGAAACAAGTGCTGTTACTATGCCGTTTATAGATGACCCAGTTTATACATAAGAGTCAAGGGGATTGTTCAAGATCACACAATGAGATGAAATCTGAGGCCATGGGCTCATCTTTCCCAGTCTTTTTTCTTATTGACACAAAGATCTAGATGTCCAATGTTATTTTATTTTATTATTTTTTAAAATATATTTTTATTGATTTTTTACAGAGGAAAGGAGAGGGATAGAGAGTTAGAAACATCAATGAGAATCATTGATCAGCTGCCTCTTGCACACCTCCTACTGGGGATGTGCCCGCAACCCAGGTACATGCCCTTGAGCGGAATCGAACCCGGGAACTTTCAGTCCGCAGGCTGATGCTCTATTCACTGAGCCAAACCGGTTTCGGCTAGATGTCCAATGTTATTTTAGAGATTGTAAGCCCTGGCAATTCTGGGCCCAGCCTATAGCTGAGTCAAGCTGCTCTCTAGCTGGGCCATATACTCTTTTTAAAAAAATATATATTTTATTGATTTTTTTCCACAGAGAGGAAGGGAGAAGGATAGAGAGCTAGAAACGTTGATGAGAGAGAAACATCGACCAGCTACCTCCTGCACACCCCCTACTGGGAATGTGCCTGCAACCGATGTACATGGCCTTGACTGGAATCGAACCCAGGACCTTTCAGTCCACAGACCGATGCTCTATCCACTGAGCCAAACCGGTTTCAGCATGGGCCATATGCTCTTTAATTTGCTTACAGTCCTCAGCCTTCCCTAATGTTATAGTGTGTGTATGTATATATATTTATATAATATAATAATATATATATTATTGATTTCAGAGAGGAAGGGAAAGGGAGAGATAAAAACATCAATGATAAGAGAGAATTCTTGACTGGCTACCTCTTGCATAATCCCTACTGGGAATTGAACTTGCAACCTGGGCATGTGCCCTGACTGAGGAATCAAACCTCGACGGTTAACCACTGAGCCACACCAGCCAGGCTCCCTGATGTTTCTTATACCAAATCCATCTTACTTTTTTCTCACCTATTTTCTGGCACCTGAGATTGCAAGCCCTAAGTGATCCTCGGTCTCAGATAAAGTATATACTGTCTGAGAACTATCAGATTTCAGGTTTTGCAGATCATAAGATCTCTGTTGCAACTACTCTTCAGCTATGAAAGCAGAAAAGGACAGGGAAGGGTGTGACTGTGCCAGTAAAACTATTGGGGTTGTTCTGTCCATCCACTCAACTCTGCCCCAATACACTTCTTACTGTCCTGTGCTCCAACCAGCCTGTCCCTCTCTGCCCACACCCCCACTGTCTACACATCCGACTGACAAAAGGCTTAACCTCATTGTCAAGGCTTGGAGGCTGTAAGTGGGGTTGGGCAGGGCCCAGGGCAGGATTGGGACAAGAGTCTGCCCTGAACGTGGTTCTGTTCCCAGCAGAAAAATCAAGTTACAACACCACGTCTCTAGAGGGATTCAGCAAGGCTGGCCTCATCAAAGCAAATGAGAAGATGACCAAAGACTGCCAGTGACCTGTGGTATGACTTTGAATGGGAGTACATTCTGTTTCTGGGCATGTTCCCTACGGAAATAAGCCTCTCTGCAGAGAAAGCACTTTCTCCAGGAAAACCATCACATGTGAGTGGTACGGAATTCTGATAAATGTTGGGAAGGAAGACTCAGCGATTGTGAGCTGAAGAGTCAGAAAGCAGCAGTCATTTGCAAGACACTCTTGGCTATGTTGTTTGGGGGACGGGGAGGGGAGACTAACGCGGTCTGAGCAGTGCAAGGATGGCAGCTGAGCCCAAATGGATACCAAGAACTAAGAGCTAGAGGGGATCACAGCCACAAAGTGAGTGAGAGCAACACATGGCCGGCCACTCAGTGCCTGCTTTCTGTGCCAGAGACTTCTCTATGTCAATTATCTCAGTCAATCCTCACAATCACCTGGAGAAGGGCCATTGTTCTCACACACAGATCAGGAAACCGAGGCAGAGAGGGGTCAGGGACCATGTTTCAGGCCACACACACACACTGGTGGGTGTTAAAAGCTGGGACCAGGGTCCGAATCTGGGGTCTGACTTGCCTGAGCCCTCCCCTACCCACCCATCACTGCTATTTGGGTCTGGGGCCTCTTTGTGGTTTTGTCTATGAACACCTTGGGAGTTTTCCAGATTTTAATGAGAAGGTTTTTAATTTCATAATGGGAATCACAAACAAGAAATGAGGCACCCAAGGGCCTGGGCTGTAAGACTGAGGGCCAGTGGGGAGGGGAGGGGAGCATGGGCCTTGTCACCACTCAGCCAGGCCAATGGGGTGCGGGGGTGGGAGGTGGGGAGGGTAGGGGAGGGAAAGAGAGGTGAGGGACTGAAGTTATTGGCCTCCCTCCCCACTTTTTTCCTAGCTGAGATAAAGCCCACATACCATAAAATTAATCATCAGCCATTTTAAAGGGAACAGATCAGTGGCATTTACTAGTACATTCACAAGGTTGCAAAACCACCCCCTACCTAGTTCTAAGGCATGTTCATCACCCCAAAGGAAACCTTATAACCACTGAGCATTCAGTCGCCCACCCCCATTCCTGGCGACCACTACTTTCTTTCTCTATGGATTTGCCTGTTCTGGACATTTCATATAAATGGGATCATACAATATGTGGCCTTTTGTGACTAGCCTCTTATACTTGGCATCATGTTTTTGAGGTTCATTCATATGGTAGCATGTCAGTGCTTCATTCCCTTTATGAATAAAATTCCACTGTATGGATAGGCCATGTTTTATCCATTCATCAGTTGATGGACACTGGGTTGTTTCCACCTTTTGACTATTGTGGTTAGTGCTGCTGTGAACAGTTGTGTACAAGCCTTTGAATACTTGCTTCTAATTCTCTTGGGTGTATACCTAGGAATGGAATTGTTAGGTCATATGATAACACTGTATGTAATTTTTTGAGGAATTGCCAGACTGTTTTTCCATAGTGGCTGCACCCCTCTCCTTCCCCATTTTTACACAAGAACATTCTAGTAGGTTTAAAAATATCCTCCGTCCCTCTGAAACAAGAATCTGAGATTTCAGAACAGGATGGAGGGTGTAAGACGGGGATCCCAGCAAAGGAAACCCCATAACATGATGTCAAGGGCTCTGGGATCTGAATGCCTGAGTCCCAATTCTGGCTTCTCTGCTCACTGGCTGTGGTTGGCTTAGATATCTCCCTCCTAATCCCTGGAACCTGTGAATATGTCACCTTAAGTGGCAAAAGGGTTCTTTGCAGATGTGTTTAAGAACTTTGCTGAGGAGATTATCGTGGGGGCCAATGTAATCACAGGGTTCCTTATAAGTGAAAAGCAGGAAGGTGGTCAGAGAAGATGTGAAGATGGAAGCAGAAGTTAAAGTGATGTGCTGGGCCACGAACCAAAGAATATGACCTAGAGAAACTGGAAAGGCAAGGAATGGTTACTCCCTTACAGCTTCCGGAAGGAATATAGCCCTGCCAACCCATATAGACGCCAACCTCCAGAGCTGTGAGGTAATAAATTTGTATTGTCTTAAGCCACTATGTTTGTGGTTGTATGTTACAACAGCAACAGGAAATGGATCCCTTAGATGTGCGACTCCAAGAGCTGGTTGTTGAGCTTCTCAAGGCCTGTTTTCATATCTGTAAGACGGGAATAGCAGTCATACCCACTGTAAGACTGCCAGGAGGAATGTTAGGTAATGGACATACAGCTAACGTTAGCTGATGTGTTCTTCCGTACTAGATCATAAGCACTCTGAGAACAAAACATTGTGTCTACCGGTTTTATAGCTAACCTCAGGTGCTGAGTCGTGTCTGGCCTTGAGTGGGCCTGGAAACGTCTGTGCTCCGCAGGAAGGCAGGAATGAGAGCTGCCTCACTGACGTGATCAGGGACCTCAAGCCCCAACTTCTGGGCAAAGAGCTCTTTTGAGAGATAACCATAGGGTTATTGTGAGGAATAGAACAGAGAAAATAAGGATCTAAGACTTCTAATATGGTGCCAGGTATACCCCAGCAGTCAAGAAGGGTGGTGGAAAAGATACTTCTTCCTCTCTCCCTTCTCCTTAAAATTATTTTTTAAATTTAATCTTGATCTGAGGATATGTTGTTGTTGTTTTTCTTCTTCTTCTTACTTTTTTTTTTTTTTTTTAAAGAGAGGAAGGGAGAGAGAAACATCAACCGACTACCTCTTCTACACATCCTGACCAGGAAGGAGTGAACCCGTGATGCTTTGGTTTAAGAGCTGATGCTCCAACCACTGAGCAGCACTGGCCAGGGCAAATCCACAACCTTTTGGTATATGGGACGATGCTTCAACCAACTGATCCACCCAGCCAGGGCTCCTTTCTCCTTTAAAAAAAAAAAAAAAAAAAAAAAAAAAAAATATATATATATATATATATATACACATATATATATATATATTATTGACTCTTTACAGAGAGGAAGGGAGAGGGATAGAGAGCTAGAAACATCAATGAGAGAGAACATCAATTGGCTGCCTCCTGCACATCTATTGGGGATGTGCCTGTAACCAAGGTACATGCCCCTGACCAGAATCAAACCTAAGACCCTTCAGTCTGTAGGCCCACGTTCTATCCACTGAGCCAAACTGGTTAGGGCTCCTTTCTCCTTTCTAACTGTCCTCCCTCCCTCCCTCCCTTCTTTTTCTTTGTCTTTCCTTTACTCACGATCAGCAGCAGCTGAGTGCCTACAGTCCCAGGCTGCTTGGTCTACTGAGAAAAAGTGAAAAAGCCCTGGAGAGGAGACTGACGGGTCTGTGACCTCCTGAGACCAGCAGGAACAGCTGCTGTTGGGAAGCAGGAAGCACACCTGCTGGGACACAGGCCCCTGGCTGGCCCTGGGGAGAGAGGGGCTGGTTGCTAAGGCCTCAGGTGGAGTGGATCCGGAAGCAGGAAGCCATGCTCCCAGGTGTTAGGGCCTGCCTGGCTGGGAGAGCTTGGAGGCAGGTCAGGTCTGGATGTGGAGTTGCTGGGGGAAGTGGGAAGAGAGGGGCCTGAGAAGGGCCAGCGAGGAGAGGAGCGGAAGAGAAGTTGGTGCAGGAACTGGGGCCTAGAGGGACCGTGTGAAAGGGACAGGGGCTGGATGGTGGGAGGCCTGTATGTGACCCGGCCCCAGAGGAGCCCGAGCTCTAAGGGTTTCCCTCTGGGGGGTTGGGGCAGGTGGCATCCAGGACCCTATAGCTGGGATGGCCAACCTGAAGCATCTGGAAACCACGGCAGAGGAAGTGCTGCGGAAACTGAAGAACCAACTGCTCCTGTCCAAGTGGGGAGACGCTTACCTCATTTTCTCCCTCATTGTCCTGGGTATGGTCTCTGCGTGGGGCCCATCAGCCTCCCATGCCAGGCCCTAGGTGGAGGGCATGTCTGGACACCTGTCCCACCCTCAGGCATTCTATTGCTCCTGCTGCTGATTTCCATCAAGTGCTGCTGCTGCTGCTGCTGCTGCCGCCGCCGCCACCACCTACCCTCCAGATCCCAGATAACAAGTGCCAATCAGGTGAGCCCCACAGGCCCTGCAAGGCCAGGGATTGCACTGGGATGGAGGAGAGGCTGCTGGGGCTCCTCAAGATGGGGGGTTAGCAGGGACCTGAAGCCTAAAGCCCACTGGACTCCCTCTGTTCCTTTCTGACAGAACTCCACGGGACTGAGTAGCATGGCTCTGGAACCATGAGTCCTCCAGCCCCTCTCTCACATGCTGGGCAACAGTAACAAGGCCTTGTCTGTCCAGATCCTGAGTCTGAAGTGTGTTCCAACCTCCCACCAAGGGGTGGGCAATGCAAGTACTCACTGCTCCATCTAGACTCCATCTAGGTGCCGGCATGACTGCCACCAGGAAACCTTAAGTGACTTGCTGGGGGTCATGCAGCAATTATCCATGGGAGGGCAAGCTGGGCTCAAACTCAGGGCCCAAACCCCGGGCAGACCCCCTTGTCACTATTCCACTCAGCCCCTCAGCAGCCAGAGGACCCTCTCAAAGGAGGCATGAGGAAGCCAGGGGCTCAGTCACTGGGTGCTCCACTTGGCTCCTACAATCAGGGACCCCCAGGCTTGGTCCCTACTCAGACAAACAGACAGACGGATAGACAGAGGGGTCCAGGCAAAGTTGGATGATCTTTATTTCTTGGAGGCCCTGGTAGGATTGCTAAGTAAACAGTCAAGAAAGCCCAGATCATGGTAGGTGGCTTCGGTCTGCCCGGTCCTCCTTCCCTCCTTCCCTCCCAACTCACAGCTTAGGGGCACCACCCGCTCCTCACCTTCCAGCGGGAGGAGGAGTGCGGCTGCCCCTCAGCTGGGGCAGCTCAGCAGGCGGGCAGCTCGGCAGGGAGGGAGGAGAGCCCGGGGCTGGGCTCCACCTTCAGTCCAAAGGGCAGGGATTGGAATGTGGGCCAACTCCTGACCCTACCTCCTTGACCCACCCCCATCCGAAACAGAAAGCAAGTCAGCCTCTCTTCATTCCAGAAGTTCCAGTGTTCAACTCCCATCTGTGCAAATGTGATGGCAAGACGGGCAAGGAGGGAAGTAAATCCCGTGCAGTGCTGGCTCTGGCTTGGGCCCTGGCTTGGGCCGCACTCCAGGGCGTGTATGGTAGGGCAGGGACACCCTGGGTAGGGGCCACTTCTCAGGGGGACAGGTTCTTGGGTGCTCTGCTTAGAAAGGCCTGTAGCTCCAGTAGCTGGAGAACACCGAGATCTAGGAAGGGAGGAAGGCGGGGGTCATGGTGAGTGGTGATGCTGGGGGGCCTGGCCCCAGTTGCACCCTGTGACTCCGGTGACATTTCAAGGTTATCCAAGGGCAATGTGTCAGGGAGAGCGTACTGTTGCCTAGCAGCACAACGGCCCATCAGCCTGGTGCGTGCGGCGGGCACAAAAGACCTTAAGTTTTGGGGGTGCTTTGATCCTGAGACAAGAGCCCCAGGAATACCTCCAAAATGAAGGGGCTATTGCCTGGCCGGCCTCATCTGTTTGAGGTTGTGGCACAGCCCAGACCCTACCTTATCCTTGAGCTGCTGGCAGAGCTGCAGGGAGACGGTAAAGAAGACCAGGGCATCATTTAACCACGGGATCACCGACTCCACTTTGTGCACATGGCTCACCTCCAGGCGCTGGGAGCCCCACTCACTGTGGGCAGAGGGTGGGGTCCCTGAGTCCCCCAGCACCTGAGGTGTAGAGAGCCCTCCAGGGCACCCCACCCAACAGGGTACTTACAACATGGCTCCAGGGCTGTGGAGCACGGAGCCTCCAGCTGGACGGAAGTTCTAGGCAGAAGAGCACCAGACCCAGTCTCAGGCCTTTGGGGTTGCAGGGCGTGGGTCAGTGGGGGCAGAGGTGAGGGGTTGACAGGGTTCTGCTTACCTTGGTGGAATTTGGCTGCAGGGCGTGCAGCTGGTACACAGTGAGGCAGAGCTTGTTGAGGTTGATGTAGACGTTGACCAGCAAGTCGGAGGGCAGGGCAGGGGTGAACATACGCTGGAGGCCGGGGTGCGGGGGTGGAGGGGAAGTGAGATAAGGGCAGGGCAGGGAGAAGCCCCCCAAGAACCACCTGGGGGAATCTCAGTCCTCATCATATGGACTGGGGCATCTAGCCTCTTGCCAGGGGCCTTGGGTAACTTCCTGCTCTGCTGGGTTGGGAACCACTGGCTCAATAAGGTGATGTGTCTGGAGGGACACAGGAGGGAAGCTGAGGACCCTGTCTCAGAAAACTACATAGACATAGACACAGAACCCCTACTGATGACAATTTGGAGCTTCTGACCCCTTGGCACCCCTGTGTCCCTTTCCAGGGACCCGCTGTCTTGGCCCGAGGCACTGACCGTGAGGCCACTGGCGGCAATCTCAGGCAGAGTGAGGGTGGCCGGGGTGGTCAGCCGGTTGCGAGCTCTGGTCAGTTGCAGCATCACGGCATCCATCAACTGGAGGGAGGGGTTAGTCACAGCTGCTGCAAGGGCTAATCCATCCCTCCCACTCCCACCCCAGCATCAGGGAGCGACAAAGTTATGGTGGCTCCAGTTCCTGTGCTGGTGGTCCCGGTCTCAGGGCCCAAATCCCCCTAAAATGGGGGCTTGTTAAAAATGCAGGTAATTGGGATCTTGGGGTAGAGTGCGGGGAGGAGGATAGGATGTCTGTACTATGCACCATCCATCCAGGAGGTTCTACTGGATGGGATCCTGTGGACTGGTCCACAGGGGAAGGAGATGCCAGGAGTTAGTCTCGGGGGCATGAGGGCTTGGTGGATGGGGGAACAGGCACTGAAGGAGTTTACAAGGGGCCCAAATCTGGCTAGGGTGCAAGGGGCAAGGGAGGGCTTCCTGAAGGAAGCAATGGGACAGCTGAGTTGATGCCTTAAGTCAGACATCAACCCCATTTCACAGGTGAAGAAACAGAGGCTCTGAAGAGGTAAAGTCACATAGCTCGTGAAGTGTGGAACCATCTGAAAACTGATCCCTTTCCTTTACCACAGAGCAGTGCCCTTGCTTGGACTCCTCGGAGCCCCAGCTTCCACTGTTTCCAGCTGTTGCTGTAGGAGCTAGGCTGACCTGGCTTCCAGGAAAGGCAAAACTAACGGGAGGAGGCATGGGGCTACAGCTTCTATCCCCCTCTCCCCGGAGCAGTCAGAGAGTTCTGGGAGGGACCTTAGTCCACCCAGTTCCAAGTTTCATATGAAGCATCAGAGGTCCAGAGGGGGTAGGTGAAGCACCTGAGGACTGGTCCAGGGCATCCAGACTCAGTTCTCCCCTCCATGCTTTGTGAACTGACTTTGTTCATTGTCAGGGTTTGTTCTTATTGCTGGTACTACTATTAGCAGCTGCTATTTACTGAGCACTTAACTTACCGGGGGCCACTTTACCTGCATCATAACAACTGGTGATCACTCTATCTTATCCCCCTTTTGCAGGGGAAGATACAGAGGCACAGAGTGGCCAAGCAAGTGACTTGAAGTTGGATAGCTCATAGTGGAGGCCCTAGATCAGAACCCAGGTCTGATTCCATGGCTTGGGTTATGAGCTATTTGACGATGGCTGGATGGACATGTGTACACTGAGAGGTGAGGGGTTAACAGTCAGCTGTACTTGAGGACATGGGGGCAGAATTCTCTAGGAACCTGGTCAGGGGTCAGGGTGGGTGTGGGAAACCTGACTCCCCTGTCCCTGCAAGCAACTCACCTTAAGGACCTCTGCTCCTGTCCTGAACTGGTAGCTCTCATCCCGGTTGTTGAGGAGGTAAATGGCTTGGCTCACGTGGTTCCTGGCATCCTGGATCTGAAGACAGTGCCCACGGAGTGGTTAGGGGGATGGCCCCAGGCAATGAGCCCCCGCTCTTGAGAGGCTGTCATCCTTGGAGGGCTGGGTGGGTGCTGCTTGCCTGGCTCCACCCCCACAGCTGTTGGCTTCCTGCCCTGGCTGGGTGCTTGCACATGGTACAGACTGAGGCAGGCTTGGTCCCTGGCCCCATGGAGCTTACTTTCTAAAGGAGGACAGACGCTAACAGAGTAAAGGCACAAGAAGCAGACTGCATGGCTCACACAAGGAAATAAACAGGGTGACGGAGGGGGTTAGGGGAGCGTCTATAAATGGGGATCTGAGGAGGCCACAGGGAGGTGATTCTTGAGCTGACATTCATCACTCTTGGGATGAGAAAGCTTGTGGAGAGGACTCCAGGTAGAGAGACAAGCAAGAACAAAGGCCCAAAGATGGGGTCTGCTGGTGGCCAGTTGTGTGAGGCGGGGAGCAGAAGCTGAGGCCCAGTCACATAGGAGTTGATAGGGAGCATGGACTTTGTCCATGGAGCCAAGGAGCAACCAAAGGCTATATGTGCATAGTCCATGGACACAGACAACAATGTGGTGAAGCCCTAGTGGGGGGTGGGAGGGTAAGGTGGAGGCAAAGGGGACATTGATAATAGAGGGGAAAAAAATAGAGCTTTACTCAGGTGGCTCAGTGATTGAGCTTCTACCTATGAACCAGGAGGTCACGGTCAATTTCTAGTTGGGGCACAAGCCGGGGTTGTGATCCCCAGTAGGGGCTGTGCAGGAGGCAGCCTATCAATGATTCTCATCACTGATGTTTCTCTCTCTCTCTCTCTCTCTCTCTCTCTCTCTCTCTCTCTCTCTCTCTCTCTCTCTCGTCATCTTCCTTCCTCTCGGAAATCAATAGATAATTTTTTTTTTTAAGAGCCATGAGAATCCTCCGGAAGCTTTGGGCAGGGACTGACTTGTTCAAGGGGGATCCCTGTGGCTTTGGCTAAGGCCTGGGGACAGGCAGATGGGTTCTCCACCTCCCACAAGGCTAGGTTCTGGAGCCCAGGCTCCTCCCACCCAGCTTCCCTGCTAGGAAACACCCTATCAGGCTTGCCAGGCAGAAAATCCCCCGTGTCCTGCCCCTGGAGGCCTTAGCACCACTGTGCAGGCCTGCCCTGCCTGTCCTGTGGCCTGAGCCCTGGCTGGGGAAGGGCCTGGTTACCTGCTGCAGCTTCCACTGCTTGTCCTCCCGGAAGGCAAAATGCAGCAGCTGGTTGTTTCGGGGCATCTTCAGGTTCACGTCCTGATGGGTGAGAGTGGGGTAAGCTGGGCAGAGGGATGCCCTGCTGCTTTCGGCCATTCTGAGCCTTAGAGCCAAGTGTGGAAACAGTGGTGGCTCAGGTCTCAGCCTCTCCTAGGCAGGGGAGGGAGAGATAGGACTCCCAATACCATGGCCATTCAGGGGGAGAGGTGAGTAGGAAGTCAGGAAACAGGAACTCAGGCCTAAGAGGAACCACAAATAAATGAAAGGGAAAAGAAGCCAAGAAAGGGGAAGGTGGCCTTAGCTGGGAGGAGGCATGAGATGGTGGGCAGATGGAGAACATCTGCACAGGCTAATGGACTGAATACATAACTCAGGAAGGACAGGGACCTTCTCCCTTGGCCCCTGGCACAGGGCCGGGTGCAGATGGAGCTCAGATGATGGTGATTCCACTTTGATCTGGGGCCAATGCCCATGCTTCACCCGGCCCAGACTCTGGGCTAGGCCATGTGCAAAGCATCCATCTCCTGTACTCAATGAAACCTCTCACTAATCTCATGAGAAAGCTGGGGGTTGACATTTACAAACTAAGAAACTGAGGCCCAGAATGGCCAAGGATTCTGCCTTGTGTCACACAGCCAGTCAGTGGCAGAGCTGAGATAAGCAAGAGGTCCTCATGCTCTTCCCCACTGGCTTCTCTAGGAACATAGAAAGGGAAGGGAGAGGGACCAGGGACTCACCGCCTGGCTCAGTGCGTCCCCTTGCAGAGTCAGCACGCCCTTCACCTGGTCTGTGCTGCAACACACGGGGGTCAGAGCAGAACCTGTAGCCGATTCCTCCCACCACCCAGCCTTCCCACTGGGCCCCTTGTGGCTCTGTCACAGGATGTTCCAACCCAGGTGTTCTCACCCCCTAAGGAGTCCATCCCAGGGGTTTCCACCAAGCCAGGGCTTACCCAGAGCTGCCCAGAATGAAGTTCTCTTGCTTGGCAGGCCCCTCCATGCCTGAGCCTGGCAGAGTGAAGCGAAGAGAGGCTTCCTGGGGGCATAGGGGAGTGAGGCAAAGTTCACCCAATCCAGCCCAGAAAGTCCCACTTCCTCTAGGGCCAGGGAAGGTACAAGATGGGCTGGCCTCACAGGAATGTCCTACCCAACCCCCCAGGGCACCTTCCCACTACTCTGGCTCCTCCCCCAGGTCCCACCCAAGCCAATACCAGCTTCTTCCATGTTCCCTGGGGGCCTGTGCCCAACATGGGATATAAAACAGGACTACTCTCCCAGCTTGGTTAAGGTGCTCGGTACAAGGTCAGGGAACCCGCAATTCTGACCATACCAGGCAATGCCTGAACATTATCCGCAGGTCAACCTTGAGGCAGGTACTGTTACTTCCTTTTTGGAAATGACGAAGGAGAGGTCCAGAGAGACTGAGTACTTAGCTAGTGTCACAATGTTGGGGTCCTTGATCTCAGATTAAATGTCACTGCTTCAAAGAAGGCCTACCCCGTCCGGACCCCGAGGCTCACCCAGCCCCACAGCCCTCCCACAGCCGCCGGTGGAACAGGGTGATCATCTGCTGGCGCCCCCTGTAGACTCCCAAGTCCACCGACGACAAAGCCCCGCCTGAACCCTGCGCTACGCGTACCCAGGAGGCTCTAGGGAGGCAGTGGCGGCCGCCCCGGGAGGAGCCGCAGCAGGGGAGGCTGCGAAGGGTGGACGCGCGCAAAGGCCCACGGCCGCCCGCGAGACGTTACCTTTAGGATGTCCTGTAGCTGCCTCAGCACGGCGTGCACTTCGTCGTGCAGCAGCCAGCGGAATTCCTCCTCCTGGCGGGACAGGCCGCGGTCAGCCGCCGGGCCCGCCGCCCCCACCCTGCCCCACCCAACTGCTCGTGGCCTCACCAGCACTGCTCGCTCCACCGACGTCGGTGCCATCGCGGTCGCCATCGCCACCGATCGCTGAGCAGCTACGGTCCCGGCCAGCGGTCCGCGTCCGTCGCTCGGTCGTTCCTCAGCGTCCCGGCCCAGCCCCCGCCGCCGATTGGCTAAGTGGGAACCAGCCCGCCCCTAACCACCGCCCCACTCCGCCGATTGGCTGAGAGGACACCTGCCCCGCCCCGGCTCGCGACCCAGCGGAATGAAACTAGGCTGGCTGCGGCAGGAACCCGCCCGCTCTGGCTCCACCGAGACGCCGCCGGCGCAAGCCGCGGGCGCCGCATCCAGGCTGCTCTGCGGCGGGAGCGCGCTCGTCCCGCCTCTCCCCGGCTCTGATAGGGTGCCCTTACCCACTTGTGCTCTATGGGCCTGCGGAATGGCTGGCTCTCGCCGCGCCTGTTGATTGGCCGACGGGGTAGCCAGCTCCAGCTGGGCCTTGCCTTCCACCCCGGTTCACGGGTCCAGGAAAAAGCCCAGAGCTTAGCCGCCGCCCACCTCCCTCCACCGCTGGGCAGTAGTGTTTGGGCACAGACAAGGTAATCAGTCCCAGTTGGGTTACCAAGAAACGTTTTATTCTGCTTGCAGTAGCCTTTTGTTAATTGCACAAAATCATTTGTTTTTGCCATTTTAAACGTTATCACACAATCCTATTCTGAAAAACATGTTCATGAAAAAAAAAAAAGCAAAAATAAAAATTCACAACCTTAATTACCAGATTTGTCATTTAAAGAAAAAAAGGAGGGGGGTGGAGGAGGGGCTTTCTTACAAGCTTTTCCACAAGTGTCACATTTTTTCTTTAAAAGGGAAGGATTTCAAAACAAAGGTGAAATAGCTTAAACAAATATTCATAAAAAGGAACTTTACAGAATTGTCAACAATATTAAGACAACATTGACTAACAGTTTCATTACAGCATCTTCCCTACTCCCACCCTCCCTCCCCCAGTGTCCAGCTAGGACTATAACAGGCTTTGTGTTCAGAGAGAAAATAATTAAAAATCCCAGTGAAATCAACTGTGTCAAAACCCACAGGCATCTTCCCTGCCCTCTCCCGTCTTCTGAGAGCCCATAACTTGGGTTCTGTGGGAAAGGGCCAAGGTTATGAGGGGAAGGGACCCACACCAGTGTGGCCACCTCATTATATATATATAATTATATATTCACTATAAATGCTGACCTTCTGCAAAGTGTGACTTTGAAAAATCCAACCAATGCACAGAGAGACATTGACAACCTTCAGATGACTTCTCCTTGTTCTTTGTCACATTCTAACACCCTCTGGTCCCCTATATCCAAGGAGATATACTAGGGTCCTCAAGGATGTTTTGGATCCATCTCTGAGGATCAGTCTGTTCAGGTTCAGTCAAGCCCATTCTCCTTTTCCCTCCCGACAGACCTCAGGACCCTGGAAGTACCAAAGACCACCAAGTTGCTAGCTGAAGACACTCATTCTGTTCAAGAGCTGAGCCTAAGAAATGGTCATCGTTGGTCAGGCTGGGTCTGGGCTAAAGGGACAGAGACAGGAAGAAATTCTACTTCCATGGAGGAAAAGGGGAAAGAGAGGAGAATGGAGAGAGGAGGGCATGCAGAAGACTTGTACAGGGGCAAGTGGGACCACTGTGAGGGCACCTGGGTCAGATTGGCTCTTCAGGACCATATGAAGTCTGTGGCATAAAGCCCATCCCCCTCACTCTTCACTGGTGGCCCTCAGGATCCCCTTCCCAAGGGCTGGAATGCAAATCTAAATACTAAAACAGCCTGCTGAGGAGTGAGATCCCCCTACACCAAAGAAAGGAAGTCTGATCCTAGCCCAGGGGTTGTAGTGATGGCGACTTCTAGGACAGGTGCTGAAGAGCAGTGAGGAGATAGGCTTCCGTGAGACTCAACCTACAGGCTGACTGCTGCTCTCCTGGAAAGCCAGAGCCTTGTCTTCACTTGACTTTGCCAATCTCTCTTCATTTCACAAAGGCATTTCTGGAGAGTTGGTTGCACGCTGGTACTTAAACATGACAATCCCCATCGGCTGGTCACCTGAGGTTGGGAGTCTGTACTAGTTCATCTTGGCCCAGAGCCTCTCTCTGCAAGGGATCCAGTTGGGAATGTGAATGTGACCACAGCTTCTTTGCTCTGAAGGAAGCAGGAAGGCTTCCAATTCTCACTGCCGATTTTAGTTCCTCGACTGGAAGGGGTATGAGATAAGACAAGCTTGGAAGGGGGAAAAAGCCAGGCAGCAGTTTCCGGGCAGCTTCTATCCTGGAGTAAGAGCCAGTGTGGGTGTATGTGGGTGTATGTGTATGTCTGTGTGTGTGTATGTATGCATATGTGAACACACAGCCACCTGGTTCAGGGGCCAGTGCCCAGCTCAAGAGCTTTGCTACAGGCCAATCCTGCTGACACCTCCCCCCTTCCCAGGACTTTCAGGGGAGGAGTAGTGCTGTGCTGATGGCAAGTCTCAAAGTCTGTATAAAAGGAGATGGAGACAGGTGGACTGGTCCAGAGTGAAGTCCCAGGACCCCAACTCCATGTGAGGAAGAGGGGGTCAGAGGGAGGGAGTGGGGGCTTAGTGTATGTAGGCCCGGTACACGGCAGACATGTCGTTATCAGACTGGTCCAGTGCCTTGGCTCTTTTGTACACCTGGAAAAAAATGAGATGAGCTCAGTCTCTGACCATATAGCTGACTTAAAGACATGGATCTGCTTCCTGGAGATGGCTCTAGATGTGGTTAGGTAGGTAGGTTCTGGAGTCCAGGCTGTCTGGGTGTGACCCTCGGCTCTTTTGATGACTGATCTGACCTTGGATAAAGTGCCTCAGCCACTGCTTTCTGATACCATGGAGGAGGTAATCGGGTTACGGGGAGGATTAAATGGAGTGAGGGATGTATAATGTTCAGAGTGTGGGCACAAAGGGAGGGCTCAGTGTTGTTAGCAATTATAACCATGTCTCTTTCTGCTGATGACCCTCCAAGGACTTCCCATGTTATTCTCTGGGCTACTGTTCTTGCCCTTTCCTCTGGCTCCTTCCCAGAGGCCTTCCCTGACCACCTCACCTAAAGCAGCAGCTGCACCACTTTACCCTGGTCACTTCTATCCCCTTATTCGGTTCTATTTTATTCATATTTCTGACCATCTGAAATTCTCATTTGTTTAAATATGTATGTGCTTATTTTGTTCCTCTTTCCATTAAAATGTACACCAACCTGTCCCCAGAGCCTAGTATGGTGCTTGGAAATTAACAGTTGCCTTGGTGATACAAGATAAATATAAAGAAGTAGGAAATAATTAAAAAGCCATTGTTCAACAACAGTGGTATGACATGCAGTTGGACACAAACTTCCTCTCTTACATGGCTGGGTACATTTTTTAAAAATTATTTTTTTACTTGCTTTATTATTAAAAAAAAATATTTTTATTGATTTCAGAGAGGAAAAGAGAGGGAGAAAGAAACATCAACGATTCTCTCCATCATTGATATTTCTATCTCTTTCTCCCTGAAACCAATAAAAATATATTAAAACAAACTCCATTTGGAGTTACCATAATTGTCCATTACAGCTCAGGTGAAGTTGTCAGCTCAGAATGAAGGCTAAAGACCTTTTCAGATAAAAGAAAATCACTTGCTGCCAGCAGACCTGCATTATAATAAATGCTAAAGGAAGTTTTCCCAGCTGAAAGAAAATAACTCCAGAGAGAAATTCAATTCTTCAGAAAAGAATGGAGAGCACTGGAAATTGTAATTAGAAAAATTATTAAATTATTCTTCTCTTTATTTCTTTAAAATATGTATGACTAATTAAAACAAAACATTTCAACATTATCTTACGGGTTTAAAACAAGGCAGATAAAACACATAGGATCTGTTTCCTCTGAGCTCCAGCACTGGGGCAGCGGCATGGAGGAATCCACGGACATATGGGGAGGAACTGGATTTTTGGCATTGGAGCAAGTACTCAGGGGCGGCTTCCTCCCAGATAGGAGTGCTCGCAGGGGTCATTCTTCCTATGCTGAGACCTCCTCTGTCACAGAGCTGACTGGCAGCCAATGAGAGATTCCATCAGCCAGGCTAACAGTGTTCACTCCACAGTGCTGATTCCCTGAGACCCTGCCCTATCCAATTTGCAGCCCAACCCAAGCTGTTGTAGCAGTTTTTCTATATGACTGTCCTGTCCTGGCTCAAGCTTCAGATTTTCATAAAATCTCTCAAAAAAGCATCAGCTGGCATCAGCATGCTCTATACCTTATCAATAAGAGTTGTCCAAGAACAGGCACTAGCAGTAGCCTGCCTAGCTTCACAGATTGGTGTGGCCTAGGCACTTCCAAGTCCAGCACAAGTAGCTACCATCTGGAGATTGCTCTGTACCTTCTCCAGGTTAACCCAGGTGGTGACCGACTTTGCACCTTTCAGGAGACCTCAGAGCCAGTGAACCCAGGGGTCAGGTTCAGACCATACCATATTATAACTCTACACATCCACAAGTGACATACTCAAGTAGTAGACTCAATAAGCACCAAAGCCCCACTGAAGCAAGTCCTGCTCTATAGGAGTGTCTCTTGCACAGCAGCAGCTAGTCCTCACAGCCAATTGGCCTGAAGGCCAATTTCTCCCAGTGACAACAATAACAATCAAGGCTCAATTACAACAAGACTGAACACAGCCTACACTGGGCGCACCTAGGGTGCCCAGCTCAGGTGACTGGGGAGGTGAGCCACTGGGCCTTATAGGACACCTACTACACAAGGTCTCTACAAATTCCAGCAGCTCTATCTTATATATAGAAACAAATACAGGAAAGGAGCCAAAATGTGGACACAAAGAAGTTTGTCACAAATGAAAGTACAGAAGAAATTTCCATAAAAAGAACTAAATGAAATGGAAGCAAACAAACTATTAGATATAGAGTTCAAAACAATGGTTATAAGGATGCTCAAGGATCTTACTGAGAACTTCAAGGGACTTAACGAGACTTTCAAGGATCGTAGTGAAAACAAAGACATGAAAAAGGACCAGACAGAAATTAAGCATACACTAACTAAAATAAATAATAATTTATAGGGATTCAGCAGTAGAGGATTCCAAGAATCAAATTGATTTGGAATATGAGGAGGCAAAAAACACCCAATCAGAAGAGCAAAAAGAAAAGTAATTCCAAAAATGTGAAGATAGTGTAAGGACAACTTCAAGCATATCAACATTTGCATTATAGAGGTGCCAAAAGGAGGAAAGAAAGAGAGCAAGATATTGAAAACCTATTTGAAGAAATAATGACAGAAAACTTTTCCTATCTGGTGAAAAAAATAAACTTACAAGTCTAGGAAGCACAGTTCCAAAATAAGAGGAACCCAAAGAGACCCAAACCAAGACACATCATAATAAAAATGCCAAAGGTTAAAGACAAAGAGAGAATCTTAAAAGCAGCAAGAGAAAAGCAGTTAGTTACATCCAAGGGAGTGCCCATATGATTGTCAATTGATTTCTCAACAGAACCTTTGCAGGCCAGAAGGCAGTGGCAAGAAATAGTCAAAGTGATGAATAGAAAGGACCTACAAACAAGATTGATATACCCAGCAAAGCTCTTATTTAGAATTGAAAGTCAGATAAAAATCTTCACAGACAAGAAAAAGCAAAGGGGGAGCAGGCGGGTTGGGTGCGGCCAGGCCCGGAGCAGCGGCTGCCAGGCTGGGAGCGGCCAGGCCCGGGGGAGCAGGCGGGTCGGGTGCGGCCAGGCCCGGAGCAGCGGCTGCCAGGCTGGGAGCGGCCAGGCCCGGAGCAGCAGCAGCCAAGTCCAGAGCAACTAGGTCGGGAGCGGCAGTGACCAGACCCGGAGCAGCTGGTTGTGGAATGAACCAGAGCAACAGAGGCCAGGCCCTGAGCAGCCAGGCCCAGAACAGCTCGCTCCTTGCCTGCCCCTGCCCCACGGCTGCTTCTCAGACATGGCTGGAAACTTTCATGGGAACTTGAGGGTCTGCTGAATCAAGTGATGAAGGCTTAGATCTGGATGTGTTGAGTTAGTTTAGGACTGGGGTGTTCATCTGTGAGTGCCTTGGGTGGGGCCTGGATGAGGCTGGTGGACCTATTGGGAAATGTCTTTTGTGTGAAGTGTATCATTGGGCATGTGGAGGTATTATTGATATGAGAAAATGCTAAGTAACTGATTTACTATCTGAAAAGGGATTTACTATTGGGGAAAGGGAGGGAAGAAGAGACTGAACATAAACTGCACCTATGGATGAGGACAATGGGGGATGGGGAGGGGGGAGAGGGTGGGGTGGGAACCGGGTGGAGGGGGGAAGAAATGAGGAACCTTTGTAATAATATGAACAATAAAGATTGATTTAAAAAATTAAAAAAAAAGAAAAAAAGAAAGAAAGAAAAAGCAAAAGGAGTTCACCACCACTAAACTAGCATTACATGAAATGTTGAAGGGTTTTCTATAGTAAGAAGAAAAAAGGATAAAAAATGCTAACAATAAAATGACAATAAATACATTATCTATCAACAATTTAAACTAAAAAACGAAATAAACAAACAAGGAATCTAATTAACAAAATAAACTGATGAAATAGAAACAGAGGCATGGGAACATGGAACAGACTGACAAACCTCAGAGGGAAGGAAAGTAGGAAGTGCAGGAAGAGATTAACCTACAAACTTATATGCATATATGCATTTCCTATGGACGCAGGCAATAGAGTGGTGAAGGCCTGGGTTGGGCAGAAACCAGATGGAGGGAACAAAAAAGGGGACATTTGTAATACTCTCAACAATAAAGATGAAAACAAACAAACAAATAATTAAATATAAATACAGGGGGAAAAACAATTAAAAGAAAGATTTAACACATAGAACATCTGTAACTTAAAGCAGGAGTTCTCAGCCTGGGGGATTTTGGTAATGCCTGGATATATTTTCTATGGATGGGGTGCTGCTAATATCTAGTGAGTAGAGGACAGAGATGCTGTTAACATCCTATAATGCACAGGACAGTTCCTATAACAAAATATCAATAGTACCCTCACTGAGAAATCCTGTCTTAAAGGGTGAGGGACAGAGAGGTAAATCAATCTGTTTTTGGTAAATATTAACTCTAAGTAGGCTGTGAATGTAAGTGCATACTGCAAGTCCTAGAGCAAAGTTAGAAGAAAAATTATGCCTCATTAAAAAGCCAATAGATATTTAAACTGAAATTCTAAAAATATATTCAAATAACACAAAAGAAGGCAAGGCAGGCCTGGCCAGTGTGGTTTGTAGTTAGAGTATATATATATATATATACCTGAGTTACAGGTTTGATGCTCAGCCCTAGTCAGGGTTCATGCGGGAAGCAAACGAATTGATGTGTCTCTATCATATTGACGTTTCTCTCTTTCTCTTCCCCTCTCCCAAAATAAAGGCAAGAAAGGAGGAACAAACAAAAGCCAGAAGGGAGAACAGCAATCAAATGTTTGGTAGCTTTGAATTTAACCATACAACAGACTTCAAGACAAATTAAATGTTAAAGGACTATTTAACTTTAAGATTCAATCAGTAAGGAGCTTAAAGTCACTATCCAAACAAATGGTCAGAAAGTACTATGCTCAATTGAGAAATTAACTAATAGGTCTATTTCCAAGCTAATAAAGAAGTGAGAAGGCAAGTCAGAAATCACCTTATGGAGAAGTGTTGCCAACACAAACCACACACAGAACCCTTTCAGTTAAAGTTAGCTTATCAATAAAAATTTGATAAAATACATGTGGAATCTACTGCCAAGAGAGAACCCACAGGTGAAACAAACAGGAAAAACATGAAATTGTACTGCAACTTAAAAGAGTGAAATAGCCCTAGCCAGTTTGGCACAATGGATAGAGTGCCAACCTTCAGACTGAAGGGTCGTGGGTTTAATTCTGGTCAAGGATATGTACCTCGGCTGCAGGTTCAATCCCCAACCTGTCAGGCGAGTGAGGAGGCAACCAATTGATGTCTCTCTCTCACATTGATGTCTCTGTCTCTCCCTCTCCTTTCCACTTGCACTTCAAATCCATGGAAAAATATGCTCGGGTGAGGATTAACAAAACAAACAAAAAAGAGTGAAATAATTATTTTTAGATATTTAGGCAAGGAAGAACAGAAGATAGAGAATTTAGGGACAGAAGACTATAAATTATGAAAAGAGGTCTGAAAAGAGCAGTAAGCTATTTTTTTTTTTTTTTTTTTTTGCTAGAATAAGCCACTTGAGACTGTAAGTATTTAATGTGAATGAAAATGTGTATCATTTATAACATTTGAAACTATAGTTTCTACAATAAATAACCGGGAATGGAACCCACCACCTTTCAGCTGTTCTTTTAAAAATATATTTTTATTGATTTCAGATAGGAAGGGAGAGGGAGAAAGATAGAAACATCAATGATGAGAGATAATTACTGATTGCCTGCCTTCTGCATGCTCCCTACTGGGGTTTGAGCAAGCAACCGGGCATGTGCCCTTGACCAGAATCAGTCCAAAGGCCGATGCTCTATCCACTGAGCCAAACCACTAGGGCCAGCTGTTTTTTAAGATTATATTTCTATCAAGTTGAAATAAGAAAGTTGAATTTCTAAACAACTGTTTTCAAAAAGTGCATGTGTAGGTGCATAATAAATGTCATTCAAAAAATGTTAATGATTAAACACTTCAATTAATAGGCAGATATTGTCAGAATGTATAAAAATATAAGCCCCAATTATAGACTGTCTACAAAAGATACAATTTAAAGGCACAGACTGAAAGTAAATGGATGGAAAAAGACATACCATGAATACAGTAAGAAAGAGAGGCTGAAGTAGTGATATTAGATAATAGATTTCAAGACAAAGATTGAGAGACATTTCATAATAATAATGATAGGGTAAATTCACCAGGAAAACATAATAAACAAAAGTTTCAAAGGCATCAAGCAAAATGGACAGAATTAAACAGACAATCCCATGATCATTGTGGGGAGATTTTACTCTCTCTCTCTACGACTGAAAGAAGCAGAAGAAATATCAGTAAAGATGATTTGAAAAACATTAACAACCATCTTGACCTAACTGATATCTGTGAAACACAGCACCCAGCAACTACAGAACAATCCTCTTTTTTTAAATGTATTTTATTGATTTTTTACAGAGAGGAAGGGTGAAGGATAGAGAGTTAGAAACATTGCTGAAAGAGAAACATCGATCAGCTGCCTCCTGCACACCTCCTATTGGGGATGTGTCCGCAACCAAGGTATATGCTCTTGACTAGAAATCGAACCTGGGACCCTTCAGTCTGCAGGCCGACGCTCTATCCACTGAGCCAAACCAGTCAGGATCAGAACAGTCTTATTAAGTGCACATGGCACACCCAGCAACAACTATTAGGCTAGAAAACAAGTCTGAATAAATTTAATGAGCTAAATATCATACAAAGCATAGTCTTTGGCCACAAAATTGATCCATTACAAATCAATAACTACTAGACAACTAAGAAAACCCTAAATACTTGATAAAATTTAAAGTAATCCACAGATTGCCAAAACTGGTTTGGCTCAGTGGATAGAGCGTTGGCCTGCGGACTCAAGGGACCCAGGTTCGATTCTGGTCAAGGGCATGTTCCTTGGTTTCGGCACATCCCCAGTGGGGGGTGTGCAAGAGGCAGCTGATTGATGATTCTCTCTCATCGATGTTTCTAACTCTCTATCCCTCTCTCTTCCACTCTGTAAAAAAAAAAAAAAATCAATAAAATATATTTAAAGATAAATAAAGTAATTCACAGGTTAAAGAAGTAATCACAAGAGAAGTACACTCAGCTCAGAAGGAAGTGTCTAGTTTTTAAATGATCCTTTTAGAAAAGGCAGGTCTAAGATCAATGACCTAACATTTCACCCTGAGAGATTAGACCAGATAGCAAAGAAAAGCAAAAGTAAGTAGAAGGGAAGAATAACAAGAAAAACAAGGAAGGCTGCTGGGTCTTGAGCCACTGGCTCTTTTAGTTAGTTACCTCATTGGCTGCAGCTGCCATAGGAGTTGGATGGTTGACGGCATCACCCAGCGCAATGGCTAAGCGAAGATCCTTCTGAATGTATTTCAGGTAGAAATCAGGTTTAAAGTTTCCTTGTAGAATATCTGAGGAGAGAAAGTCATGTATCAGAAGAACTAATAGGACCCTAAATAAGAAAATACCTGCCAAGTATCAGCAGGGTTCAACATGTAGCATTTCTTGCCTCCCTTAAACACCCAAAAGACAAGGTTCCAGCCTGTACACCCAAATCCCATCTACCTTCTCTGGACCCTCACTACCTGGAAATATAGAAAGGGTGCATCTTTTATACCTAATGAGCCCCTGAAGAAACTGTTGTGACAGTGGCCTTCCTTACCCAGTTCCTCAGCTCTAGTAAAAAAAAAAAAAAAAAAAAAAAAAAAAAAGGCAAGAAGAGAAGCCAATGACAACTTACTTTGGCACTTCTGGTCCAGAAAGATGCTGGCCAATTGTCCTTGATTGAGAATATCCAAGAATGTCTGCTGGGACTGGCCTGTCACTTGGGCCAGGGTCAACCCCTCAGCGATAGTTGCCATAAAGCTTCCCTGGACCATGTTCACAATCAGCATCATTTTGGCTGCATTGCCAACCTCACCTGCTCAGGGCAAAGAATCATGGTCACTTCCCAAGAATCCAACAGGCAGGGACTTTCAATCCCCCTCATCCCTGCTCAGACCCACCTCTACACCCAGGGAAGGCCCCATTCACCTGCCCCTGACAGAACTGGCTCTGACCCTTCTGGTTCTTCCTCCTTCAAATGTGCAAATCAAAGGAAACCTTCCCACGGGGGCCCCAGGCTGAGATGCCATGCGGGATTGACGTTGTCATCAGTGCAGTCCAGGGGGAATGTGGCCCAACAGGTGGGCAGATATGTTACCTAGAAAGAAGGAGGTCTTCCCCATCGCCTGGAAGCAGCTGCTGCAGTCCTCATATAAACCCCTGTCTCCGGCTGCTAAGATCACCAACATCCCATCATTAGACAGCTGCTGGTTCCCTGAGACTGGGGCTTCCAGAAAGCGGCCCCCCCTGGACACAATCACCTGGAAAGGAAAGTCATAGCTTCTAGAGACCTTACCTCTCCCACGGTCTCAGGTAGGGAGTAAAGGGGGTCCTTGAGTGGAAGTACTTAGCCCTCCACATGGAAGCCCCAAAGCTGACATCTGTACAAAGGTGCTGGACTAATGCTGTGGAAGGGTCAGCAGATAGCTTCCAACAGATGCCTGACTCACATGTGGTAAACAGAGAGGGCTCTCCTCATAAGTTCCCATTTACTCTGAATTTCTTATAAAGACCAAAGATTACAACCAAACATGGCTGTGCCAACTGCTTGGTTGTCCACTCCTCCTATAGACACTGCCCTTCCCGGACTTCACTCTTAGAACACACACGAGCCAGAAGTCACCACTCCCTCATTTGGGCCCAGCAGCTCAGAAGGAGAATACTTAGCAAATAGATGCTTAACCCAAAAAGGTTGTGCTGACAGCTTGGATTGCTTCTCACTGTGAGGCTGTCAACTATGGGATCTGATGCCCATCTCAGTTAGGGGGCACCTCTCCTCTCGTGACCACTTAGATTAACTGTGACTTTGAAGGTAGAGAATGAAGACAGGCTACTGGCCTCACTTCTTCTCTCCTCTCTGGCTTTGGCTGGATAACCAAGTTATCCACACTTGGGCATGGTCAGCTTAGGTCTTGGGATCCAACCAAAAGGATGCTGTAGGGCCAGCCCAAACAAGGCTGTTACCTGGGCCAGCTCGGTAACTGTGTCAGCATCCACTGTTGACATGTCCACGTAGCACTTTCCGGGACGGATCCCTTGCAGTACACCACTGGGGCCCAGCACCAGCTGTGGGGACACAAGGGAGAAGCAATAGCCCAGGCCCCCAGCCAGATAACCAGGAACCCCTTAGACCCAAAATCAGAATTCATTTGCTTTTTTGGTTCATTTTCTGATAAGGAGCTAATAAATATTAAGGCTGAAAAGCGAAAAGCAATAAATAAGCAAGGGAAAGAAAAGTATTTCTGGTATCCCATTTATCTTTAAAAATAGTGTATTTCTATTAAAAACTTCCCATTTAAAAGATGGAATCTCAGTGTTTCAGTTTTGGGGCTTCTTTGGATTTACTTGGATTAGACAGACTAGTCACCAGTTTAAAAAGATGACTACTGCACTTGAACTTTTAAAACATACAAATACAGTGATAGCCAAATATAGGAACTTGGCACATAGACCAAAAGCACATACAATCCCAAAGCTTCCAGCTCAATAAGAATTACACAGACCATTTCAGCAGACCTCAGGGATCCTAGCCTTTTGCAGTCTTTGTTCTGAATTAAAGAAAGTCTGTATTCAATTTATGCAAACACCCTTCACAATGGGAGAAGGCCCCCAGATGGGAAATTCAACCCCCCACATGCAGACACTCACTCCGTATGCAGGGGAGAAGGGGAGGAGGCCAGCCAGCTTTCCTGGCCACAATCTGAGACGCTGAGGGGAGGGAGGGGATCCTTACATCCTTGGCCGCCTTTGGATCCGACACACAGGCAAAGGTGATGTCACAAGTTGAAACAACTTCAGCGGGGGTTCTTCCTAGGCGGGCCCCCTCCTGGATGAACAAATCACACTGCAAAAGTCACAGATCCTAACGTGAGCTGCAGGCATTGCACAACAAACAGGACAGCCAGGCCAGAGATACGGTGCCCAGTCCTCCTGGCTGGCCTCCTAATGCAGGAGACTGAAGCTGAGGCTGAGAGCCCCAGACACCAGAGCTGGTGGTCTGACTTCTGGGGGAAGTGGATGGGACTTCTTCAGGACTGTTTTGTGTTTTCGAATACTTGATGCCTAAACTGGTGTTTTACTTCACATTAAGTATAAAACAAGTGTCTGCTGAAGGATTCCTGTATGAAAACAGGATGTAAACAGTGCCTGTTTCAGCCCTGCATTATCAGCACTGTGCTAGGGAAGCAGGGTTGGGGGTGGGAGGCTGCCATCCCTTTCTACGAAGTTTCTTGGGGTCTAAAAACACTATTTTAGTGCATTACCCTTTTCCAAAGGTATTTAAAAATTGAGTAACTACTGTTTTGTATTCAATGTTTATTAATTTGTAAGGCTTATATTTATCCATAGTCTCATTATTATCACTTACAATGAATGGCTATAAAATATGCCATCAAGAGACATATCTGGATTTACCTAATGGCTCCACTGCAGTTTGATATTTGGACTGCTTTTAATTATAAATGACTCAGCAAATATCTTTATGTTTCCAATTTAGACTTCTAAGAATAAAACAGGCTCAAATGGTTTTTATGCTCTTAATAAATGTAGACAAATGGTTTTTCAATAGGGCTGAGAATATATAATGATCACCAACAAGATCTTAAATCATCGGCACTGAGTACATCATTTAAAAACAAGAAATAAGCATCCATAAATATATTAAAATTTTATCCTACTTGATTTAAATAGCTAAAAATAGCAACTTTTTTATGTGATATATTTTGATTACTCCTGATTATTAGCTACTTCTTTAATTAATAATTCTTTATTGTTGAAAGTATTATATCTGTAATCTTTTTTCCTCCCTTGACTTCCTCCAAACCCCCCCACCTCTCAGGCCTTCAAGCACCTTATTGTCTGTGTTCATGGATTATGCACATATGAATACAAGGTATGTGAGCTACTTTTTTATATATTGTTGAATGTAAGCTACTTTTTATCTTGAGTTATCAAACTATGTGTTTCATAAAATCAACATATTACCCTTCCTATCATATTTGCTATAAGCACTTTTAGTTGGTGTACCTTTCACTTTTATTTTTTATTGTGGGGGGTATCTATGTTAATATTTAGTTGTCTTTCCTTTTAAAAAAAAAAATGTTTTTATTGCTTTTGAGGGGGGGGGGGCAGGGGAAGAGACAGGGAGAGAAACATGGACAAGAGAGAGAGAGAATGGACAAGAGACAGAGGTATCAATCAGATGCCTTCCTCACACCCCCTAATGGGGATGAAGCCTGCAACCAGGTATGTGCTCTGATCAGGAATCAAACGCTCAAACTTTCAGTGTATGGGATGATGCTCCAATCGAGCCACATCAGCTAGAAAATAAATTAGATTTATTTTCTTCTGGTTTTTCTTTTGAAAAAAGAAATGTAGTAATCTATTTGGAATATATTTTATTATGTGGTAGGAAGTGATATTAATATTTCCTCCAATTTCTAACCAGTTGTTCTGAACATACTTACTAACCCTTCTTCATTATTCACAGTGTGATGGCTCTATCAGAGGAAGTCCTAGGCTTTCTGGGCTACCTGGTAGTTCTGTGTCTTTGCTAGAGCACACATGTATCTTGGTGAATTTACATTATTATGTTTTCACATTTACTTGGGAGAAGACCTCCTTAGTACTCTCCTTTACTGAAAATTTAAAAATGTTTCATCTTGCCGAGACCGGTTTGGCTCAATGGATAGAGCGTCGGCTTGAGGACTGAAGGGCCCCCGGTTCAATTCCGGTCAAAGGCATGTATCTCGGTTGCGGGCATATTCCCAGTAGGAGGTGTGCAAGAGTAGCTGATCAATGACACTCTCTCATTGATGTTTCTAACTATCTATCTCTCTCCCTTCCTCTCTGTACAAAATCAATAAAATATATTAAAAAAAAATGTTTCATCTTTTTCCAGAAGGACCACAGGATTATTTATTTATTAAAAATATTTTTATTGATTTCAGAGAGGAAGGGAAAGGGAAAGAGAGAAAAACATCAATAATAAGAGAGAATCATTCATCAGCTGCCTCCTGCACACCCCCAACTGGGAACTGAGCCCACAACTGAGGCATGTACCCTAGAAAGGGATCAAACATGGGACCCTTCAGTCCACAGGTCAACGCTCTATTTATTGAGCCATTTTCATTAAGATCCTTTTATAAAAATTCCATGGGGACTGTTATAAGGATTACATGCTTTTCAAAGATGACATTTACTACATAACTTGTGCCAGGCACTTTGTTGAGTACTTTACATAATCTCATGTAACTTTCATACCCCCTTGAAGCTGGGGCTTTTCCTGCCCATCATTTTACAGATCTAGGGAGGTAAAACTATTTCACTGAAACCCTAGAGCAAGCAGCATAGTGTGACTTGGACTTATGTTGGCTCTATTCCAAATCCAAGTTCTACTTGCTTTACTCACCTACTTTCCTGTAAACCAGTGGTTCTCAACCTTTCTAATGTCGCAACCCTTTAATACAGTACTTCATGTTGTGGTGACCCCCAACCATAAAATTATTTTCATTGCTACTTCATAACTGTAATTTTGCTATTGTTATGAATCATAATGTAAATATTTGTGTTTTCCAATGGTCTTAGGTAACCCACAGGTTGAGAACCACTGCTGTATAGCCTAGAAAATCTAGAGGTACACAGAGGTGTCTCTTTTTAGAGAGAGTGGAAGGGAAGGGGAGAGACAGAGAAGCACACTGATGTGAGAGACACACATCAATTGGTTGCCTCTCACACGTGTCCCAATTGGAGATTGAGCCAGCAACCTAGGTACATGCCCTTGACCTGAATTGAACCTGGGACCCTTTAGTCCACAGGTCGACGATTTAACCACAGAAAAAAACTGGATAGGGCCAAAGGGGACTATTTTAAGTGAAATAAAATTAGAAACTCAATCCTTCCGTTGTACTAAACTTGATTCAAGTGCTCAAGAGCCACATGTAAGCCACTGTGCCCAGCAGGGCAGGCTGTGACCACAGGTTCAGCCCACAGGCCACAGGAATACTAGAAGGCCTGTCCTTGCTGGCAATGACTATGAGCTGCTGATTTTTGCGATATAGGTGGGATGGGACCCCCTCCCTGAAAATAGCCGCATGTGGCTAGTGACTATCAAACTAGATAGTGCAGGAACAGAACATCATCACAGCAGAATGATGTATTGCACAACTAACATAATTAGTTGTACAATACAGTACAGTCACTGAAAAGGATGTTGTAGATTTATTTATACACATTCCTTACCAATGACTATTATACAGTCACTGAAAAGGATGTTGTAGATTTATTTATACACATTCCTTACCAATGACTTCATAATACACACACTCGTATTTTGTGGGCATGGAAAAAAGGATGCAAACCCTAACATAGCCTAGTTCAGGTAATAGCAGAGAGGGAGGAATTTTCCCTTTTTCATTTTTATTTTTGTTAATCCTCACCCAAAGATATTTTTTCCCATTGCTTTTTAGAGAGAATGAAAGGGAGGAAGAGAAAGGAGGAAAAGGGGGAGAAAGAGAGAGGGAAAGAAAGAGAGAGGGAGGGAGGGAGAGAGAGGGAGAGAGGAGAGAGGAAAGAGAGAGGGAGGGAGGAGGGAAGAAAGGGAGGGAAAGAGAGAGAGAGAGGAACTGAACCCACAACTCTTTGGTTTGGGGGACAATGCTCCAACCACTGAGCACCACCGGCCAGTGGCCAGTGCAAATTTTCACTTTTATATTCCTGGGTATTTATAATAATAAAAGCATAATATACTAATTAGACAAAACATCCTTTCAGACGACCTTCCAGACGAAGCTGGAGCTGTAAGAGAAGCCTGGGTCATGGGTACCAGAGGGAAGCCAGTACCGGCAGTAGGGGAAGGAAGGCCTACTCTTTTTTTTTTTTTTTTTTAATGTATTTTTATAGAGAGGAAGGGAGAGGGTATATAGAGAGAAACATCAATGATGAGAGAGAACCACTGACTGGCTGCCTTCTGCCTGCCACCCACAGGGGGGAGGGGGGTTTGAGCCCGCAACCCTGGCATGTGCCCTTGGCCAGAATCGAACCAGGGACCCTTCAGTCCAAAGACCGAAGGCAGGAAGGCCTACTCCTGCACAAATTTCATGCCTCTAATTTTTTAAAAAATAAACACACACACATTTTTTACTCACTTTAGAGAGGAAGGGAGAGGGAGAGTAACATTGATCAGAGAGAGAAACATTGTCTAGTTGCATCCCACAAGTACCCTGACTGGGGATCAAACCTGAAACCTGGGTATGTGCCCTGAGTGAAAATCAAACCAGCAACCTTTCAGTGCATGGGGTGATGCTCAACCAATTGAGCAACACTGGCCATGGTACCCCTCGGTACTTCTTTAGTCACCCAAGCTCCATGGATCAAGGCTTGTTCCCTCCCCATCTGACAAGCAGCACTCATTAATGCTTACTTTTTCTGCAGTCCGGTTCCAGACAGTCACTGTGTGACCCATTTTTAATAAGTTGGAGACGATGCCACTTCCCATTAGGCCGAGGCCCAAAAATCCTATCCTGAAAGAGAGAGACTAATTAGTTTGGGGCGGAGTGGAAGGGACAGGGTAAGGTGTCCTGAATGTAGCACAGATTCTGCTTCCTCATAAACCTGGGGTAGGATCTCAGACCACCAGGAACATCGCTCAGCGATGTTCTGACACCATGAGCACTGAGGCAGATATGGGGCATGCAGAATTGTGCCTTTTCTTATTATGCCATTGCTTAAAAGTGTTCCAAGATTTAAAAAGGCCACAGAAAGAATTATGACATTTCTGATTTAGGTGTTACAAATAATTTCCTTGATGCCTTGATAGTCTGGGCTTACAATTCCTTAACAGTGAGAAAGCAGACATTTGTCTCCAGCTTTGCAAGAGTTTTGAGTTCTAGGTCTTCAGATGCCTCTTGAAAGCATACCAGGATCCATGACAAGTAACTGAAGTGATGAGTCAGAGCCAGTCACCTTCCTCAACTGTAGAAATGTGGGTCCCAGTCTTCCCCTTCCTCTTCAGGCTCCAAACGTATAGTACCTTTGCATTCTTCCTGATAGCAGAGACAAGCCACGACCCTCTTCTTCAAAGATTTGCCTGAGCTTTGGAGCCAACCTTTCCCAGTGCACGAGTTCTTCCCAAATCTGCCTTCTGCACCTTCCCACATCTGCTGGCCCACTCTCTGTTCTCCACCACACCCTTCTAACTGCAGGCCCATTATGACCCTTTTTTATTTTCTGTTTCCCTTTAGTTCCTATAACCTGCTCCTTTCTGCAACCTCAAGAACTTGGGGACTGCTGCTTTTACAGATGATTTTACCCTGCCCAAATGTCTTTTCTTGGTTCCTGTATTTCTTTATTATCTCTCCTGGCATGTGACTTGGCTCAACTATGCCTCTTTCTTCATTTCTTATTACATTATGTTGTAGTTTTTACCTTGGGCTTTCTCTCAGCTCTGGACACACTTTGCAGTTTCTTCACTTTGACTTGTGTTATCCTTTCAGTATTTTTGGTCTCTGGTAAGATATCTGCAGCCACTTCTGCAAATTAGCTCTTCCTCTCAGTTTCCCCTTATTCCTGCTGTAAATTGCACTTCTCACACTCTCTCTGTCCCAGCCAGAGAGAATCAAATGTAACAGGATCTAAATAGACACTACTCCAAAAAGGAAAGACACATGTCCAACAGACATATGAAAAAATGCTCAAGGTCACTAATCGTCAAGAAAATGCAAATTAAAACTCCACCAAGGTATCACCTCACACTTATCAGAATGGCTATTATCAATAAAAAAATTAAAAATGGAACTGCCTTTTGACCCAGAATCCCACTTCTGGGTATATATATCCTAAGAATCCTTAACGCCAAAACTGGTTTGGCTCAGTGGTAGAGCGTCGGTCTGCGGACTAAAAGGTCCCGGGTTCGATTCTGGTCAAGGGCATGTACATGGGCTGCGAGGACATCACTGGTGGGGGGGCGTGCAGGAGGCGGCTGGTCGATGTTTCTCTCTCATCGACGTTTCTGGCTCTCTATCTCTCTCCCTTCCTCTCTGTAAAAGATCAATAAAATATATTTAAAAAAAAAAAAAAAAGAATCCTTAAGATAGCAGCCTTATCTACAATAGCCAAGATCTGAAAACAGGCCAAGTGCCCATCAGTAGGAGTACATAAAAAAGTTGTGGTACATTTACACAATGGAATACTATTATGCGGCTATAAAAAGAAAGGAATTCTTACCCTTTGCGACAACATGGATGGACCTGGAGATTACCATGCTAAGTGAAATAAGCCAGTTGGAGAAAGACAAATACCATATGATCTCACTAATATGTGGAATCTAATGCATAAAATAAACTGACGAACAAAATAGAAACAGAGGCATAGGTACATGGAAAGACTGACAAATGTCAGTGGAGAGGTGAGGGGAGTGACTGGATAAAGAAAGGAGAGGGATTAGCTAAAGAACATATATGCATAGCCCATGGACATGGATAATAGTTTGGTGAGGTCTGGGGTGGAGAAGGGGGGCAATAAGGGATGGGTGGAGGTGGGCAAAGGGGGATAAAATGGGGGACATCTGCAATAGGTCAACAATAAAATATTTAAATTTTAAGAAAAGGAAAAGGGAACCTATCATCTTCCTCACCAAATGGTGCCCTGTCCACTAAGTTTTAAACCAAAGCATAAAAACAACATCTTTTGTCATTCACAGTGATATAGGTAGTGTAAGTTTTCCCTATGATTCTAAATCTTATTCAATTTCTTGGTGTTTGTTTTAAGATACCCTGCAGAACTGGGGGTGAAGCTTCTGGATTTTTAACATGGTAACTACCCTATTTCCCCGAAAATAAGACAGTGTCTTATATTAATTTTTTCTCCCAAAGTTGCGCTAGGTTGCACTAGGTCTTATTTTCAGGGGATGTCTTATCTTTCCATGCGCTAGGTCTTATTTTCGGAGGATGTCTTATTTTCGAGGAAACACGGTAACAGTCCTCATGGTGCCCTTGAGATAAGACGTAGAATGTAGACTACGTAGATTAAGAACAATACAGCTGGTTAGCTTTAGTTGGCTTCATACTCAGGTTAAAAAAGTACTTTACTATAAGGGCAATACGGGCCTTGGATGAAAGCACTGAGACTATACTCAACCTGTCTTAGTTCTAAAAACACCACAATCCTCATCAAATGAATGGGTGACACCCATCTTCCTTTTTATCTATATACTAGAGGCCTGGTCCCTAGGCCTGACCAGTGATAAGGGCTGAACGGGACCTTCCAGCTGCTGGCTGGGGCCTTCCTTTATTCTGCGCCACCCTTGGTGGTCAGCGCACATCATAGCAAGCGACTGAACTCCCAGCCTCCAGGTCGAACTCCCAAGGGGACACTTAGTATAATATTACTCATATATATACACTAGAGGCCCGGTGCATGAAAATTCATGCACTGGAGTGGGGAGTCCCTCAGCCTGCCCCCTCTCACAGTCTGGGAGCCCACAGGGGCGGGAGGTGACCCAGAAATCAGGGGAAGGCAACACCCCCATCATATCTCTGCTGCTGACACTGCTGGCAGTGCAAGCCTCGACTGACTCTGCTTACCTTTGCCTTGGGTGGCCCTGGGCAGCTGGGTAGCCACCAATAGAGGCTTGCCTGCACCTTGGGCTGGCCCTGGACTGCTGGGGGCCTGAGGGCAGTTCCGGCCACACCGTGCGCCTGCTGCTCCCCACGTGCGCCTGCTGCTCCCCACCGGCTAGGCTGAAAAGACTATGGGACTCCAGCGGGGCTGAGGGGACTGGGTGCCACCATCTTTGTGACAGTGTGATGGTCAATTTACACATTCCCATTTTATTAGATAGTATACTAATAGAAGATATCTATATATATAAAAGCCTAAGTGTCTGTTATGACCGGAACGATTGGTCAACCAGTTGCTATGAGGCGCACTGACCACCAGGGGGCAGATGGTCAATGCAGGAGCTGCACCCTGGTGGTCAGTACACTCCTACAGCCAACCTCCCATGGCCAGCAAACCTCCTCCTCTCCCTCCCCCAAGCTGACAAACCTCCCATGGTCCTCTCCTCCATCTAGCAGGCTATGTCCGGCAGCTGGCAGGTTGCACCCAGCAGCCGGCCCAGGCCAAGGCCCCAACTGGGACTGGGCGAGATGGCCCTGATCACTGGCTAGACCTAGTGACCCCAACCATACATGAATTTTGGGCACCGGGCCTCTAGTCTATACTAATAAAAGGGTAATATGCTATTATAATTAGACCAGGAGACCTTCTGGGAGACCTTCCGGACAAAGCCACAGTGGCACGGCTGAGACAGAGGTGGTTAGTGGCGATCAGGCCAGGAGGGGAAGGAAGTTGGGGGTTATTAGGCTAGCAAGGGGTGGGGGTGTCAGTTGGGGGCAAGCAGGAAAGTAAAGTAGGGGGGGCCAGTTGCAGGCAAGCAGGCTGGTGGTGGTGGTGGTGGTGGGGGCAGTTGAAGGTGAGTGGTTAGGAGCCAGAGGTCTCAGATTGGAGAGGGTGCAGGCAGGGCTGAGAGACACCCTCCCTCCCCAATGCATGAATTTTATGCACCAGGCTACTAGTATATATATATATAAAAGCCTAAGCGATTGGTCAACAGATTGACTGGCTGGTAGCTATAATACATACTGACCACCAGGGGGCAGATGCTCAATTCAGGAGCTGTCCCTGGTGATCAGTACGCTCTCACAGTGGGAATGGGTACCAGATGCACAGCTGGCGAGTGCTGCTGTGGCGGTGCAAGCCTCTCTTGCCTCCGCAATGGCAATGGCAATGGCAATGGCAATGACAGCAGGGCTGGGATGAGCGGGAACTGCACTCCAGCCGCCTGCCGCTTCATGCACTACTACATCCTCTGAGGGGTCCTGGGTTTTAAGAGGACACAGGCAAGCTCCAGTTAGTATATATCATGCCTCTATCTCCTCCACTCTACAAAGAGAAGTCATTCCAAAAAACTGGTAGAATCAGGAATTTCGATAGCACAAAAAATTAGGACTGACGTAAAAGATGCACTGTTTTTAGGCTGCGAAAGAACCTTTTGGAAAACACAGACAGGAAAATCAGACTTGGTTATCTTGCTCAGGAGAATGTTCGTTTTCAGCAAAAAACCCTTTTTATCATCACAACTCTGAAAACACAACTGGCCAGAATGAGGACAAAGGTGAGCATGGATGCAAGCTAAAGTTTGGGGACAGTAGTTAAAACTCTCCAACCTGTCTTTGGACAGAGAGCAGCAAGCAAGTGCATGAGGACTGGAAGGTGACTGCGGGGAGAGACAGGGAGGACAGGATATTCCAAGTACCTTCATCTCTCATCCCCCCAGTCAAATTTCATCACACTTCTACTAAGCTAGAGGGTTCTCAAATGTGGTCTCCTGACTAGCAGCAGTGGCATATCTGGGAACTTGTCCAAAATACAAATTTTCAGGCTCCACCCCAGACCTACTGAGAAAACTCCAGGGATCAGTCCAACAATCAGCCTTCCAGGATATTCTGAGGCACAGGAAAATTTGAGAAGCATAGAGCTGAGCATTCCTTGCTCACAAACTCACATCTAAGGGCATATATTTAAAGACAACTTTTGTCTTCTGCAAGTCAATTTACTCCCAGACAAATCATCATCAGTAAAGATTACAACTTTCCTCCTTTTTTTACATTCAGTTCTAGCAATGACTGGAGCATAACCTTTAAAGAGCCCCCTTGGGGTCATCCCTCATCCCTCAGCAGAACCAAAGAAATCTTTTTGCCAAAGGCCCTACTTTTTGTCTGTGGGTGTGATGCTGCCATTCACGGCCGTGCTGTCTGCTGCCTGGATGGAGGTAGACCCCGTCTCCTAGGAAAAGCAAGCACAGAGCATCAAGTCAGGCTGCCCATGGCAAGGCCCTAGTGGAAGATAAAAACGAGGAGGTGTGGAACCTACATACCTCTTCACATATTTTCAACTTCTTTGTGATGGCCTGGTAACAGACAGCTGGCTATTAAAGAGGAAGGAAAAAACACCACTTATTAAACCAGTCTTCATTAAAATTTACCTAAAAAGTTAGGCCTAATGTGGGCTGCTAACATCAAAATCTTATTTGGTGTTCCAGACACAGAAAGTTAACACACATTACTTCATTCAATTCTCCATGCAACTCTGCAAGATCCTTTTGTTAAAAATGACATTAAGAATTAGAAGCATTTGGTCAGGTGCCCAGAATTACATTGTTGGTCAGTGTAACTGGGTTTAGAACCCAGTTTTGTCCAACTTCAAAGCTACATCCTATCAGCAGATCCGATCAAGGCTTGGCCTAATCCCATACCTTGCAGTCAGAAAACTTTCCCTCCACACCTGGAGGCTATGGAGATTATCTACCCAACAGCACATGCTACCTCACATGTGGCTGACAGCTCATGGATTTTGGTTTCTGCCCTATACTCTGAAGGCAATCACAAATGTCTCAATCACACAGCTGACAAGTTTTTAAAGCCTCCCCCCCTCCTTTTTTTGGGGGGGAGGGGGTGTATCTATAATAATAAAAGTGTAATATACCAATTAGACCGGACGTCCTTCCAGACGAAGCCAGGGCTGTGAGGGAAGTCCGGGTCCTAGGTGCCTGCTGGCAGCTGGAGGGAAGCCCAGGTCCTGGGTGCCAGAGGGAAGCTGGTGCTGGCAGCAGGTGGAAGGAAGGCCTACCCTTGTATGAATTTCATGCACTGGGCCTCTAGTTTTTATTATAATATTAACAACACCTCATTCATGTGTCTTTTACTAGTAACTAGCTGCTTTGAGCAGTGGTACAGGCAGAGCCTAACTTTTCAAACTAGTAAGGTGAGGTTCCAATGAGCAACACTCTGCCTTAGGCCAGCTCCTGACCAATGATCAAGAACTTCAAAGAACAACTCACCTTCTCGGTTTGGCTGAGCAGGAAGTGATGGAAATGAGGGTCTGCATCTTTAACTGGCTGAAACCAGAAAATTATTAAATAAAACAAATCATCTTCCACCAAAGACCCCTTCCTTCTGCCTGATAACTACTTTCCTCTGGCTAAACAACCCTAGGAGCTGGCCCTAATTTTATAACTGCTTGGAAATTCTTTTCCCATTGTTGATCTAAGCCTTTTGTAAACGACGTCTGTTTCAGTTAAAGGAAAACTGGCTTCAAGTAGATATTTTCTGCCAGGTTGGTATACAAATCATTCCAATAACATCATTTAAAAGGGAAAACATTTAAAAAGCATACTAATATTTTTAAAGTCCAGTATTCTCACTAGTCATGTTGGATAACACAGCTGACAAAGCCAAATCAATTTTGAGGGCTCTTTTTCAATTTTAGGGTTTGGCCTACTTGTGTCTGGTACCAGACCTTTGTGTTTTTATTTCATTGAGGGTCGATATTAATAGAAATAAAGTGACAACAACTGCAGGACTTTCATAATTAGGCCCAATACAGGGAAAAGGTGCCTCTATACCAAGGATAGACTAACATATGGCTACTAACCATCAAAGTTTTATATACAGTCAGTGAAAGGGTGTTTTTAAAGCATCAAGTGAAAAAACTCTGTGGATGATACCACTTTTTTGAAAAATAACCCTGGTCTCAACAACACAAACTATATATGGGTATGTAATTAGTAAGTGATGGCTAATGGGTGTATCAAAGGGGCTGAAATAAATTATATCAAACTTAACAGTGAGGACCCTTGAGAATGGAAACTTGCATTCTTTACCTCATATTCCTCTGTACTGTTTGATTCAAAAAAAAGAAAAAGAAAAAGAAAAAAAAAGAAAAGAAAAGAAAAGAAAAAGAAAACGGCAGCTTCATAATCACAAAAAGGAGAAAAAGGATAACAAGTGTATGGCAGTCAGGCCAGGAATCAGCTCTGAGGCCAACCTTGAACTGGCCCACAGGAGAGAACCTTACCTCATTCACAGTTGGCTGCCATTTAAATGCAGCCATGGTTCCGGCCATCATCCCCTTAATGGTACTAGACTCAGGAATGGTGAGATCCTACAGAGGGAAAGGCATATGGTTAAGATGCTGATACCTTGATAGATGTTTTCCTGCCCCAAACTGGGGAGCAACTCTTCATTGATCAGCTTCCTTCAATCACATTCCATCCACACTAACCCCCTAGCCTGTCCTGGCAGGTATTGCTCAGGGGTTAGAATGTTGGCCTGTGCACCGAAGGGTTGTGGGTTCAAATCCTAGTCAGGGATATGTACCTGTGATGCAGGTTTGATCCCTGCCTTGGTTGGGGCGTGTGTGGAGAGCAGCCCATTTATTTCTCTCTCTCACATCGATGTTTCTTTCCTCTCTCTCCTCTTCCCTCCCTTCCACTTTCTAAAACTCAATCAATCAACCAATGGAAGGATGAGAAAAAAACACACTAAAAACAGCCCACCTGGCATGGCTCAGTGGTTGAGCATCGACTTATGAACCAGGAGATCATGGTTTGAATCCTGGCCAGGGCTCATGCATTGGTTGCGGGCTTGATCTCTACTATGGGGCATGCAGGAGGCAGTATCTTTTTAATTTTTTTCAATATATTTTATTGATTTTTTTACAGAGAGGAAGAGAGAGGGATAGAGTTAGAAACATCGATGAGAGAGAATCATCGATCAGCTGCCTCTTGTACACCACCTACTGTGGATGTGCCCGCAACTAAGGTACATGCCCTTGACCGGAATTGAATCTGGGACCCTTCAGTCCGCAGACCAACGCTCTACCCACTGAGCCAAACCAGTTTCGGCAGGAGGCAGTATCTTAATGATTCTCTCTTATCATTGATGTTTCTATTTCTCCTCCCTTCCTCTCTGAAATCAATAAAAGAATAAAACAAAAAACCCTTAGCCAGCTCCATGGTCTCAGCATCAGTTCAAGCCCCTGTCTCTGGCCAGGTTCTGAGGATCGTCCATTGGGAGAACCAGGAAAAGTTCTCATTAACACAGAGTGAGCTTTTCTTCTCAGTTCTTGAAATAACAAAACATTCTGGTGTGTGATGGAGAAAAGCCCAACTATATTTTGCAGTGTTGTTAGCAGGTCACAGAGAAAATTCCTTATGGCGAATAATAAACATTATTAAGAAAACAGTACAGGCTTCAGAAGGAATCCACTAATCTCAAAAACAAACCAACACACAAACAAACCAACCACCTAAAAAGCCGCATGGTGCTCATGAGGAAATCTGCCCAACATTTTTCAGGACTAAGTGACAGAACTGGAAGTCAGGATGGTCTGGAGCCAATATCCCCACTCTCTCCCAAGACTGATGCAAGGAAAGGACCCAGCAGAATGAGGATGCTGCTCCTCTTTATTAAGGGCCTGGCCCATACCCGTTCTAGGCAAAGAGGCACTGTTCATTCCAGCTTTACAACTGGCCTGTTCTCTTTCCTCCATCACTGACTTTATTACCTCCTCTCTTTTTCCATCTGCTATCTTCCAGCCACAGTGGTCCTCCCAACATTTCTACTTGGATATCAAATAGGTATCTTGCCATGCCCAACTGAACTCTTGCTTTCCCTGCCCAAACGGCTTCTTCTACGGTCTTCTCAATTTCCGAAACAGCAACTCCATACAACCAGGCCAAGATCCTTGGAGTCCTTGATTCTACTCTCCTCTCTCCTCTAATCCATCAACAATGATTATGGTTTTACAAATGGGAATCTGCAACCCCTTCTTCCGAGTACCCCTACTAACACCCAAGGATCAGGCTACCATTGCCTATCCCTTGGACTGGAGCAAAAGGAATCTCTATGCTTCTGCTCTGGGCCCATACAGTCTAGTCTATACACAGCAGCCAGAGTGAAGCATGACACTTCTCTGCCTAAAAGTGGCATCCTGTCTCACATGGTCAAGCTAGAGGCTTTTATTGTGGACTCTAGGGCCCTAGATGTGCTGCAACCCCACTCCATGCTAATCTTTAACCTAATGTCCTGTTACTTTCTCTCCCCTGACCTCTCTCCAGCCCACCAACACCCCCTTGGCCCTCTACCTCCATTCCCTGAAAACATCACACATGCAAATACTCTGCCTTTGCACTGCTGGGAATGCTCTTCCAACTTGATTCATATGCTCACTTTAGGTCTCTATTGAAATGTCACTGTATCAGAATGCTTTTCCTCATCTCTCTATATTTTCCTCCATTGGAACATGATGATTACTATAATGAAAGCTTAACATATGCCAGACATTAGTGTGCTATTTATGTGTGTACTAGAGGCCCGGTACACAAAATTTGTGCATGGGAGGTGGGGGTGGGGGGAGGTTATCCCTCAGCCCCGTCGGTCTGTATCCTCTCCAACCTGGGTCCCTTTGGGGAATGGCCAACTGCTGGTTTAGCCCTGATCTAGGATAAACCAGCAGTTGGATATCTCTCTCACAATCCGGGACCGCTGGCTCCTAACCGCTCGCCCACGTGCCAGCCTGATTGACACCTAAATGCTCCCCTGATGGCCTGATTGCCCACAACTGCCCTCCCCTGCCGAGACCCGCCTCCTCTGCCAAGACCACAAAACCCCCAGCCTCACCATGCGGAGTGGCCACCAGGCCCTGCCTCTGCTGTGCATTGGGCCATCTTGTGATGACTTGAGAGCGTGACGCCACCTAGGCTAATATTAGTATAGATTCTCACATAATTGTCACAACCTCATCTCCATTTTACAGAGGAGAAAACTGAGAGAGCTTAAGAAGCCTTGCCTATGGTCACAGAGCTAAGAGTGTGGTAGATGAAATTTAAACTCAGGGAATTTGGCTTCAGGATCTATCCTATATAATAAAGATGTAACATGCAAATGGTCATCATGCAGTGAAGTGTAATAACTGACTAATGATCTGATCACAGAACAGTAGGAGGGTGGGGCAGCGAGCTACAAACTGGCGGAGGAGAGCTACAAGAAGGAGCAGGGCAGCAAGCTGGGGGGCGGGGAGGGCAGTGCAGTGGGTGGAGGGCTATAGGAGGGTGGCAGCGAGCTATGGGCTACAAGTGCACAGTAGAGAGCTACAGGAGGAGGCAGGGCATCAAACTATGAGGGGGGCAGGGGGACACGAGGAGAGCTACAGGAGGGCGGGACAGTGGGTGGAGAGCTACTGGAGGGTGACAGAGAACTACCGGTGCACGGATTTGTGCGCAGGGCTACTAGTGTTATTATAAGTAGGTTCTATGAAAGTAAGAACTTCACCAATTTTGTTTACTTTATATGTAAACTATAAACTATTCCTGGTACATAGTTGGTATTCAATATTTATTGGAGAAATGAACACGATAAGGGCCTTGTTTATCTTTCACGCTGCTTTATCTCTAGACACTTGTTGAATATAGGGGTTTGGGTAAAAGAGGTCTATGCAGTACTGCCAAGAACAATTTCTACCATGATGAACATGTCCTATACATGTACTAATACTATAGCCAATAGTCACAAGTCTACCACGGAGCACCTGATAAGTGGCTAGTGTGACTGAGAAACTGAATTTAAATTTTTTTTAAATTTAAATGTAAACGGTCACCTGTGACTAGGGGCAGCACAGCTTTAATGACTAGCCCAAGACCAAAATGACAGATGAGAGTAAGGCAGAGAACATAACTCTCCACCTAGCACTAACTAAAGGTCTTGACTCCTAAAGCAGTGTTTAATGAATTTTAGGAGAGACACAGGATTGACAGCTTTATTCTGTCAGGGTGCTTTGTGCCGAGTTATAGTTCTCAGCTAGAGACTTGGACGGATGTCTAGACACAAACCCAGCCTCTGCTTGCCTGCATGTAATTGACACCTCCACTATCAAGATCAGCCTTTTCCGTTAATCGTTACAGGATAGGAGAATATGGCCGAGAATGGCAATCATCTGGGACTTTGCCCAGTTATCAGCCTACACTACTGCTCTCTGTTTCACAGAGGAGCTCGCCAGCCAAATGACAATTACTATAGCAACACAATACTCTTTTTAGGCCATAGGATATATCAGATCATAAGGTACACCAAAATTCCAAACCCAAGCAGATTTCCTGTATCTCTGAAGATGCTTAATTAAGATCAATGGTGAGAACTGAAATTGCCATATGTCCTCAGCACCATTAGCCACGCTCTTTCCTTTCCTGACAAATCTTTCATTAGAGTTCAGGCCTAGCATGGAGACCTGGTAGAAAAAAAACTCCTAAGATCAACGGCAGGTAGAACTCCTGGATGGAGACCTGGCTCTAAGAACAGCAGTAAAAATGTTACTCTCCTCCCACCCCCAATGAATAATTGGGGTAAACTGAATCAATCAGACCAAGGGGTAAACTTTTTACTGTGAGAAATTCCTCCCAGCAAGTCTGGCAGCAGTCTTGGGGTTGCACTAAACCAGTGCCCTCACTGCACAACAGGCTACTGCTCAAAAACATCAGCGTGGCTAAGTGGTTGAGTGCTGACCTATGAACCATGAGGTTATGGTTCAATTCCTGATCAGGGCACATGCTCTGGTTGTGGGCTTGATCTCCAGTGTGGAGTATACAGGAGGCAGCCAATCAATGATCCTCTCTCATCATAGATGCTTCTATCTCTCTCTCTCTCCCTCTTCTTTCCTCTCTGAAATCAATAGAAAAAAAATCCTATAAATAAAAACATAACATGCAAATCGACTAAACGGAGGAACGACTGGTCACTATGATGTGCACTGGCCACCAGGAGACAGACGCTCAACGCAGGAGCTACCCTCTGGTGGTCAGTGTGCTCCCACAGAGGGAGCGCTGCTCAGCCAGAAGCCCTATTCATGGCTGGTGAGTGCAGCAGTGATGGCAGGAGCCTCTCCCGCCTCTGCTGCAGGCGGGTGGTAAGGATCGAGGGGTCCCAGACTGCAAGAGGGTGCAGGCCAGGCTGAGGAATCCCCCCCCCCCAAACACACAGTGCACTAATCTCATGCACTGGGCCTTTAGTTTGTGTTTGTGTGTGTGTGTGTGTGTGTGTGTGTGTGTGTGTGTGTGTGTGTATGTGACATTTATCACATGAATAATGTGTTGCAGGTACTATCTTAGGTGCTTTGCTTGTGTTACTCATTTAATTCTCACAACAAATGTTAAGGGGCAGGCATCCTATATAATAAACAGCTAATATGTAAATGGTAATCACATCCTCGCACAGGGGCCAAGGGATCTGAGGCTGCACCCCCTGCCCTGCAGGGCTTGACAGGGGTGGGGCCAGCTAGATCTGGGTCTCGCACAATTTCCAGGTGCACGTGGTGGACAGGGTCTTAACTCTGGGTCCCTCGGTGCAGTGCACCCCAGACTCTGACCGGAGGGAGGTTTTTATATACATTTTACTAATGTTTTTTTCATCTCTGACACTTGTATTATAAAGAAAGGGCAAACAGTAATATTAAAATATTTCCTCTAATTAATTCCCTTTTAATGTGCACAAATTTTGTGCACCGGGCCACTAGTCTTTAATATTCTCAATGATCAGATGAGGAAACCAAGGCAAAGGTAGCTGGTCAAGATTACACAGACATAGCAAGTCATGGAATCATGATTCAAACTCAAGGCCCTCCTCCTAACTTCTCCTTTTTACTTCCTTTTTATCCAAGAAGAAGTAATTTCTCTCCAGAGACAGCAGAGGAGTTGGTGAGATCCACAGCTTACAGACACCAGACAGTGTGAATTTGGAGACTAGTATAAAACCTGATGGCCCAGATTCCTCTGGTCCCTGAAAATAAAGTCAACTAGATCAAATTAGATCAAACCCCCTAAGAAGTTTTTCACATACTGCAGCCAGCAGTTTTCGAAACCTTCTCTGCCTTTGGCTGACATTTCCTTATTCTTATGATAACCTAGGATTGTCCCCACCACTACAGTCACTCTCAACTACTCTCAGTCTTAGGTCATTTGACAGCAAGACAGACCTTCTCTAACACAGAGTTCACACTGGCAGTCCACTGGCTGAATTTGGTGCAGAGATGTTCCTTTGGAATAAGTATGTTAAAATTATGAATTAGCTACTAACATTTAAAATTAAAACATTTCACATAAAAACTTGTGTTTTCAGCTTCTTTTGAGAAAAACCAAACAATCTGGCAAAAGTTGGCTGGAACTCAATAGGCAGAGCATAACCTCCCCAGATCACCAGCCACTGCTACCCCTAATTCTCAGCATGGAGGCAGGGCAGGGCCCTGGAACCTTCTGCTTGAGCCATTTCTTCTTGCATCAGTGGGCTCCACTCACTTCAATTACCTGTCTGGTCTTGCTGGTATCTGAATTTGCAAGTCTTGATCTGATATCTAGCATTTCATCACAGCCTCATCACCCAACTGTTTCTGCCAACCATCTGGCTTCTACCCCCTTGATCCTGTTCTCACAATTACCTGTGTTAGACAAGACTACCTACTTCATCTTAACACATTGCAGACCAGCAGTTTTATTGCTAGCTTTACCCAGTGACCAGATAAGTTTCTACTGAACGAGTACAAAAAACGTTTTACATAAATGTTAAAGGCACACTTAAAAATTAAATACCCATTGTATTTTGAAGTTATTTATTACATATTTTAACAAAGTATCATCTTTTAAAGTATGATACTTTGTAAAAACACTGTGTCATCTTTCAAACATTTTGGCAAGCCACTATTTGTTCGAATTGTTCCATAAACTCTTGTTTTATGTAGTAATAAAGTTTCTGAGATTGAAATGCTATTGTAATAGTTATCTTGGTATATATGATGTCCCAATTCCAGATTCGCCAAAGTAGTGACAGAATAGTCATTCAATTTTTTCCTTCACTTGTGAAAGTTTCCACATTGCAAATATACTCAGTCTTGCTCTCACATACTATTCTTACTAGTAAACCATATTTAATAATTTTAGCTGTGTTGTAATTCGGAATAGAAGATATTCCCTCCAAGGAATGATGCCTTCATCTAATAATAATTCTCAGGTAGGTTTATGAATTGTTTGAAATTTACTAATACAGTGGTCAAGTACAGACTGAATTTTAAATAGCCTGGATGAAGATTTAGTCATGTTTGCATTGTCACTGAAATGCCTCTAAGTCCAGATTTGTTCAAAACAATTTCAACTCATTGTCTGAGGAAATATTGGAACTGCTAGAACTGAATTAGTAGACCAATATTCTTTCCAAGTATCCTTTAGAGTATGCCCCATTAGCACTATAAGTCCTAAAAAAATTTTTCATATCTGTTAGAGTAACAGGAGACCACTTTATTGCTTTCAAAATTTTGTGCTTTCCCAAATTTTGGTTATAATATATGTTTGATTGATGACAAAATAGTTAAGCAGATCGTCCTCAAAAATCAAGTTGTAACTTCAATGACGTTCCTAGAACCAGTCAGTATAACTGTAACACCAGAATTATCTTCAAAATTTTCCAAAATAGGTTGAAAGTCCTCTTTTAACCAATCATTATCTCGGCAATGAAGATGCAAATTACACTCAAAATCATGTATGGAACTGTTCAAATGTTCATGTTTGGAATCACTTGAAATGACTATTTTTTGCCTTTTTCAAGGAATAACTATATCACTGCCACTTTCAAAGCTTTCATCACTTTCACTTGGAATATCTGATAAATTGTCAGCAAATATATCCAGAATTTTACCGTGTTCTTTGTCACTATTCATGGTTGCTGAACACTTAAAAAATATCAAATTGATGTTAAAAAAAAATATTTTTATTACTAACAACAAGAGACTAATCGCTTTTAATTCCTTTTGTAATTTTTATTTTTATTTTATTTATTTAAAATATATTTTATTGATTTTTACAGAGAAGAAGGGAGAGGGAGGGAGAGTTAGAAACATCGATGAGAAAGAAACATGGATAAGCTGCCTCCTGCATACCCGTTACTGGGGATGTGCCCACAACCAAGGTATATGCCCTTGACCGGAATTGAACTTGGGACCCTTCAGTCCATAGGCCGAGGCTCTATCCACTGAGCCAAACCGGTTAGGGCCCTTTTGTAATTTTTAACTTCAGTGAATGTCTTTCTAAATGACAATGGCCCTAGCCGGTTTGGCTCAGTGAATAAAGCATCGGCCTGTGAACTGAAAGGTCCCAGGTTCGATTCTGGTCAAGGGCACATGCCCAGGTTGTGGGCTTGATCCCCAGTGGGGGAGTTGCAGGAGGCAGCTGATCAATGATTCTCTCTCATCATGGATGTTTCTATCTTCTTTTCCCTCTTCTTTCCTCTCTGAAAGCAATAAAAATATATTTTAAAAACTGACAATAATGAAAAGCTGAGAATTCTCATGATTGGCCACAAGCCTTAGGACAGAAACCATGAGAATTCTTGTGATCTGTCCCCAATATATTAAATTCTCCTCTCTTGGCATCCAAGACTTGACAAAAAATCGTTACAAGGAGGAGAGAGTTATGTTATTTCTCCATTATTTCATTTTGGTAACTTCTTCCCACCCTGAACTACAGGCACTCTTACTGCAAAGCTAACTATTGCCCTTGACTCTTCTCCCTCCTTTACTTTCCCAAACATAAACCCCATCTAGTCTCATTGATCCAACATTCTTCCTACACATTTGCTTCCCACATATATGTTTCTGTCCTGCAACTCCAAGCTGCTTTGGTGGTCCAGGCATCAGCTAGCTCCTCCCAACCCCTCTGCTCTTAGAGAAGGCATCACCATTTCCCCAGGCACAAACCTGAAATCATCTCTTTCCCTTTTTTCATTCATCCCCTTTATAACCAGTTGCCAATCTTACAAACTCTTTCTCTGAAGTGCCTTGCACAGTTACTTTCAATGTCTACTATCACCCCCTTAGAATATCTCCTTATGTGAACATACACCTGATTAGCCTTCTAATTGGCTTTGAGCCTTTCTTCTCTGGCCTCCATGAGCTTACTAATGCATAGCTTGGAGCACACCGCTACCTCCATACACAGCTCAAACAACTTTATGGCCCTCTACTGACTTCATGACAATATACCACCACTTAAGTACACCATAATGCTCTCCATAATCCAGTGGCAATCTACTTTTATCTTTCTGCTCTCCTTCTTGTCCTCTTCCTGTACTGAGAATATCCACACTGACATTAAGCTCCACGTGAACTATGCCCTCCACCTCTGGAATGCCTTCCCTTCTTTCTTGCTATGCCCTTTCTTGTGCCAGCCCTTGCACACTGCTCAGGTGGACCATTCTTCTGACTTGAGCATTTAGCTGAATGCATGATTCTTTGCTGCCTTGTGTTCCTATTTCACACCTGTGCATCCAGGCTGCATATCATCCCTGATCTGAAGGATTCTTTAGGACAACTCTTAGTACAGGACTCTATGTTCACTCAATGAACTGAACCATATTGTAAAGCTCAACTCTGCTGTATACAAAAGAAAGGTACTAATCCCAGAAGCTGCGGAGATAAAACAAACCTTCTCATCCTTTGGGGGCCGACCCCGTTTCCGGGGACTCTGCTCTTGGGCTCTTTTCAGAGAGGACTTGGAGCCTCTCTCTGAAGAGCCTGATGACACCCTCTTCTTTCCTTCTCCCATGTTCTTCTTCACCTTCCCTTCAGACAGGCTAAGCTTGCGCTTTTCATCACCTGAGTTTGGCCTACTTCTCTCCTCACTGGAATTACGCCGATTCTTGTCATCAGCAGAATTGTGGGATGATGTCTGAAAGTTTAATAATAATAATGATAACCACCACAATTAGCCGCTGCCATCACCACCACCATTTACACGAGCCATGCCCTATGATGAGCACTTTACATGCATTATCTGCACAACAACCCTATGAAACAGGTCTGCTGTCATCCCCACTTACACTTGAGTAGATTAAAAAAAAAAAAAAAATCAAATCACTTGCCCACAGTCCAAAGCTAAGATGTAGAATTTACACCCAGGCAATGGATATGTATCTCAGAGGCTGTGCTCCTAATTTCTGAGCTATGAAAGGAGAAAAGACTTGTGCTACATTCAGATACTTCTCCTGAGTCCAAGTGGCTTTCCCAAGACCAACAATCTATTCCAGAAAGGTCAGCTGCATGCATGGAGCTTCAGGCTAATTACCAAAATGCTGATACCTCAGAATTGAAGTGGCCCTTTTTGTACTGGCATTTCATAAGAATAGAGTTTCGAATTAGGGTGACATTTAATCTGTTAGTTACTATGTAAAAATTACCGGTCTCACATTGGCATAAATGAAGAATCATGGAGTTTCTCACCTGGTCTTTCCCTTTGGCTCTCCTGAGGAACTCTTCCACAGCATCCACAGCTTGCTGGAATCGTTTTCCCTTGTTAATCTTTATCATTTCCTCCTTATGTGCATGGTATGGCTTTAGCTGTTCCACTTTGATCCAGGCACTAGCAGAAAACACACATAGAAAGGGTATGATCCACACTGCCTATGCCAGATATCAAAGACCTCACCCTAGCAGAATGCAATGAAAATATCCACTGGCTTTCATTGGACTTTGAAACAGGCCTGCCATTTTTTCAAAACATATTATTGACCACTTCAAGCTCTTGAGCCAGAAAGTATGTTTTCTTGGAACAAGCCAAGCAGAAGAAAAATCAGAATATCCTCCAAATGAAATTACTGTGTCATATGTTATTTCCACCCCTATTCACCTTTCTTCTACACTCAACCACACACACCATGACACTTGCTCTCAGGACAGAGGAAACCTGGAGCTGCTCTCCCATTTTCACCGCACAGTACAGATGGCCACATGTGGATCCCAGGGAATCAGGGCACCTGGAAGCATCGCCACCAACAACAACCTAAACCAGATTGATTACGGGTCAATCAACTCAGAATCAGGGATATGAGGGCTAAAGAAATGCAATGTCTAAAATCTGCTCTTACAGATATTTGTAGCTGTGGAGCCTATATTTGTTCATAAATGATTGTATCCGTGGCTACCAGACCACATAAACATGTGACACACGGCTTGGAATGAGGGCAGCAGCACAAAGGGAAGCCTTTAAAAACAAGATTCTATTTGTGATTAAAGGTAGAAAAACACACTCTTCTAATATTTAACTTTTAATTACTACCATCCGTGTGTAACATATGAAAGTAAAATAAGCTCTCCGCTGTCAATTCTGGAATACTTGACCAATCACACTTACCAATTCAGCCTTAGCTGACTTTATGTGATTTCCCTAAATTAGTGGTTGGCAAACTCATTAGTCAACAGAGTGGCTCTCAAGCCGCAGTTTGCTGACCACTGCCCTAAATGATATTGTTTCACAGCATAAAGGAAAGAATATTATAGGCTTGGCAAGGAAACAGTTAACTTATATGTTTTACCTTGTAACGCTCAAAGGTTTCATAGTATACCCTTCAGAAAAAGTGGGTCAGGTTAAGGATTTAGGAACTGGGCTACCAACCTAACTTAGGGTTCTTTCCATTAGAGAAAGCTAGAGAATTTTCAATAATAACTAGAGGCCCTTGCAGCCAGGGTTGGCCCTCCCAGCTCTAACCAGCCCTCTCAGCTCTGGCCGACCCTCCCAGCCCCAGCCTCATCCAGAAGGTTGTCATTATGCTCTTCCGTGTAATTAGCATATTAGCTCTATTATATAGGATAGTAAAAGTACTAACTTCTATACATAAAAATAGTGCTACCAACCCACCAACAGCTTTGGGTGTTATACTAATGATTGTGACAGTGGGTCTATACAAATACAACAGCTCTGGGGCCATATACCTGCAAGTGGGACAGCAAACCAGGACTAAGCATGTTACTTATGGGTAAACAAAACTAGACAGAATGGATGATGAAAGGGGCTTAGCCCTAGCTGGTGTGGCTCAGTGGATAGAGCCTGGGTCTTCGGACTAAAGGGCTCTATTTGATTCTGGTCAAGGGTGCGTGCCTGAGTTGCAGGCTTGATCTCTAGTAGGGGGCGAGCAGGAGGCAGCCAATTAATGATTCTGTCATCATTGATGTTTCTCTCTTCCTCTCTCTCCTTTCCTCCCTCTCTCCCTCTCCTTTTCTGAAATCATATAAGTTTATTAAAGAAAAAAAAAGAAGAAAAAGAAAGGGGATTTAGACATTGATCTCACTGCAGAGAGCTTCCACTGGATGGGTAAGCAGGTACCTTACTTGTGATCAATTCATTTTAAAGTTTGAAATCTGACACAATGGAGCTAAGTGGGTCCGATATACAGGAAGACAAACTGGAATTAAATTTCAACCCCATATTGTCTGGCAAGTATAGCACTGACTGACCTTCTTGCCTCTTCTCGCATATACTGGTAGTGTTTTGAAGGATAGACCATCAGAGCAATCAGATACAAAGCCAGGCACACCTTGAAAAGCCAGTTAAGCTGTCATTCCAACTGGTGGTTCAAATATGATGCAAGTATCAGTAATGAAGCTTAAAAGAGCCACAAACCTCAAGACAGGCCTCTTCCTTTTCTGAGCTTCAGTCAGAAGCTGAGAACTGCACAAGTTCCAGAAAAAAACCAATGGGGTGGTTTTGATGGAGCAATTGAGGTGGGACAACATACTCCAAGAATCCTAATTCCTAATCCCCCTCCTCACATTAACCTTTGATTTAGAATAAGTAGAAGGGTAAGAGTATCTGTGGAGGAAGCACCAATAAATCCACACCTATGTTTTTATTGAAGCATTTTACTGATTTCTGTCAGGAGAACAATCCATTAAAAATTCCATTCAACCTTAAGACTGGCATTTCAATAGTAAAGCGAAATTTCCTCTATGATCATCATTGCTAAATGAACTGACAGCATAAATATGACTTTAAAAAGATAAATGCAAAAAGTTAATCTACTTAAGAATCAATCAGTTGTTGGAAAGCATCCTGCCACATTAGAAAAACAATAAATAAAAAGCCAGCCCGCCAAAGCTCCAGGAAGATTACTTCATGAAAGCAAATCAAATTGAAATCTCTTTGGCCGCCTGAATAGAATTTTTTCTCTAAAGGCTGTAGTACTGCAAAACTCTCTCCGTTTCCGTAAAGAGGGTTTGCTTTTCAGCAGGAGCTTCAATAATGCACCACTCTCTTATCCACTGAGGCTCATCCAGAGGGCCTGGCGTGCAACTGGTGCTCAATAAATAATCACAGGGTAAACAATGCCTTCCAGGCACATTCAGGGTGACTCTGGGTTAAAAGCTGTAAGGCTTTAGTGGCCGTTTGTGGTTGTTGCTGTGGTATAGTATATTTTTTTAGTGACTGCTGTTTGTTCCCTTGATATAAGCTGTAACTTGTGACTTCTCCCAATGCCTAGATGGAGCTGGACCTTTTCTGTCCAAGTTGCTATAGGCTGGGAAGTCATAAAAATCAAGCTTAGTCAAGTTGCATCTAAAGCATGTGCCTTTCCTTTTATGTAAAAGAAAGTTAATTACATATTGTTTGTGGAAATAAACACCTAAAAACAAAGTAGCTAGCGATCCTCAAGGTCATTACAAAGTACAAAATGGAAGGTCCCTTAAAATATTTGGCTAAGTGGAAAAAGTAAGATATAGAGCAGTGTGTAGTATTCTACCAATTGTGCAAAAAAGAGAAAAAAGGCCCAAGCCAGTGTTGCAAAGTGGTCAGAGTGTCAGCCTGCACACTGAAGGGTCTCAGGTTCAATTCCAGGTCAAGGACACGTACCTGGGTTGCAGGTTCCCTCCCTACCCCTGGTTGGGGTGTGTGTAGGAGGCAAACAGTTGATGTGTCTCTCTTATATTTCTCTCTCTCTCTCTTTCCCCCTCTTCTCTCTGTAAAGCAATGTGAGGATTAACTAAACAAAAATAAAAATGATGAAAAAAGAAACATGTAGCTTCTTGATTTTAGACACACTATCTCTAGAGGGCTATGCCATAAAAAAACACTGCTGACTTATAGCACGGAACCGGGTGGCTGAGGGACAGAGATGAATGGAACCTTTTCACCATTTATAGCTTGAGTTTTTTTGGTAACTATAAAGGCGTACTATCTTTAAAAAAACATCAAATCAATAAAGACGTCTGCTGTAGCACAAGAGCTATTCTGACTGCCCAGAAAGTTTTTCCCATTATCTCCTGTTTATGGGGTTTCCTCAGGTGAGTTGTAACTGCTTGGATGCCTGTTAGATGAACTGTAGTATGGTCAAGAGCAGCTAACTTACCCTGGCATTCTGATATACCTCCTACAAAGTCGTTTCATTTGTAAATATAAATCTTCCACTTAGCTACCTTCAGATTACACACTCCACTCAAAATGAATTTAAAAACATCACATTCTTGCTCTGCTTAGTGTGGGTTGCAGGTTCAATTCCTGGTCAGGCATATGCCCAGGTTGTGGGTTCGATCTCAGGTCAGGGAGTGTATGGGAGGCAACCGATTGATGTTTCTCTCTCAAATCAATGAAGAATATACTTGGGTGAGGATTAAAAACAACAACAAATTACATTTTCAAAAACTTCTCTAATTCTGACCTGTTCTCCTCTTAGGTTAAAAATCATACCATGCAGCTACCATATCAAGATGCCAGTCTACGAACAATCTCAAACACCCTCACATATATGTCTCAGACTTTGCACAGACACAATGACTTGGGTGGGGGTGAGGGAAGGAGAGAGAACACATGCAACCATAGTCCAAAGGTGAGAATAAAAAGGGGGTCAGAAGATGTGTTTGCTTCTCCATCTGGAATTGGTGAGTAGCACATCTTTTTTTTAAAATAAATTTTACTGATTTTTTTACAGAGAGGAAGGGAGAGAGATAGAGAGCTAGAAACGTCGATAAGAGAGAAACATCGACCAGCTGCCTTTTGCACACCCCCTACTGGGGGTGTACATGCCCTTGACCGGAATCGAACCTGGGACCTCTCAGTCCGCAGACCAATGCTCTATCGCTGAGCCAAACCGGTTTCGGCAAGTAGCACATTTTAAATAATTTCTAAGCTCCCCACTCCATACCATTGAAAAAGATATTAGAGCTTCAAATCCAAGCCATTCAGAAATAAAGATACCCCCCAAAACCACAAACTAAAAAAAAAAACAACACAAAAAAACACCAAAAAACAAAACACACACACACACATACACACACAATCAAGAACCACACACACACAAAAACAATACAAATTTTCTCAGTTAAATTTCAAGCAATGATTATCACAGAGACATCAACAAAGTCTTGTAGGTAAGATAAAGATTTCGTTCCTAAAACTTGAAAACTTTCCCAAAAGCTGGATGAGATTTTCAAGCTGCCTGTCTACACCAATGCTGCCAGCTGCATTTTTTGATGCCATTTTTTGTAATTCCAGTGCATGATACATGCTCCTGCCTCAGCCACCAAGGAAGTAACCTGTAGGATGGGAGCTGTGCTGGTGCTAGGTGTGAAGAATCTATTCAGTGCTCTTTGTCTAGCACTGGCAGAATGACACTGCTGGCTCAGTCCAAATATCCAGAGCAGTGGCCCTCATTCTCTAGTTGGCTCAATTATTCAACTATTACACGGCGTTTTATGTAGTAAAAGTGGGTCAATCAGTTGCCAGGTGAAAGAAAAAGGAATGCTTAGATGGTTCCATTCTGTTATGCTGTGAGCCACAGATTTTTCTAGAATTATTTGCGTACTCACTCAGACAGCTCACATCCAGCCTGTCCCACGTTCTATCTGGCTTGATGTAAAAGTACCTCAGGCTGACATGACTTAAAATCCACAAATCTCCTGCCTCTCAGTTTCCACATCTACCACTATAGATGGAAGTTTTTAAAAATTTTTGTTTTGTTTTGTTTCTGATGGTTTTGAGCACCTACAGACTAAATAAACTCCCTTCACTCTGTCATCCACAGTCACTGAGCAAACATGTAAACTCTGAGCTCAGTTTCTACTCTGATAGACAGCCACCTGTCCAAGGTGGGCCCTCATGTGCTTGAGATTTAATCTTTGTTGTGGCTACCTGATAGAGTTGACAATTATTTTAAATTTATTTTTCCCTCTGTATTTCCATGAAACAGAAAACAACTCTGGGCAATTCCCATTGTTGCCATCCAGCCGTGGAGAGTCAAATCCAGCGGTCTTATCAAGTCCTTCACTTCACAGGGGAGGCTGCTAGGAAAATCTGGCCCTTTCTTCCTAACAGTAGGATGCCAACAAAATAGTTTAGATGTTTTGGCAGAGTAAGGGAGAAAAAAAAATCAAGTTTCTAAAAGATTGAAATCCTTCTTTATCTTAAGAAGTTACTTTAAAAAAAAAAGTGTTTTTATTGACTTTAGAGAGAGAGGGAGAGGGACAGAGAGATAGAAACATTAACTGTTTGTCTCTTGCACACCCCCTACTGGGGACCAAGCTTGAAAACTGGGCATCTGCTCTGACTAGGAATCAAACCGGTGACCTCTTGGTTCATGGGTTGACACTCAAACACTGAGCCACCCTGGCTGGGCTCTTTTTACTCTTTAATAAGGGTCCTTGCTAATATAAAAAATGCCATCTCTATATATTTTCTCCATAAGTAGTATAACAGTTTTGAAACTGAATACCTGTAACCGAATCCTATATTCCTTAGGAGTACAGGAATAGCCCCACTGGGTCAGGCCCTGTCCACCGTGGTCAGTGCCCAATCACCAGAGGAGCCTCAAATCTAGAATGTGCCTGACATCAAGTATTAAAGGTGAAATAGAGACCACCTTCTTCTGTAGCTCTTATGGCTTTGCCCTTCACAAAGTATTAGTTCTTAGCCCTAAAAAGTTCACTTTCATTTCTTTTCTAAACCACCTCTTAAACGTTGTTCCATATTGTACTCCTTATACATATCCTAAACAGTCATATGTTGTTATACTCATGGTGCCACTTGTTTAAACATCTGGGAGGTTTACAAACTTCCCCTCCTGTCACTGCCCCTCACAGCCATCACACTCCTTACAGAAATGCCTCAAGGTTTCTCTCCTTCCTTCCCTCTCTCCCTCAGGCTCTGGACTCTCACAGGTGCATCTTCCTCAGCCTAGAAGGCCCTTTAGATACAGATCACATGTCACTTCTCATGCAAGTCAGTGTTTACTTTCTTACAGTCACTTATTATTTCACCCATTTGGATTGTGCTTCTTCAGTCTTTGCCTTTTCACATTAAAGAGTCCTACTCTTTTGTCTGATTTAGTTCCCTTTCCCAATTTTGACAAGTTCTTCCTCCAGATCCCTTTAGGAGCATGGACCGGAACTGTACAAGTACTCTTGAAGGTGTACAGTATAGTTTTTACATAAAGATGGGAGGGTGTAAAAATAAGAAAAAACTAAGAAAAAAGTGGAACAATGTATGTGTTCAAAACCTTTTTGGTAAGAAGAACGGACCTGCAGATGTCCTTAGAAATTTCCAACTTTCAGGAAATTCCTTTTCAAACACCATTTCTCTCTTATGGACCGTCTGTGTCTGTCTCTCACATTTTCCCTACTGAAAGCCACCTGCTTCTTACCAGCTTTTTATCTTATAACAAGAGATGTATACCTTAACCCAGGGGTTGGCAATCCGCACGAGCCGCGGTTTGTCACTCTGTTGACTAATGAGTTTGCTGACCACTGTCATATATACTATCCTTTACCTCTTTGCACACCATATGCCACAACTGCCTAATCCTCACAGCTCCCAACTACATGGTAACACTTAGTCTAGTCCAGTGGTCAGCAAACCACTGCACTAACCTGTTTGCTGAAAACCTGCTGTATATATCAAAACCACACTATGAATGACACTACTTCTTTATACAAGGTCAGGAGAATTATTCTTACATGTAGATAAGGACGCAGAGTCCTAGAAAGATGAACTTGCCCAAATCAGAGTAGGTGAAACTGCTGTATGAAATCTAGAGCTCTTTCCCCAAAGTAATTCACTGCTACCCAACAATCTGGATAGTTCACCCTCAGACAATATAAAGGATACTAAATAAAATATGCCTTAACACTGATCACTAAGAACCCTCCTCCTTTCAGAGAAGTGCTGTCGATACTTACTCTTGTTTCCTTTCATAGAGTCAACTGCCTAGCCACAAACTGATAACATGTTAGTCCTTCGGTAACTTAAATTTTTAAATAGCTTTTTGTATGGAACTCTATCAAGGAAGTTTAAAAAGCTTAAAGATATTAAGTCAAGCAGTTTCCCTTTATCCACTTGCTTATGAATCCCCTCAAAAAACTTTAGCCCATTAGATATCACATCAACACTACTGACACCATTAGGTTATTTTTGTGTTCAGTAAGTGCATCCTTTTCATTGGCTTCACTTGGTTGCCGGTTGAGTATGACAAGTCACTCAACTCCAATTTTCTGTGTTTTATCTGTAGTATTTCTTATTCATAAGGACTAGTTTATTTTTCTAAACTTCCAGAACTTTAAAAAACATTATCATAAAAACACAAATAATTTTCAGGCTTGCCATAATCTGATTATGTCCCCACTTTCTATAGTTTTCATTTTTCTTTCATACTTGGTTAGCTAAACAAAGAAGTACATAAGTTAGGCCAACCATATTGCCTCTGTCATTCCCAAGCACAAGTTCTTTTCTTTGTTAAGGATATTTTTTTCCATTGATTTTTAGAGAGTGGATAGGAGGAGGAGATATAGAGACACATCAATTGGTTGCCTCCTACACACACCCCAACAATGACCAGGGATTGAGCCTGCAGTGAGGCAAATGCTCTTGACTGGAATTAAACCCGAGACCCTTCAGTCCATGGGTCAACCCTCCGAACACTGCAGCAAACCAGCTAGGTCCCAAGCACAAGTTCTTTATGTTAGATGGGAGCCTCTCTCTGCCCACATATCCAACTAAAAGTCCAGTTATTTATAGAATCCACGGCCTAGAATACCCTTACTGTTCCTGCCTACACCAATTCTATCCATCCTGAGTTTGATTCAAATTCCATCTCTTACATCAGTCTTTGACCTGGCCATTCGCCACTGATCTCTCTATATATTCTAGAGCCCTTTAATAATTATCTGAATCAGTCATTCTGCACTTAACCCCATCTTAAATGTTTATGTCTTTGTCACCTGAGTTCCTGGAAGATGGGTATCACAACATTTGCTTTCCAAGTTCCCTTCGGTGTCAAGCAATTCGGAGTGTGGTTGTACAATCAGCACTTGTTTTATACATCAGGACAATCTTTCTTGTGAAATCCATGGCATATAAGAATATTCTCTCTTCCAGAGTGTCTCTGGATTTCACAGCTCCAGGATAGTGATCCCTTTGAAATATTGCCATCAAAAGGCTGCTAAGTTGGTTTGTAAGAGAGAACTGGTGCTGGGTATATCAGTATATCCGTATGATGCCAGGCAAATGCTAAATCAAAATGAGTAAGCACTCTGACACATAAACTCCTGAGCAAGTGAAGAACACTGTTCAGAAGAGATTTTCCTATGGAATATTATATCTTGCTTTCTAGAAATGTGTATTTTAATCATTGGCATTAAATTATCAGAAAAGTCACATTTTCCTAACCCCCAAGTTACATTTTCCTGTAAGAATTATAGACAGAAATATAACTAAAGAAATCAAACCATCTAGCTAGTCCTAGGTAACCAACTTGATGTAGTGATAAGTTAAACAAATCACTCAAGCAAATACATCTTCTTCCCCTCATTGTGCTTTCCTATCCAAGAATCTCAAATTAATGGTTCTGATTTCAACTTAGGTCTGGTTAAAAAGCATTACTTTTATAATGTTAGAATGAGCTATTCAGTCTTACAAAAGAAAGCAGATTACTTTAGATACATATTTTAATATTCACTGTATATCTCATGCATGAGCCAAATGATAAATAGCCATTAACAGAGAACCAAATGTGGGCTTTATAAAAGGAATTGCCTTTGGGATGGGTAGAGATGTGAGAATCTATCTCAATGTGATTATTATATTTAGAAGGTGGTGAGCCCCAGTTCTCACCTGACTAACATTGTTATTAGCCCAGGACAGTTTTCACAGGATAAGAATACCATTTTTTATTTAGGTATGATGCCAGAATGATACATTCTTACTAACTATAGTAAGGCTGAACTAGGGTTCCTAGAATATTCTCAAAGCAGCTCAGACCCAAGGCAAAAGCTAAAAAAAGGGAAAGGGAAACGCTTGGTGAGTACTACTCACTGATCCTCTGTTCCAAAAAACTTTACAAAGAAGCATTTCTTCCCACGAGGTTTCTTCAAATCCTTGGGTGGATTAACAATCTGGGGGAGAAAAGGGGAGAAAAAAGGTTTGTTTGTTTTTTTGACAGCTCAAAGCTGGTAAGAAAAAGAAAAAGGAAAAAAAAAAAAAAAAAGGAATGTCTTAAAATAAAAACCCAGGGCCTAGAATATGTTTAGACTTGGCACTTTTCTACAGAAGTTCCCTGTATCAAATATGTAACAAGCACAGTGTTCAGTAGACAAAATTTCTTTTGAAGTGGTCCTGTTTTAAAAGCAATTAAAATGAAGACCAACAGTCCCCCCCCCCCCACCCTCCAAGTGACCTTGTAATTACTGAAGAAATGTAAAGGACACCTTTGAAAATATTTCAAGGCAGGAAGCGTTGAGACAGGTAATAGTGACAATGAAAGTCAACCGAGGCACTGAAAATGCCATGCTGCAGAGACAGTCTAAAGACATTTCTTGGGCTCCTAGCAAGAATTTATAAACAGAACATTTGGAAAGCTATGATGGATCGCCTCTTGTAAAATTTGAAATGCCAACTTCTGCAAAGATGCACTGGAGTAGCACATATGGTAACATGGAAAGAAGATTTAAACTGAGTTGGGACAAAAATACTTCGACTTTTCAGTAACCTACATTTAGATTTCTCTCTTCCTGAAGAATTTTTCTTTTTCTCCTTTTTGTTAGATTTAAGTATAAAGCCAAATTCAAGCTAGACTTGACTTCCAGAGTAAAAAGACTCCATCAAAACCATCTCTGATTCAAGAAATAAGCAATTACTGCAGATTAAATCACCTGGTTTATATGTTGACTTTTCCAAATGAACTGATATTAGAGAAAAAAATCATTCTGATTGTTATTTAAATAGGCGCAGTTTAATTCAATGTTAGAAATGGAGGCGAATGCATCTTACATTCTTCACCTCTTCAAACCCAACTTCAGATGCCTTCCTTTAGTTTAGTGGCAAGACACTCACCTTTCCCGGCCACGGAGGATACCGGCCGAGTTTCCCCCTAGAGAAAACACAAGGGAGTCAGCATCTGCCTTGGAAAAGCTTGTCCACTTCCTCCAACCCACCCAATATGCAATTTATTTTCCAACTTGCATCCTCAAGCGCCAAAACAAAAGCTGGCAGACACGAGTTCTTAATCTGGCTTCCATGGATGGCCCAACAAGTCTAAACCCCTCAGAACTGGAATGCAAAACTGTACACATAATGCGCATTAAGGTGTGTGCATTCATCTGGCAACAAGGGAATACAACAAAACCACCGAGAGTCACTTGTCTAGAGCCTCCCCCTTGAGGGGGTGGGGGACAGTTTGCTCTGTAAACACAGACTTCCCTTCACAGTCTGGTTTAGTTCACCGCGAGACCAGTCAGTTTTGCCAAATGCTAATGGAAGCCTTCCTCTGGGTCAAGGAACAAGCTACGCAGCTTGAAGAGGCGGCGACAGCCAGTCTTGGTTCGGGCGGTTGTCGGGGACACAGAAGCAGACGAGGAGAGGCACACAAGAAGGCACTGGTCACTGCCAAGCCTAAAGGAGAAGTGTCCCCTCCATTTCTTCACGGGGCAGCGCCATCGGTCCGGTTTCGACACCCCCGGCCGAGCCGCCCGCACAGGTCGGTTCCGTCGCATCACGGGTTTTAACAGGGTTGCCCGGGCGATATAGCCCTGCGGGCTCCCCACGAACCTCAGCAAGACCCAGAGGAAACCGGCGTCCGCGGCCGACGCCCTTCATAGCAACCGCCGGCGTCCGGTCTGAAGCGCAGCTCTCCTTCCCCCCGGCGCCCTGACGGCTCGGAGGGGGGCCCACCGCGGCCACCCTCGGACTCAGTCCCCGGGGGCCAGGTTGCCCCTTCCGCCCGGCGTCATTCGCAGTGCCGGCACCTCATCTCGGCCTCTCCGTGAGGCCTGGAGCGCCCAGAAAAGCAGCTCTTGGGCTGGCCGCCAACTCCGCGCCCAGGGGAGCAGCGCCCCGGCGCCCCTCGCTTGGCCCCGGCTGCCCGGACTCACCATACCAAGTCGCCGAGCCGCAGACTCACAGCCGCCATCTTACCACCCAACCACCACCGACGCACGGGTCGCCGGGAACCTTAGGTAGCCCTGGCACCGCCCATTGGAGTGCGCCCTGCCACGTGACTGGGAACGGCTGTCACCGGCGTAGCCGCCCCTCTGACGTCACCGCACCCGCCGGGGCTCATTGGCCGGGGAGAGACACGTGACCAGGGCGCCGCTGTCTCCGCGCGCCGGAGCCCCAAGACTCCTGGCTCCTTCCCCCCCACCCTCCCTCAGGCTCGTGACAACGAAGCACCCGCGGTCTGAGGCGGCGGCGAGGACTGAGCCGCTGACCGAGCGCGCGCAAGGGAGTCGGCCCCGCGACCCGCCCCGCCCCCGGACCCCGGCCTTTGGCTCCTTCCTCCTGGGCGTTTCCGTTACGGCCGTTAGTCTCCCGCGGGCCCCGGGGCCGGCCGCATCACCCCGCCGGCCGCTTCCCTGACGGAACTCGGCGCGGCCTGGAAGCCAGCCTCCGCCCGCTCCCGGGGCCCCGCGCCCAACGAGCTCGACGTGGCCGCGCCTGGACGGGCGACGCGGTTCTTCGGAGCGCGCTTTCTAACGGCCGCGTTCAGGAAGCGGCCCCCCTCCCGAGCCCTCGTCCGCGCCGCAAGTTCTCACAGGGCACATCCGTGCAGCGCGCCCCGAGGTCTCGAGTTATTCGACTTGTAGTCGGCGTCTCTGCACTTCCTCCTGGGCCGGCAGGCGGCACGGCCGGCGAAGCTGCCCCGGGCGCTCCGGGACCCGGCCATGGGCCGCGGCGCAGGCCGGTCGCCCGCCGGGAGGCATGGCTCGGGGGCCGGCCGCTAGCAGCGCCGCCGTCGGGGCTCCCGCGCCGGCATGAGGACGGTCGCGGGGGGACGAACGCGGCCCGTGGGTCCGTAGGCTGCGTCGCGCCGGGGACAAAGGTGCGTGTCTTTGTCGGGACCGGGCTCTCGCATACGCTGAGCTGTAGTTTGACACTTTGGGAGAAGTTAGGAGCAGGTTGTTGTGACAGCAGGAAGGCAGATGCCAGTCGGTCGTAGTTCCCCTACGTGAAAACTTAAAGCTGTGGAAGGGGAACTAGAAACAGTTGAGCCACAGCGACAGCCCCAAACGTCAAATTCCAGATAGAAAATGACAAATTTTCGAAAGGTCCCATTCCCAGTTGCAGACTCCAAAGAATCTTAAGTCAGGGGATTCCTTAACCTAGACCCTGACATGTCTTGGGTTTGCCGCCTGCTTGGAGAGGTGGAGGATCCGCAGCTCCCATAGGCGATTTTCTTACCCGGAGATTTTTGGTGGAAGAGGTGCTGGGGATAGCCAACTGGCTTGTACGCAGCCTGGTTTTTCATTGGAGTTCAGTCTCCCTAAAGTACTGTCAGTTACAGGAACTTCCATTTACTGTTTTGTTTTAAAGACAAACCGATCATTTATGATTCCAAGAAATCCATAAGATTCAACACAAGTTTCTAACTTTAAAACTCTTTGGAGTATTTTAATGACTTGATAAAAATATGAAGTTTAAAGTAACATTACTTTGGGATTAGAGGCATTTCTGTCAGGAACATGGCAAAGAATATATGTCTAATAATATCTTGGAAGTTGTAGCAAATGCAATAAGACATGAAACAGAAATAAACATTTTTTTTTCAGAAAGAAGACAACATTCTCATTTTTGGGGATGACAGGATGGCCTTTTTTTAAATGGAGAGGGAAACCATTAAAACAAAAGTTTAGTAAAAGAGACTAATTACAAAATCAGCACACAAAATTCATCAATGACCAATTTGAAAATACAGTGATTAAGAGAATGTATAGCAAAAAATACATCACTCCTGGGAATAACCTGAAATAACAAAAGGAGGCTAACGTTTCTTGGATAACATTAGTTGAGGGTTTTTAAGAGGGATTTAAAAATTTTTTTTTTTTTTTTTTTTGTAGAATACTGTGCTTTTACTTAGAATAAGATTTAGCTATTTAAGGTGAGTACAGGCATACCTTGTTTTATTGCACTTCACTTTATTGCCCTTCACAGATGTTGCGTTTTTTACAAATTGAAGGCAAGACCCTCCACCAGCAAAAAGATTACAGCTCGCTTTACTGTGGTAGTCTGGAACTGAACCTGCAATATCTCAGAGGTATACCTGTATTTAAATACTTAGCTTTTCTTAAGACTATACATTTTACTGATAAATATGGTTTTACTTAAAAATATAAGAATGTTTATATAATATTCTTCATCTGCAAAACCTCAATTAAGGCACCATTTTAGCAAATTGAGTTCTAAACAATGAGCTTTTTTTACAAAGATAAATCCCCTTAAATGTTTTAACTGCATTTAAAGTTTTATATGCTTAGTCTCTTCAATACTTCAAATTTCTAAAAACAGTGAACTTATAAACCTAATAGTAAAATCTCTTCAAGGGCTTAAGTCGTGTAAGTCAAATAAGTGTGTAAATGAAGTCAGGTTCTTTTAAATGTACACTTTGAAGTTTATTTCAAATTAAAATTGTAAGTCTGACATTATTCATTAATGACTGATTCTCTTAAATGTTTCACATGACTTAGTAACAAGTATTAACAGTTATGGTTATAAAAATGAAAAATCTGTTAATATTCTATAGGCTTGATTTACTTTATTCTCTTGTATCTGTAACTTCTCAGGCATTCAAAGTCACTTAAACAATTAAGAGAAGCAGTTTTACCATCCAGGTGGACTGAAGTTACAGTGTCTAAAATTTGGGCCAGGATAAAGTTACATTTTTAAATTACTGCCTCAGTAGGGACAGGACCTGGTTGCCACTTCTAGGATGACCTTCCTGCATCCATCCCATCAGTTAACTTGCAGATCTCTTATAATGAGACCTTACCTGCTCTTGTCAGCAGGGGACTTTTAAGCCTTCGACCTTCAGCTGAAATTTATTTTCACAACCCAGTGCATCACAATGTCCTGGGGCAGTGGTCAGCAAACTCTTTAGTCAACAGAGCCAAATATCAACAGTACAATGATTGAAATTTTTTTTGAAAGCCAATTTTTTAAAACTTAAACTTCTCCTAACGCCACTTCAAAATAGACTCGCCCAGGCCATGGTATTTTGTGGAAGAGCCACATTCAAGGGGCCAAAGAGCCACATGTGGCTCATGAGCCGCGGTTTGCCAACCACTGTTTTAGAGGAATTTCAAAATCTTAGTGCACGATGGTCTTTTTGCACTGTTTTGCTGCTAATCACTTTGTTGTCTCGTTAGAATTATAACTCTTTTAGATATTTTACTTATCTGGTTTTTATAGATCACAGTTTTATGGTCATAATAGAAAGAATGAATATTATATTTACTATATAAATATCCATACACATATATGGGTATATATACACATACATACATACAACCATATATATATGTTGTGTGTAAACTTTTCTGAATAAATATAACTCATTTACAGTCAAAATGCAGTGAGCTTTTTTTGGGGAAACATCAAAATGATTCTAAAATTGATCTGAAATAATGAACAGGCTGGAATAGCCAAGTATTACTTTATTTTTTATATATTTTAAAACAAGTTTTAATTATTGATTTTAGAGAGAGGAAGGGAAAGACAAAGGAAAAGAGGAGGTGGAGGAGAGAGAGAAAGAGAGAGAGGGAGGGAGACATACATTGAATTGTTCCACCCATTCATGCATCCATTGGTTGACTTATGTGCCCTGACCAGGGATCAAACTCACAACCTTGGTGCATCAGAATGATGCTCCAACCACCTGAACTGTCCACCTAGAGCAGTCAAGTATTACTTTTAAAAGAATAATAATAAAGATGAATTTAAAATTCAAGATGTAACAGAAATAAGATATCCAAATTATTGTATAAGATATATCCCAGATCAGCAGGGAAAAGGATTATTTAGTGATTGATGCTGGGAAGAAACCAAGGTTAAGCCTCACCTTTCACCTTATAGCATAATAAATTCAACTTAAGTTCGAGTTCATTGTGAAAATTGTATCTGTGAATGATAAGTAAAGTCTAATATAAGAATTCCTGGTTGAAAGAGGACATTCTAGGGACAAAAGAAATGGGAGGAGCCATTGGGAAAAGAGCCTTGGTTTAACTGCATAAAAAGTTTAAATTTTCTTCATCATACTTCACTCTAAGCAAAGTTAAACATAAATAACAATGAAGGAAAAGTATGAGAGATATGACAGATTCTCTCTCTCTCTCTCTCTCTCTCTATATATATATATATATCCATACATCCATATATAATTCATATTACATATCAAGAATATATCAAAAGCCCTTACAAATCAATAAAAGAGCTTTAATTTTTTAGACCATTCCCTTAATGCTGGACATTCAGATTTAGGTTACTTATATTATTTTTCCTAAATACAAGGTTGCAATAACTGTCCATACAGATGTGGTAAGAAGTTCACACTTGAATGTGAGTTTTAAAAAGCAGGACACAAATTATACATGAAGCACAATATATATGTGTGTGTGTCTTGTATATATGCTTATTTATAGTTTGTAAACCCTTGAAATCTGGAGTTTACAATATGTATACTCTGACCATTTCCAAGTAACTTTGAAGGTCTTTGACATGTGATAATTTGGCACTTTGCTAACACCTGAGAGAGGTTGGTGAGAAGCTGGTGTCTTACTAATATTTTTAAATTCCAGCTTTTAAAAAATATGTCTTTATTGATTTCAGAGAGGAAGGGAGAGAGAAGCATCGATGAGAGAGAGAAGCATTGATTGGCTGCTTCCTGCATGCCCCACACTGGGGATTGAGCCTGCAACCTGGGCATGCACCCTGACCAGGAATTAAACTGTGACCTCCAGGTTCATAGGTCGATGCTGAGCCACTGAGCCACACCAGAAGCTGGTGTCTTAGAAAGTGAGCCTAGTCACACCACTCTTGAGACGTTGTTGTTGTTGTGTGTTTTTTTGTTTTTTTTTTAACTTATTCCAGGATAGGCAATACTCTGAGCTAATAAAACTTTGCCATTATGAAGAATGGCTCTAAATGAAAGTAAACTGCTGGTAATGAAAATAAAAAGATCTTAAAAAGAGGTTATTCTTAGCCAGAAAAAAAGTGTTAGAGAGCTCTGGCCAGTTTGGCTATCTGGGTTGGTTTCTGGTCAAGGGCTCATTCCCTGGTTGCAGGCTCAATCCCTGGGCCCTGGTCAAGGCATGTGCAGGAGGCAACCAATTGATGATCTCTTTCACATCAATGTTTGTCTCTGTCTTTCCTCCTCCCTTCCATTCTCTCTCAAAAAATCTCTAAATAAATTTTCATATATACGAAAACATTTTGTATTTGATAGTATTTAACAGGGGAAAAAAAGCAATAAATGGTAATTAAGATAAATTGAACAATGGATTCTTCTTGACAATGAAATTCTTTTAAACTTAAATCTGTATAACTGAACAGGAAAAATCTTGGTTTGACCTAGCCTTTCTTTTCAATGTTAACAGAAGCCATGCAGTGACATCCGCTAAGACTTGTTGATAGCCATGTCGGAGCCCCACAGGGTCCAGTTCACCTCTCTCCCAGGTTCTCTGAATCCTGTGTTTTTGAAGAAATCCCGGAAGGAGGACGTTGGGGGAGCAGAGCAGCATCAGGACTCTGAGCCGGCTGCAGCAGCTGTTCGGATTACACTCACCCTCTTTGAGCCAGATCACAAGCGCTGCCCGGAATTCTTCTACCCAGAGCTTGTGAAGAATATACGAGGGAAAGTGAAAGGCTTTCAAACTGGAGACAAGGTATACCCCAGTGGTCCCAGGCTCACTCTGCAGATCTAATGCTCATAGCAGCATGTGCAAATAGTACTTCCAAAAGATGAAAGCAAGACTAGGGAGGCTTTGGTTGCCCCAAGATCGTGGCATCTATCCCAAAGCAAGTACCAGGTTTGCTGATTTTTGCCCCTGGGCATGAAGGGATAGAATTCTTTCTAGAACCATTCTTCTGATTTATGCTAGAGAAAATGTAAGGCACATCCAAAGCTAATTTTAATTATGGCTAAATAATATAAATAAACAAATATATTCATGCCATAGGCTCTAAATATTACATATATGTAAATGTGACCAGTCCCTGGCTGTTCTATGGCTGGATTTCATGCTGGACATTTTTCTTTTCCAAAAGATTCTCACTCTGCCTCATGTAAAGCAGACAAAAAAAAGACACGCACTGCTATTCTCTTCTCAACACAGTAATATTCTGGATAGTTACTTAGAAGGATAGAAACCTATTTTTCTGTGTGTGTTTTTTTTCTTGTTTTATTTATTTGCTGGGGGGCTTTGTGAATCTGTTTGATTTTTCAAGTGTTTTTTAAAAGATCTATAGTGAGCCATTCAACTTGCAAACCTGGATTTAATGGATTTAGGATTTAACAGACAAAATTTTCGTTCTTTATGTCATATATGAAAATGAACACCCTGTTAATTTCAAAATGCTTTAACCAAGATTTGCTTATAATTATCAGTTTAGTTTTTTGTATTAATTCACTGTTATTTTAAAAAATACATTTTTATTGCTTTTGAGAGGAAGGGAGAGGATGAGAGAAATAGAAACATCATGATGAAAGAGAATCATTGATTGGCTGTCTCCTGCACAACCCACATTGGGGATCGAGCCCACAACTTGGCATGTGCTCTGACCTCCAGGTTCATAGGTTGATCTCAATCACTGAGCCACGCCAATTCACTGTTATTTATAACAAATTTTATCAAATATGTTGTCTGTTGGGAAAAACACTGTAGTAATTTGGCCAACATAAATATTACATAAATCTAACTATAGTCTACATACTTAAATCCAAGAGTCACTGCTCTTAAACAGTGCTTGGTGAATGATTAGCAAATGATTACACTACATCTCTCTTGGTAATTGGTTGTGTTGTCTCATGGCATGACTTTCTGCAGCAGTCTTGACACGTGCTGCTAATGTTCCCATGTGGGATAAATCACGTTGCTGCCGTGTGCATTTGTTTTTTTCTTTTTTTTTTTTTTTTTTTTTTTTTTTTTTTTTTATTTATTTATTTTTTTTTTATTTTACATATTTTATTGATTTTTTTTTTTGCCCCCCTCCTTCCCTCCCATGTATCCCCTCCCTCCCCAGAGTTTTATGTCCATTGGTTGTACTTATATGCAGGTATACAAGTCCTTGGGTTGATTTATTGTCTCCCCCAGACCCTCCTCCCCTCCCCGTTGTAATTTGACAATCTGCTTGTTGCTTTACTGTCTCTATATCTATCTTTTGGTTCATCAGTTTATAATGATCTTTATTATCCACAAATGAGTGGGGTCATGTGGTGTTTCTCTTTCATTGATTGGCTTATTTCACTCAGCATGATGTTCTCCAATTCCATCCAGGTTGCTGCAAATGATGAGAATTCCTTCTTTTTTATGGCAGCATAGTATTCCATTGTGTAGATGTACCAAAGTTTTTGGATCCAATCATCAGCTGACGGGCACCTCGGCTGTTTCCAGATTCTGGCTATTGTAGATTGTGCTGCTATGAACATAGGGGTGCATATATCCTTTCTGATTGGTGTTTCTAGTTTCTTGGGATATATTCCAAGAAGTGGGATTACTGGGTCAAATGGGAGTTCCATTCTCAGTTTTTTGAGGAAACTCCACACTGTTCTCCACAGTGGTTGCACCAGTCTGCATTCCCACCAGCAGTGCACGAGGGTTCCTTTTTCTCCGCAACCTCGCCAACACTTGTCGTTTGTTGATTTGTTGATGTTGGCCATTCTGACAGGTGTGAGATGGTACCGCATTGTTGTTTTGATTTGCATCTCTCGGATAATTAGTGACTTTGAGCATGTTTTCATGTGCCTTTTGGCCTTCTTTCTGTCTTCTTTTGTAAATATTCTATTTAGGTCCATTGCCCATTTTTTAATTGGATCATTCATCTTCCTTTTATTTAGTTGTATCAGCTGTCTGTAGATGTTGGAGATTAAACCTTTATCCGTGGTATTATTTGCAAATATATTCTCCCATACCGTGGGCTTTCTTGTTGTTTTGTTGATGGTTTCTTTTGCTGTAAAAAAACTTTTTATTTTGATGTAGTCCCATTTGTTTATTTTCTCTTTAGCTTCCATTGCCCTAGGGGCAGTATCAGTGAAGAAGTTCTTTTGGCATACGTCTGAGATTTTGCTGCCTGCGGATGCTTCTAGTATTTTTATGGTTTCCCGTCTGATGTTTAAGTCCTGTATCCATTTTGAGTTTATTTTTGTGTATGGTGTAAGTTGGTGATCTAGTTTCATTCTTTTGCATGTGTCTACCCAATTTTCCCAACACCATTTATTGAAGAAACTGTCTTGACTCCATTGTATATTCGTGCCTCCTTTGTCAAATATTAATTGAGCATAGTGATTTGGGTTGATATCTGGGTTCTCGATTCTATTCCATTGATCTATATGTCTGTTCTTGTGCCAGTACCAGGCTGTTTTGAGAACAGTGGCTTTGTAATACAGTTTGAAGTCTGGTATTGAGATCCCTCCTACTTTACCCTTCTTTCTCAGGATTGCTGTGGCTATTCGGGGTCTTTTATTGTTCCAAATGAACTTTTGGAGAGTTCTTTCTAGGTCGGTGAAATATGCCGTTGGTATTTTAATGGGGAGTGCATTGAACCTATAGATTGCTTTAGGAAGTATGGACATTTTGATGATGTTGATTCTACCGATCCATGAACATGGTATATTCTTCCATCTCTTTACATCTTCCTCTATCTCTTTTTTCAGTGTCATGTAGTTTTCTGCATATAGGTCCTTTACTTCCTTAGTTAAATTTATTCCTAGGTACCTTAATTTTTTTGGTGCGATGGTAAATGGAATTGCTTTTTTAATCTCTATTTCTATAGTTTCGCTGTTGGTGTATAGAAATGCCGTGGATTTCTTGGCATTAATTTTGTATCCTGCTACATTGCCAAATTCATTTATTAAGTCAATTAGTTTTTTAATGGAGTCTTTTGGGTTTTTTATGTACAGTATCATGTCATCTGCAAATAAGGATAACTTTACTTCTTCTTTTCCAATTTGGATGCCTTTTATTTCCTCCTCTTGTCTAATTGCAATGGCTAGTACTTCCAGTACTATGTCAAACAGGAGTGGCGAGAGTGGGCATCCCTGTCTTGTTCCTGTTCTTAGAGGGAATGGTTTTAGTTTTTGCCCATTGAGTATAATGTTGGCTGTGGGTTTATCATATATAGCTTTTATTATGTTGAGGTATGATCCTTGTACTCCCACCTTGTTAAGAGTTTTTATCAGGAAAGGGTGTTGGATTTTATCAAATGCTTTTTCTGCATCAATTGATATGACTATATGATTTTTATCTTTCAGTTTGTTTATGTGATGTATCACGTTTATTGATTTGCGGATATTGTACCATCCTTGCATTCCTGGAATAAATCCTACTTGGTCATGGTGTATGATCTTTGTGATGTTCATCTGGAGTCTATTTGCTAGAATTTTGTTGAGGATTTTGGCATCTATGTTCATGAGGGATATTGGCCTGTAATTCTCTTTCATTGAGTTGTCTTTATCTGGTTTTGGTATTAGGGTGATGCTGGCTTCATAGAAGGAGTTTGGAAGTGTTCCTTCCTCTTGGATTTTTTGGAATAGTCTGAGGAGGAAAGGTTTTAGTTCTTCCTTGAATGTTTGGTAAAACTCTCCTGTGAAGCCATCAGGCCCTGGGCTTTTGTTTGCTGGAAGCTTTTTGATGACTGTTTCAATTTCTTCCCACGTCACTGGTCTATTAAGATTTTTAGATTCTTCCTGATTGAGTTTTGGAAGGTTGTATTTTTCTAGGAATATGTCCATTTCGTCCAGGTTGTTCAGTTTGTTGGAATAGAGTTGTTCGTAGTATTTTGTAACAATCTGTTGTATTTCGGTGGGGTCTGTTGTTATTTCACCTCTTTCATTTCTGATTTTGTTTATTTGGGTCCTCTCTCTTTGTTTCTTGGTTAGCCTGGCTAGAGGTTCATCTATCTTGTTTATTCTTTCAAAAAACCAGCTCTTGGTTTTGTTGATCTTATGTATTGTTTTTTTGGTCTCTATGTCGTTTATCTGTGCTCTGATTTTTGTTATTTCCTTCCTTCTGCTTACACTGGGCTTTTCTTGTTGCTCCTTTTCTAATTCTTTGAGTTGTAGAGTTAGATCATCTGTTACCCTTTTTTCTAGTTTTTTGCAATAGGCTTGTAAGGATATGAACTTCCCTCTCAAAACTGCTTTTGCTGTGTCCCATAGATTTTGGGTTGTTGTGTTTTCATTGTCATTTGTTGCCAGGATGTTTTTAATTTCTTCCTTGATTTCTCTGGTAACCCAGTCCTTGTTTAATAGCATGCTGTTTAATCTCCATGTGTTTGATTTCTTTGGATTATTTTTATTGTAGTTAATTTCCAGTTTTATGCCATTATGGTCTGAGAAGATACTTGATACGATTTCTATCTTCTTAAATTTGAAGAGACTTTGCCTATGTCCCAAAATGTGGTCTATCTTTGAGAATGTCCCATGTGCACTTGAGAAGAATGTATATTCTGCGGCTTTGGGGTGGAGTGTTCTGAAGATGTCAATTAATTCCATCTGGTCTAGTGAGTCATTTAGGATTGATATTTCTTTGCTGATTTTTTGTTTAGATGATTTGTCAAAGGGTGACAGAGGGGTATTAAAATCTCCTACTATGATTGTATTGCTATGAATCTCTCCCTTAATGTCCTCCAGCAGTTTTTTTATGTATTTGGTTGCTCCTGTATTGGG